CAGATCAATCTGTATTTGTAACCGTCTGCTTTATATCTGCATTGGTTCTGCCGTTCCATTCATAGCCATTGTTTTGCCATATTTGTATTTGAAGTCGAATAAAGTAAGTAATCATCCGTAAATATGATACAGAAACCAGAAAGGCTTCACATTTTCCGAAGGTTGTCCAACCTTGCCTGAAGATCACTATCTATTCCTCCGCCGTCCTCAGCTCCCGCCGCCTCAGCTTGCACCACCTTGTTCTTCGTCGCCGGCGCAGCCACCGAACCAGACGGAGCATTCACCAGCTGAAACACCGGTCCAATCAATGTAACCATATCATACGTGGAAATGAACATAAGGACATTCAATATAGTTAAGATGAATGTATATTATTACCTCTTGGTTGATGTCGATACCGATTTCGTCAAGAACCTGGCTAACAAGATCTTCAGTCTCTTCCTCTTCCTCATCTCCTTCCAAGGCATCGTCAATAGCATCTCCCATCACCTCGGAGACCATCTCCATCTTCTCGTTCTGCCTCTCGAACTCTTGCATGATTTTCTGTAGCGACGGCAGGTTCATCTGCCTGTTCATTTGCCCCATCGCTTTCGTCACGCCTTTCATCGCCTCTCCCATTGCTTGTGTCGATCTCAGTGTCTGACAATAAACAAACAAAATAAGTATAGATGCGACTATAAATGGAACTTCCACAATAACCTTCCACAATACCTGGATCCTGAGAGATACACCTTGGAGTTGGGATTTAAGCTTGTAAAACTTGTCAATCTGGTGACGTGTCCTAATTAGGTCCTTTGCCATCACTTTCACAGCTCCCTGCGTTCAGAGTTTAAACTCAGTAATGAAGAAGAAACAAGAAAAGTTATAAGAAGGAAGTGAAACGCAAACCATTTGGCCTAGCTTTGCATTCTTCTTAATCTCAGCGATGAGTTTCTTTTCTTGTGATTGAAGGCCTTGCCTCTCCCTCTCTATATCTCTTATCGATTTATCAAGCATCCTCTTGTTTTCCCGCAGAAGTTCTGCAAACCAAACAAAAATATCCAGTCGAATGATATGTCAATTCAACAACAAAATGATTTGGAAATGAAAACAGATTAGTAGTCATTTAACCCAATTTCACAAATTCTGATCCCAATTGCGATAATCGAATTGGAGAAAGTGTTTTGATGCAGTACAAGTGAAATATAACAAACAAAAATTGAGCGCCTATAGATCAAAGTTTCGTAGCTGTAACTTCCAGAGGAATTTGAGTCGATGAAGAGAAGAGAGAAGAGAGAGAAGGATAAAAACCTGCAGGAGTTTTTCGCTTTCCGAAGATGGAATCCATCATGATTTTGAAGCTGGATTTGAATTTAACAAAACCTTTGATCGGAGTAGGAAAATTCTCAATCAATCTCAAGGTGAAGAAAACGCGGAATCTTTTTTCTTTATATCAAGTATAGCAACAATCTTTCTCAAAATTAACTTTCTTTCACATATTTTGTTGTGTGTGTGGAAAAATCTCATTTTAAAACTAATTATTGGAATCGTTTCACTAATTAATAATGATGATCTGTTTGTAACACTCTTTAAAACAAAAACATAATATTTCATTTATTTATTTTGATTTGAAGTATTTTCTTCACCTTTTTAATTATATTCTAAGAAAACATTAGGATATTAACACCCCTAAAAGATGACTGTATTTTCTTTCCAAAAAATCCTTGTTGAACCCAATTTTAATGTTAAATTGATTAATCTTTTTAAAAAGAAAAACTACGAATTTTGGAATATTGTTAAAAGAAAATATTTAAAAAAAAAACATTACCATAAAAGAAAATTATATTCGGTATTATGAGAAAAATATTTAGAAAGGCGTCAAGAGTGGGTAATCTTCAAGTAATTCTCTTTCTGATAAAACCTCATTCTCGTCCTGTGGTGTCCACAATACTTCAACTGCCTGCAACATTTTTTTAAAACATCGTTCATTTGCGATACTAAACTTTTCCCATGATTGTAGAAACTTACGGATACATAAACACTTACCATTATTCGATTTCTTGGTATCGACCCAAGCTTCTGTAAAGCTTCCTTCAGATCCTCAATTCCGTTTATTGGCTGTAGTTTCTGTATACCCTTTGCAGCCACCAAGATTGTTACCTGAACATACACAATACTTCATGTTAATTGTTAAACCAAAGTAAATGTTACCCGTCCATGCAAAAATAACCGGGTTAAACAAAGTTACACAACTAAGCTAGCTTTTGCAAATCCACTCACTGTTTTTAATAACTCTATTACAAAAAATCATGCATTTTCAGCATCTAGGCCTGGTTTAATTGTCTAAATCCTATTTTACTCAACGTTCAATAAGGAATTTTAATAAGTGTACCACAATATATTCGTTGGCGAAACCTCTAGCTGTCCGAATTTTCGAGCTTTGTCTCTTTATGCTATCCACATTAACAAGTGTCTCCTCGTCGAACTTTCCCCGTTCTTCAATGGAGAGTTGATTAAATAGATTCTCTCCCTCTTCTTCTTTACACTTCACATCCACCTGAAAGTTACAACATAGTGGTTAGTTTATGCACTCATGTTAACTAAAATGGTGAGTATACATAGCACGGAAATTAGTCTTGAAAGAACCAGTGGACTTACTGATGAATAACAAGATATGCAATAGTCCGGATGCCTCAACAAAGCCAGTGTTGCCTCTATAAGACATTTAAAAATTAGAACCACACAAATCAAAAGAAAAAGAGAACACAATTATAACTCATGGCCAAAATCTCCCAAATATTCATTTTATTAGAGTTCCATATATAATACAGCCAAAAGTGCAAAAGGTACACAAAATCTTTATTCTAAAAAAAAAAGTCTTAACATTGATCATATACAAAACAGGAAAATAGAAGAGATACGTTGATGAATATGTTACCGGTTAAAACATAGCTAAGACCCTCTAAAGTGGATGTATCTGCATTTTCAGCAAGGCGATTGAAATCTTCTTGTAATGTCCTCCCCGAGCCAAGCAACCCTACCTAAGAGGATACATATCCAAATACACAAATATAAATGAAAACATAAGCAAAATTCTCAAATCTCATTTTCTAAACCATATGGCTATTCTTCATAGAATGTAACAAAGCTATAGTAAAAATAGTAACTTCTATGGCTAAATGATCTTCTCATGCATCTTTCAAGTTTACCAAAAGAAAAAACACCCTGTTGCAATCTATGATTATCTGTCTCTGAACAGTAACACCTAAGCATTTCCTAATAATCATAAATTTCAACAGATCTCGGAAAACAAAAGTTATATATGATAAGTAGCTAGAGAATTTCCTAATCCAAGTTTTAAAATCAACACAAATAAAGAGCAATCTCATACTAAATAAGTGGTTTGAAAGTCTTATCCCTGGATTCAAGAACCAGGGCTCGAATCCTCCCATTGTGATTAAAATCAAGATGTCTCCACAAGCTAGAAATAATAATAAAATACAAACGTTAGAGAGGTTACTTGTAGTTTAAGGACGCTAGTTTTCTCAGTTCCGGTTGAAATGTCATCTTTTGAACGCATTGAGAGTGAGCGGAATACATAAACCACCAGTGCCAGAGAGAAGAGACCAGAAACAAACTGATTAGAGATCGGTTCCGTTGTTTGCTGCAGCTCAGAATAAGACCGCGACGGAGCCGTGTATGAGTATGAATAGCTCTCAGACTGTGAAGGAGGCTCAGATTTTTGTGGCGGCTCAGAATACGTACTAGAAGAGGATGAAGTTTGACCGAGGCGAGTATAAATAGCTTGGCTTAGATTTTCGTTGTGGCTCAGAATACGTACTAGAAGAGGAAGAAGAACTTGACGGAGCCGAGTATGAATAACTTGACGGAGCCGAGTATGAATAGTCTTCCTCTTCGTCGTCAGATGTTATTGTCGTCTCAGAATACGTACTAGAAGAGGAAGGTGAAGAGGTTCGAGACGAGAAGGCACTACCACCAATCCTACCACCGGACTTAGCAAAGGCACAACTGGCATCGTAAAACAAAAGCAGACCGAGCAAAACCGCTGTTATGGCCGGTTTTCTTAGGGAATCTAGCGTTTCCTTGATCTGAGTCGCGATTTGGTCAAAGGAAGTCTTCCATCTCTGAGCACGATTCGAGTCTGATCTCGCGTCTGTAACGCAAAATGTCGATTGTTTGTGTTTGCAGGCGATTTGGAGATGAATGAAATTTGATTTGAGTTGAGGTTTGGAGAGGAAAAGAGCACTAGGATGATGACGCCCTTGTGTGTATAAGAAAGTCGGATTCCATTGGACCCTACTTAATTGGAGCAAGGTAGAAGTAGCCGCCATGATGGACGGGTTTCTAAGGAAGTAGCTAGGGTTTATATGAAGAACTATTATTTCTGCGGGAGAAGGGTATTTTAAATTAACTTGATTTGTCTAAATTTTGAAATGTAATCAAGATTCTGTATAGAGATGGAACGTATAATTTAAACTGATAGAAATATTTGTGTTACCAAATAAGGTTGAGTGTAGTAGTAATAGCTAGGATGGAACTCAACTCAGCCAACTCACTTGGCACATAGATAAAGCCATTCGAAATTGTATCTCTTCTTTGATGTAACGGTCTCTGATCTTTTATTCTTTATATTATTTTCCTACCATTTGTATAACTACACTCTAGTCTACTGTTAGATCAATAAATTTGAAATTTCATAACCAAAAAAAAAAACTTAAGTTGAAAAACAAGTAAGGTAGTTTATTTATTCTCTTTCTTGTCTTTCCAAAACTCAATATTTGACTACTGGTATTATAACAAATTAAAGAGTCATAAAAGTTGGTCAAATCAATATCTATAATTAAAAAACAAAAACAAAAAAAGGTTATAGCTTTCTCAAACTATTAAACCAACATAGTCTTAAAACAGTTTCAACTTTAAAATAAATCACATAAAGGAAAAAAGGGTTCACTTTCTTTTCAAACAACATCATGAGATTTGCAAGAACTAGCCATAGATTCTCAGGATGGTCCCTGGCTCCCATGTTCACCTCTGCTGTTACTGCTTTCGCCACCACCATTGCTACCATCTTCTCCACTTTCGCCGCTTCTACCACTTCCACCACTATTATCAATATGGCTTTCTCCAACACCGCTGCTTCCTCTTCCACTGCTACCACTTCCGCTTGCCATGTTGTTTATGCCGCCACCACCATACATCAGATGGTTTAGACCAGATGGGGTTGACCAAAAATCTGGGATTCCTCTAGGAAGTTGTCCCCAACCAAATGGGAACATAAGGGTGGGCCATGCTGGTGTAGGTAAACCTCCAATGAGTGGTGGAACTACCGGATAAGGTCGAGCTATTGTAGGATTAGCTAGTAGAGCATTATCCTGTAAGTTTGCAGCTAGATAAAGCCAAGCCAGTTGAGCATTATCCATTACGGAACTAGTTGCAAAGTTGCCGCCAAGGTAAGGCTGAACAATTGGAGCATCTCCTACTACACTACCGCTTTGATTAGGCGGAAACAGCGGAGCATTAGCCGTTGAGGTACCGGATCCAATGGAACTGTTAACAAAAAGGAAAAAAAATAATCTCATTTAGTGTTTGAATGTAAGCTCTTTTATTAAAGAAACCTAACAAATACATCAAAAATCACATACATTATTAAGGTTTTACTTGTGGAACTGAAATATAGTTTGTTCACATAAGTTTTTTTTTTGGTGCAAATGTGAAGATTTGTTCACATAAGTTCTTAGAAATATTGGACAAACATGAAAAATAAACCATTACGAAGAAGAAGTAAAAAACATTTTTCGTGCTGAAACTATATGCACATTGATTGGATGATCTAGGTTTACGAGTGAGAGGACTTGGCAAAACACAAAATCTCAGCTTTGGATTGTAAAGATATTATAATGTGGAAAGCTTTAGACTGCGTTGATTCCCCGTTAATTTATTGGCCATTGCTGCCATTTGCAGAGAATTTGAAGTTTTCGCTTTTACTATAGTTAAAATAATTAAGACAAGAAAAAACTCCAACAATTTTCATTCTGGTTTTGTCATCTCCTCTAAGAAAAATCGTTCCGACACCTCCAGTTGTATATACAAAAGTAAACGTAAAACAATCGTTTTTTTTTCAAATTCAGGGATTATGAAATTATTACAAACCAACCACCCCCAACACGTAAAGTAAACATATTGGCTCTGAATGGTGACACAGATCAAAATATACAGATCAAACAGTAATTACAGATTATGCAGAACAAATACAGATCATGATCTGTATACAGAACAAATGCCTATCAAACATATGTATCATATGAAATAAATCTATTGAATTATCATATTTTATTGACCCATAAAACAACGAAAAAAATGAATACATTTTTTAGATTTTTTAATACTTCATTCTTTATTATTTGATGTTTTACCTTTTTACATGTTTCTTATTATTTAATATTTTAGACTATTAAATGTACTTTTGGTTAATTAATGCAATAAAAATGTAAATTACAAGACAATTTTTACGATTTTTCTTCGCTAGTTAGTTATTTAAAAATGAAAAAATAATACACTAATGATTATTTTTCTTAATCCATGTGAAAACTACAAAACATCAAATAATAAGTAACAGAAAGAGTATAAACAATACAATTATATATGCAAGAAATGCAATTATTATAATAAATACATAAAAATGTTACCTAAAGATTAAATTTGATTATAATATTCATTTGTTTTTTTTTGGTTTCCTTAATAAATTTGAAATTCTTATTAGTAGTAGTACTTATGGATTTTTTTTTCATATCCCCTATCATATATATATATATATATATATTAGTTAGTTTTAAACCTTATGTAGTTATATTGTAATTTTTTCTGATATAATCTCAATCAAAATAAAACTAAATTTATTTAGATATTTTAGATTTTAGTCTTATTTTAATATGTTAATCTTTTACCAGATTTTTAGAATGATAAATGTCTTAATTATAAATTATAAATCACATTTTTAAATTAGTTAATTTGTTATAGAGAGAGAAAAATCTGATCTATATGTGAACTGGTGGTTTTTGACGCATTTACTGCAGGCCAAAATTTACAAGTGTATTTTCGTCTGTATGCAGGCTACTCTTTTGCTCTGCATTTATTTTTGATCTGTAATTAAATTGGTGATCGGCAACTTAATACAGATCAATCTGTATTTGTAACCGTCTGCTTTATATCTGCATTGGTTTTGCTCTGCATTTATTTTTGATCTGTAATTAAATTGGTGATCGGCAACTTAATACAGATCAATCTGTATTTGTAACCGTCTGCTTTATATCTGCATTGGTTCTGCCGTTCCATTCATAGCCATTGTTTTGCCATATTTGTATTTGAAGTCGAATAAAGTAAGTAATCATCCGTAAATATGATACAGAAACCAGAAAGGCTTCACATTTTCCGAAGGTTGTCCAACCTTGCCTGAAGATCACTATCTATTCCTCCGCCGTCCTCAGCTCCCGCCGCCTCAGCTTGCACCACCTTGTTCTTCGTCGCCGGCGCAGCCACCGAACCAGACGGAGCATTCACCAGCTGAAACACCGGTCCAATCAATGTAACCATATCATACGTGGAAATGAACATAAGGACATTCAATATAGTTAAGATGAATGTATATTATTACCTCTTGGTTGATGTCGATACCGATTTCGTCAAGAACCTGGCTAACAAGATCTTCAGTCTCTTCCTCTTCCTCATCTCCTTCCAAGGCATCGTCAATAGCATCTCCCATCACCTCGGAGACCATCTCCATCTTCTCGTTCTGCCTCTCGAACTCTTGCATGATTTTCTGTAGCGACGGCAGGTTCATCTGCCTGTTCATTTGCCCCATCGCTTTCGTCACGCCTTTCATCGCCTCTCCCATTGCTTGTGTCGATCTCAGTGTCTGACAATAAACAAACAAAATAAGTATAGATGCGACTATAAATGGAACTTCCACAATAACCTTCCACAATACCTGGATCCTGAGAGATACACCTTGGAGTTGGGATTTAAGCTTGTAAAACTTGTCAATCTGGTGACGTGTCCTAATTAGGTCCTTTGCCATCACTTTCACAGCTCCCTGCGTTCAGAGTTTAAACTCAGTAATGAAGAAGAAACAAGAAAAGTTATAAGAAGGAAGTGAAACGCAAACCATTTGGCCTAGCTTTGCATTCTTCTTAATCTCAGCGATGAGTTTCTTTTCTTGTGATTGAAGGCCTTGCCTCTCCCTCTCTATATCTCTTATCGATTTATCAAGCATCCTCTTGTTTTCCCGCAGAAGTTCTGCAAACCAAACAAAAATATCCAGTCGAATGATATGTCAATTCAACAACAAAATGATTTGGAAATGAAAACAGATTAGTAGTCATTTAACCCAATTTCACAAATTCTGATCCCAATTGCGATAATCGAATTGGAGAAAGTGTTTTGATGCAGTACAAGTGAAATATAACAAACAAAAATTGAGCGCCTATAGATCAAAGTTTCGTAGCTGTAACTTCCAGAGGAATTTGAGTCGATGAAGAGAAGAGAGAAGAGAGAGAAGGATAAAAACCTGCAGGAGTTTTTCGCTTTCCGAAGATGGAATCCATCATGATTTTGAAGCTGGATTTGAATTTAACAAAACCTTTGATCGGAGTAGGAAAATTCTCAATCAATCTCAAGGTGAAGAAAACGCGGAATCTTTTTTCTTTATATCAAGTATAGCAACAATCTTTCTCAAAATTAACTTTCTTTCACATATTTTGTTGTGTGTGTGGAAAAATCTCATTTTAAAACTAATTATTGGAATCGTTTCACTAATTAATAATGATGATCTGTTTGTAACACTCTTTAAAACAAAAACATAATATTTCATTTATTTATTTTGATTTGAAGTATTTTCTTCACCTTTTTAATTATATTCTAAGAAAACATTAGGATATTAACACCCCTAAAAGATGACTGTATTTTCTTTCCAAAAAATCCTTGTTGAACCCAATTTTAATGTTAAATTGATTAATCTTTTTAAAAAGAAAAACTACGAATTTTGGAATATTGTTAAAAGAAAATATTTAAAAAAAAAACATTACCATAAAAGAAAATTATATTCGGTATTATGAGAAAAATATTTAGAAAGGCGTCAAGAGTGGGTAATCTTCAAGTAATTCTCTTTCTGATAAAACCTCATTCTCGTCCTGTGGTGTCCACAATACTTCAACTGCCTGCAACATTTTTTTAAAACATCGTTCATTTGCGATACTAAACTTTTCCCATGATTGTAGAAACTTACGGATACATAAACACTTACCATTATTCGATTTCTTGGTATCGACCCAAGCTTCTGTAAAGCTTCCTTCAGATCCTCAATTCCGTTTATTGGCTGTAGTTTCTGTATACCCTTTGCAGCCACCAAGATTGTTACCTGAACATACACAATACTTCATGTTAATTGTTAAACCAAAGTAAATGTTACCCGTCCATGCAAAAATAACCGGGTTAAACAAAGTTACACAACTAAGCTAGCTTTTGCAAATCCACTCACTGTTTTTAATAACTCTATTACAAAAAATCATGCATTTTCAGCATCTAGGCCTGGTTTAATTGTCTAAATCCTATTTTACTCAACGTTCAATAAGGAATTTTAATAAGTGTACCACAATATATTCGTTGGCGAAACCTCTAGCTGTCCGAATTTTCGAGCTTTGTCTCTTTATGCTATCCACATTAACAAGTGTCTCCTCGTCGAACTTTCCCCGTTCTTCAATGGAGAGTTGATTAAATAGATTCTCTCCCTCTTCTTCTTTACACTTCACATCCACCTGAAAGTTACAACATAGTGGTTAGTTTATGCACTCATGTTAACTAAAATGGTGAGTATACATAGCACGGAAATTAGTCTTGAAAGAACCAGTGGACTTACTGATGAATAACAAGATATGCAATAGTCCGGATGCCTCAACAAAGCCAGTGTTGCCTCTATAAGACATTTAAAAATTAGAACCACACAAATCAAAAGAAAAAGAGAACACAATTATAACTCATGGCCAAAATCTCCCAAATATTCATTTTATTAGAGTTCCATATATAATACAGCCAAAAGTGCAAAAGGTACACAAAATCTTTATTCTAAAAAAAAAAGTCTTAACATTGATCATATACAAAACAGGAAAATAGAAGAGATACGTTGATGAATATGTTACCGGTTAAAACATAGCTAAGACCCTCTAAAGTGGATGTATCTGCATTTTCAGCAAGGCGATTGAAATCTTCTTGTAATGTCCTCCCCGAGCCAAGCAACCCTACCTAAGAGGATACATATCCAAATACACAAATATAAATGAAAACATAAGCAAAATTCTCAAATCTCATTTTCTAAACCATATGGCTATTCTTCATAGAATGTAACAAAGCTATAGTAAAAATAGTAACTTCTATGGCTAAATGATCTTCTCATGCATCTTTCAAGTTTACCAAAAGAAAAAACACCCTGTTGCAATCTATGATTATCTGTCTCTGAACAGTAACACCTAAGCATTTCCTAATAATCATAAATTTCAACAGATCTCGGAAAACAAAAGTTATATATGATAAGTAGCTAGAGAATTTCCTAATCCAAGTTTTAAAATCAACACAAATAAAGAGCAATCTCATACTAAATAAGTGGTTTGAAAGTCTTATCCCTGGATTCAAGAACCAGGGCTCGAATCCTCCCATTGTGATTAAAATCAAGATGTCTCCACAAGCTAGAAATAATAATAAAATACAAACGTTAGAGAGGTTACTTGTAGTTTAAGGACGCTAGTTTTCTCAGTTCCGGTTGAAATGTCATCTTTTGAACGCATTGAGAGTGAGCGGAATACATAAACCACCAGTGCCAGAGAGAAGAGACCAGAAACAAACTGATTAGAGATCGGTTCCGTTGTTTGCTGCAGCTCAGAATAAGACCGCGACGGAGCCGTGTATGAGTATGAATAGCTCTCAGACTGTGAAGGAGGCTCAGATTTTTGTGGCGGCTCAGAATACGTACTAGAAGAGGATGAAGTTTGACCGAGGCGAGTATAAATAGCTTGGCTTAGATTTTCGTTGTGGCTCAGAATACGTACTAGAAGAGGAAGAAGAACTTGACGGAGCCGAGTATGAATAACTTGACGGAGCCGAGTATGAATAGTCTTCCTCTTCGTCGTCAGATGTTATTGTCGTCTCAGAATACGTACTAGAAGAGGAAGGTGAAGAGGTTCGAGACGAGAAGGCACTACCACCAATCCTACCACCGGACTTAGCAAAGGCACAACTGGCATCGTAAAACAAAAGCAGACCGAGCAAAACCGCTGTTATGGCCGGTTTTCTTAGGGAATCTAGCGTTTCCTTGATCTGAGTCGCGATTTGGTCAAAGGAAGTCTTCCATCTCTGAGCACGATTCGAGTCTGATCTCGCGTCTGTAACGCAAAATGTCGATTGTTTGTGTTTGCAGGCGATTTGGAGATGAATGAAATTTGATTTGAGTTGAGGTTTGGAGAGGAAAAGAGCACTAGGATGATGACGCCCTTGTGTGTATAAGAAAGTCGGATTCCATTGGACCCTACTTAATTGGAGCAAGGTAGAAGTAGCCGCCATGATGGACGGGTTTCTAAGGAAGTAGCTAGGGTTTATATGAAGAACTATTATTTCTGCGGGAGAAGGGTATTTTAAATTAACTTGATTTGTCTAAATTTTGAAATGTAATCAAGATTCTGTATAGAGATGGAACGTATAATTTAAACTGATAGAAATATTTGTGTTACCAAATAAGGTTGAGTGTAGTAGTAATAGCTAGGATGGAACTCAACTCAGCCAACTCACTTGGCACATAGATAAAGCCATTCGAAATTGTATCTCTTCTTTGATGTAACGGTCTCTGATCTTTTATTCTTTATATTATTTTCCTACCATTTGTATAACTACACTCTAGTCTACTGTTAGATCAATAAATTTGAAATTTCATAACCAAAAAAAAAAACTTAAGTTGAAAAACAAGTAAGGTAGTTTATTTATTCTCTTTCTTGTCTTTCCAAAACTCAATATTTGACTACTGGTATTATAACAAATTAAAGAGTCATAAAAGTTGGTCAAATCAATATCTATAATTAAAAAACAAAAACAAAAAAAGGTTATAGCTTTCTCAAACTATTAAACCAACATAGTCTTAAAACAGTTTCAACTTTAAAATAAATCACATAAAGGAAAAAAGGGTTCACTTTCTTTTCAAACAACATCATGAGATTTGCAAGAACTAGCCATAGATTCTCAGGATGGTCCCTGGCTCCCATGTTCACCTCTGCTGTTACTGCTTTCGCCACCACCATTGCTACCATCTTCTCCACTTTCGCCGCTTCTACCACTTCCACCACTATTATCAATATGGCTTTCTCCAACACCGCTGCTTCCTCTTCCACTGCTACCACTTCCGCTTGCCATGTTGTTTATGCCGCCACCACCATACATCAGATGGTTTAGACCAGATGGGGTTGACCAAAAATCTGGGATTCCTCTAGGAAGTTGTCCCCAACCAAATGGGAACATAAGGGTGGGCCATGCTGGTGTAGGTAAACCTCCAATGAGTGGTGGAACTACCGGATAAGGTCGAGCTATTGTAGGATTAGCTAGTAGAGCATTATCCTGTAAGTTTGCAGCTAGATAAAGCCAAGCCAGTTGAGCATTATCCATTACGGAACTAGTTGCAAAGTTGCCGCCAAGGTAAGGCTGAACAATTGGAGCATCTCCTACTACACTACCGCTTTGATTAGGCGGAAACAGCGGAGCATTAGCCGTTGAGGTACCGGATCCAATGGAACTGTTAACAAAAAGGAAAAAAAATAATCTCATTTAGTGTTTGAATGTAAGCTCTTTTATTAAAGAAACCTAACAAATACATCAAAAACAATAAGTTGATTTATAATTTCTGAAAAATAGAAAAATGAACACATGGATTTTTGATTGAAATTAGTTATGAGAAAAGGACAGAAAATTTACCTGTGATCAATAAATGGATGAGCAAAGTAATGTCTTGCTCTGGTCACCTCTGGATTTGAGACATTCTGGAAAATCCTTGGATTACTCGGTAAAGGACTAATTGGAATTAAATGAGATGGGTTTGACGGATGATGGAGTTGATCCGCATGCAAGCTTGGATTAGGGACGACCCTTGAGCTAGTGTCTCCAACAACAACACTGGATCTGGGGAATGTAGAAGTATACTCTATATAGGGACACAATTCAGCTCCATTGCGTCCTGGCTCATGGAAAAAAATATTTGGACCCAACAGATTGGGTTGTCTACAAACAAATTGGAAAGAGAGGATGTTCAAGCAATCATGAGAAAAATAATAAATAGTTTACATTCTGCCAGAGTTATGGAAACATCAAGTAATAATATAGTGATATTTTATATAAATCTCACACAGAAGGATTAAGCTGACGAGAACCCCTAAACGGACACACCTCCATCCCAAAAACCTACAAGATACATAAAAAAAATGTGTTTACCTATATAGTACATGCATGATTTAATTTCTCTAGATATCACCTAGAACAAAAAGCTTCTTCATGAGAATGTATTTAATAATCAAAACATTATGTTAAGTATTTAAACGAGATCAACTGCATTAGGCCTTCGCCAACATCATAAATCCAGGTCCAACAAAAATAAGTATATATCTATCAATCTATCTATCTGTGTGTGTGAGTGTGAAACTTTGGAAGATATTAAAGTAGATACATTACCATATCTGTGGAAAATTGGTGACGAAATTCAGCAATTCTATCCTCGACACTGAAATTTGTGAGTGGCAAGCTGCTTGCATACAACCATCGACCTTGTTCTACGTTTCTACAATTTGGACATTGCATCTTGTTCTTTGCATTAAAAGCTGAACCAACACAATCTGTACAAATATTTTAACAAAAAAATAATATTAGGTGTCTGTATAAACACAATAGCAGATTAAGAAAATAACGTCCCTAACTAATTAAGCTTTTGAAATCAAAACATATAATCATTGATTTATTGAAATGTTGAGATTGAACACATAGTTATCTCGCACATATTCGATAAAATAATCATATATGTAATGAAATTTTTGATTGATCTAAATATATTGACTAATACCATATTATTCATGTCTGGACATTCAAAATTGTAATAAAGTAAACCATGTTTTGAGTTAATCGATGAAAAAACAAGCTCGAGAGAAATAGATCTATGAATATGTAAAATAAGATCTATGTATTTGTTAAAATGTAGTACTTTGGCCAAAAGTTACCTAGATGAAATGTATGATCACATTGAAGCTTAACAATGGTTCGATGATTATCTTTATTGACCATTGGCTCGAAACAAATTGGACATTCCGAACCAAACTGTTCATCATCATGTTCAGCATTGAGGTCATAAGCAGGTAGTTTGCCTTTGTTAACATTACTACCAAAACCCATAACTAATCTCAATTCTAGAAATCTCAAAGCAAAGAACAAAATCTCTCTATTATCTCAAAGAATCAAAAACTGGTGAATGAAACTCCACAATAGATTGATCAAATTTATATGGAGTGGATTGGTTCTCTGATTTTTCTTTTCATAGTTCAATTTCTCTCTTGAATGTTGATTTTTAAGTAAGTTATTTAATTTGACTTGAAATAGCAAGTAAGTTAATTGATTCTGCATTTAGTCTTGTGTAAGCAATTAAGTTGCCTTAATAATATTAGGTAACTAACTAAACATTCCATGCCACTTGTGTATAATGGCTATTGCATATTAATTATATTTAAAAATAAATAACATACAAATATTAAAAATATTTGGAGCCAATTTTCCAATTGTTTTTAAAATAGATGATGGTTAAAAATTAATTTAAAACAATTTGCATAAATTCTATAAAACAAATATGTAACAAATATCAATAAGCTACATGTTGTTAGCCAATTATATTTAGTTTATCAAACAAAACTTTCAGTCTAATCTTGGATGAAACATCTGAAGCGAATCCACAATTCATGTTTTTTTTTTTTTAATTATTCAATTAGGGAAGACAACCCTTTTATATTAATTGCTGAATTGTTAGTTATTTACAACAAGTAAGTTGATTTAATTTTCTTTAGTTAATCTCACTAATCACTATCACAACATCTTTGCAAAGCTTGGAATTTATGTGTCTCATCGTCTAATACAACCGGTGCTTCATTCTTTCAACAGATTTTACCTCGAACAAAGATAGTTTTGAACAAGATGTACCTCACTGATACATGAGGCCAACTGTAGTCTTCTATGTTCGTCCCATGCTTAAAATATTGTCGAGATTCCCAGATCGCTTGTTTAGCATCCGGATCATCTTGTGATTCACATTTGATTAATGTTCCAAAGTCTTGTTTAGCTAATAATGCTCGATTAAAAGCTTTTAAAACACGTAAACCTAGACCCCCAGGCCCCATCTTTCTTTGATAAATACATCCTTTCCATGAAATCTAATGCATTTTTTTCTTATCCTCTTCAGCAATTCACCAAGAACTAGCTACTAGCTAGTCATGGCTGATGGCACTAGTCAAGTTTTGACAGGTTATTTTTGGCAATCTGTAACACGACAAACACGTAATTCTAACTTTCTACTCCAAAAATAAACAAACTTGTTTTAATTAAAATGAGAAACGAAATCAGTAAGTAAACATGAACTAATTAAGGAAAAAATATATTAATTAACTCTGTCCAAAGTTGCAGCTTTTCCATTAGTGTCCAGACAGCTGTGGTTTTTTTCATGCTCGAATCGGTCACGAGAAATTTCAAAACCAAAAAAGAACAAAATTAAATAAAATGAAATTGTGGTTTTCATCAACGCCTTCTTCTTGATCTAAATCCTATACCTCCAGAAACAAAGAGAACATCTGGAAAAAAAAAATTCCTTTATCATCTTCACCTTCTTCAATCTTCACCATATATAAGCTTTTCTCTTCAATTTTTTTTCAGCATTTCTTTGATCTGAAACCCGTCTGAGGAATCATCGGTGATTTCTGTATTTGTTTCGATTCTGGACATTTTTTTTCGGGGATCATTTCTAAGTGCGAAATTCGGAGGGAGATATAACGAGCCACGGCTCATTTCTTAGCTATTGCTATTTTCGGTCGGTTTGGTCTCCGGAAGTTTATTCCGGAGAAAAACTCTTTTAAGTTCGGGATTTTGGTGAATGCTCCGGCGATAAATTTTCCCTGAGCCAGCGGCTCGGGGGAGATCTGCAAGTCAAAGATCAACGGACGAAAGAGACAAGCATCGGCTATGTCTTCATCTCCATCAACGGACGATAGCCGCTTTGGCTCCTCTATGCAGGAATTCAAACTCTTCGAGACTCAATCGGTAATTAAAATTTCTCTGAGAATTTGATTGTGAAATTGGATCAGCTCAAGTAGTAAATTTTGATGACGAAGTCTTCTCTCTCTAAGCTCTCTAAGGAATTGGTTACTTGATTACTTTTTCAGAACTTTTACATGATTGGTTGGGATGAGAGTGGAGTTTACAGAGTACTAAAGATAGACCGTCTTGATCCGTCTGAGCTGAACATTAGTGAGGACTCGACTCCTTACACGAAGAAAGAATGCTACGAGTTGCTAAAACGGATACACGAAGGAAACAAGGCCACAGGTGGGCTGAGACTTGTGACTCTTTGCTATGGCATCATTGGTATGTGTTTCAAGTTTTAACATCAAGTTTGTACAGTCAATTGTTTTGTTAATTTTGAGGTTTGTTCTCTCACCTACTATCATCTTCTTCGTCTCGCAGGCTTTATTAAGTTCTTGGGACCTTACTACATGCTGCTTATAACTGAGAGAAGACAAATAGGTGTGGTTTTTGGTCACAGCGTCTATGCGGTATCAAAGAGCGAGATGGTTGCGTTGCAAAACTCTACTGTACAGTGCAACGTTGCAAATTCAAGAGATGACAACAGGTCTTTTGAGATCTCTCGTGCTATATTTTTGTTTATTTCTTTCTGTTCTCTAGAAAAGGAAAGTTGCTGATCCTTCTGAAGTCATTTTACCCTTAGGTTTTCTTATGTGGTGTTTTCGATGTGTTGATGTTACAGATACAAGAGACTCATGTGTATGGTGGACCTTACAAAGGACTTCTTTTTCAGCTATTCTTACAATATAATGAGAAGTTACCAGAAGAATATATGCAACTACGAGACGGGGCATATTCTTTATGAGAAAATGTTTGTCTGGAATGAATTCTTGACTCGAGGGATTCGGCATCATGTTCGGAATACCATATGGACTGTTGCATTGGTTTATGGTTTCTTTAAGCAGGTGAGAATTGGTATGTTTTCTGAAAGCTCACTGCTAAAATAAAATGAACTTTTACTTCTTTTGCACAGCAAGCAGCCTTTCGCGTTTGTAGATCACTAATATACTTGCCTAGACCCTGTGAAGTCTTGTTTTATCATTTCTGTATTGAACATAGGCTTAGTAAGAAGCATACTGTTTCACTTCACATACATATATATATATATATATATATATTATCAGTTATGGTACTGTTATCATGCTTCTTCAGTTATATATGCAGTTATGGTATACTGGCATCTTAAATCTCCAATACCTGGATGCTCAAGATCTATGCTTCATTTTTTGCATGTAGGCCACTCTTTCTGAATCTGGAAGGAATTTCAAGCTCACCCTTATCGCTAGGCGTTCCCGTCATAATGCTGGAACCAGGTAAAAACTTCTTTTTAACTCCCTAGTCGGCTAATTTAGGTTATGTGGTAGGCATATAATTGTCCCTACGGTATGCCTCTAGAGGTTAAGTTTGATTTTCTTCAAATGAAAACTGCAAAATTAGTCATATCCGAATATCTCACTAGAGCATTGCACAATATTGTTTATCCCCACAGTACGAGATTTAGATCATGGATCTTATATGATTTTTTTACCATTTATCATTGCTATCTCTTTCTGCTCTCTTAAATTTCTTTCCACATTAGGTACTTGAAGCGAGGTGTAAACACAAATGGCAATGTTGCCAATGATGTCGAGACCGAGCAGATAGTGTCTGAGGATGTTCCTGAAGACCATCCTATGCAAATTACTTCTGTTGTACAGAATCGTGGCTCAATCCCTCTTTTCTGGTCACAAGAGACCTCACGGTTCAATATAAAGCCGGATATAGTTTGTAAGTTTTATGCCACTACTATTAGTGAACTGCTCCCACCGTCTCTCTCTGCAATCTCTTCCATGTTTGACTGCTTTAATATCAAATGCAGTGTCAAAAAAGGAGCCAAACTATGAGGCTACTAGACTTCACTTTGATAACCTTGTAGAACGATATGGAAACCCCATCATCATTCTGAATTTGATCAAGGTGAGTTGTCTAATCTACTACTTGCTGTCATATTTATAATTCTGGTGCATCCGAAATCTAATGGCTTTTACTGATATGCTCTTTGGCTTCACAAACAATAGACAAAAGAGAAGAGACCAAGGGAGTCGATCCTTCGTTCAGAGTTTGCTAATGCAATTGACTTTATAAATAAAGATTTGCCTGAAGAAAATCGTCTGAGATTCCTCCACTGGGACCTGCACAAACATTTCCAGAGGTATCTATAATATACACACTTTTATTGTTGTTCGAGCTGCTTCAATCGCGTGAAATTTTTTTTTATACATTTTTAGATGAAAAACAGTGTTCTGTTTCTTTCATTCTTCCAGAAAAACAACAAATGTTTTGGCCCTCCTCGGCAAAGTAGCTGCGTGTGCATTGATGCTAACAGGTTTCTTTTACCATCAAGTCACACCAGGGATGAAGTTTGATGGTTACATGAGCTTGTCTTCTTCTGAGTAAGTCTCTACAGCTTGGTAGAGGTGATGAAATGAAAATTAGATTTGGGAAATACCTTCTTACACTGGGTACTGTTACTATTCTGATGTTTTAAAATTGCAGTGCTGACACTGAAGATAAATCTCCGCGCACTAATTCTGATGACGATAATGGGGAATATGATAGCCTAGAGAAGAAATCTAGCAGGAGTAAGAATATTTCTGATGAAAAATGTGATGTCAAGCCACCCAGGCTTCAGACGGGTGTGCTACGAACCAATTGCATTGATTGCCTCGACCGTACAAATGTAGCACAATATGCGTATGGTTGGGCTGCTCTTGGGCAGCAGCTTCATGTTTTAGGGATTAGAGATGCTCCAGCCATAGAACTTGATGATCCTTTGGCTATTTCATTAATGGGGCTGTATGAGAGAATGGGAGACACACTAGCTCATCAGTATGGCGGATCCGCAGCCCACAACAAGGTAATGTTGGTTTGGTTTTACTCTGAATTTCGCAGAAGAAATCTTTTAAATCTCCTGCTAGGAACAATTAGTGATGCAGTTCTTCATTTCGTAATTAGCTTAAGTTTCCATCTGCATTGAATAACATCTAGAATCATCTTCGGTTCTTGATTGAGTATTGTTAAGGGTCAACGTCTCTGGAGAACATTTTGTAAATTATTATGTGGATACATATTGTTGATTCCTAGAATTCTGGTGGGCAATAGGTTTTCAGTGAGAGAAGAGGCCAGTGGAGAGCAGCAACTCAGTCACAAGAGTTCTTGAGAACCCTGCAACGATATTATAATAATGCATATATGGACGCAGATAAACAAGACGCCATTAATATGTAAGTTGCTCCCTTTCAGTGTCTCTCTTTGTTAATATAAATGTTTATGGGCCTTTGTAACATTTCTGAATGCAGATTTCTTGGCACATTCCAGCCTCAACAAGGAATGCCAGCAATCTGGGAGTTAGGTTCAAATTCCCTCTCTAATGGACGAAATGGAGAGATGAACATGGGGGAAGATGAAAGGTAGCTTCTGACAACGCAAACTTCAATCTGGTGCTAGCTATTTATATATTTCAACCTTGACCGAGGTTTCGATTGCCCTCTCTTCTTTACACACACCTTGCTTTCAGGTTTCTCACGAAAAGGTGCTTATCAGATGGTGATTTTCTCCATGAAAGTTGTACTCCTCTGTCAACCATGAGTAGCAAGCATGAAAGTATGCCACAGAAAGGTTTCTCCGCGCCATTACATCAGATGAGCCATCTTCTTTCAGAGTCATCATCTGATATACCGGTTTCTGATGATGTAGCATTATTGAGGTTTGTTTCTATTGCTCTTACATATTCTGCTGAGTGGAGTTAAAATTGAAATTATTCTTAGCTTGTGAGATACAATGGTAGTTCAACTGTTAGAAATTGTCCCTTGTAGTTGAACGTACTTGAGAAGGCATACGAGATGCATATTCTAGTGTTGCTGGGAAAAGATATGATGTTGTTGTCTCAGAGCTTCATGGAATCAAAGAATCAACCTTAGAAGCACTTATTTATTTTGTGTTGTCGTAGTAAATTAGACTTACTTCTACAGCCACAATATTTATGTAGGTGTTCTCCATCAATGCCTAGTAAACAGCTCTTCGGAGATACTCAAAAGGTTCATCATTTTGGTAACGACCAAGTTTACTTTTCGGGCCCAGAAGACATGTCTAGTGTCTCCAATTTTGTTGATATTGAGTGGCTTTCTTCGTCGGAAAATCAATGCGAGAATCATGTAATTGACAGGTAACATAACAAGTCTTAGATACAACAAAAATTTATACCAGTCCACTTTTACTATTCTCTGTACCATTTATATCACCATTTCATGATAACTTATGTTGTATTCATATATCTGACAGATCATCAACAGAGAAGATCATTAATGGAGTAGGACAATCAGAACCAGCTTCAAGTGATACTGGAACAAACAGCAGTAAGGTCAGTGACAATATAACTAAATAAAGTGTCAAAATTGGATATTTAAGAACCGTAGAGTCTAGTTGCTATGCTAGAAGATGAGTTAATAAAACAGACATAGCAATGGTCTAGTGGGTTTCAAGACTTTGATAGATATTGCTTTTGCTTTTGCTTTTATGTGAGTTTCCAAACAAAATTGTGTGTTTTTTTCTCCATAGGGAAAGGAACCAATTGGAACAAAGATTCGTGAGGATTATACAGATAGCTTCAAAGAATGGGTAGCAGACGGTGAAGCACTCTGCCACTAATACCTCTCGCAATCTTTTTTTACTTTGTCGATAATCTTTAGGTATACGGATGGTACAAAAGAGTAGTAATATAATACTGATATAGCTGAAAAGTTTAAATTATTTTGAGGGAGACTTCATGTTTTAATCTGTTTTGTATCATAGAGGAGTGACTGAGTATGATATTTGTAGGAGGGGGTTCTTTGTCGTTTGTAAATAATGTGTTTATATAAAAGCTTGTAAGATGTATTATTATTTTCCCTTCGTGTTAGAGATAGAAAATATGACAAATAAGCCATGTAGACTGTTACATGACGTCTAAAGATGATCAGATTCAGAGCTCTAAATCATCATCATTCACTCCCCACTACTTAGAAGAATCAATAGAACCTGTTTTGCCTTGTACTCAGAAAAGAAAGAGATCTCAGTCCAATCCGATTGAGAGAATTTTAGGAAACGCGTTTCCGTTTCCGAAACGTTTCGGAACGCGAAACGCAGAGGGATTTGAATTTCGTTTCCCTAATTCGGTTTTTCAGTTTTGTTTCTCTAATTCGGTTTTTAAAATTTCGTTTCTTTAATTCGATTATCTCATCGCTCCGCCTCTGTTTAGTGCTGAGGAATTTTCCGTTTATGTGAGATTTCGTCCGAGAATCCGAAGATTTCTCCCGCAATGGCGGCCAATGCTCCACCTGAGCAGGCTTCGGGAAACCCTTGCTGCCTCGCCGTAAGTAAATTTTTTTTCCTTAATCGTCGATTAGTGTTCTTTTGCTTTTCTCAAAAGTATATTTCGTTTAATCCCCCTTTCGACTGCATTTCAGTGGCAAGGGAAGTACGTAGCCATGAAGAAGAGGCGAGACTATTGTAAAGAAGCCATAGACATTCTCCAGAAGGCCATTGGAGTCGCTAATGATGACAAAGCCAGTCTCGAGAAAAGTAAGTGGATTACTATATAATGATAGAGCTATTGATTACTTCTGAATTGAATTTAGAAACGGTGTTAGTGGGAGAAGAATTGGTGAACGCTGTGAAAAAGTACAAGTAGCATAGATTAGCATAGATTAGCTTGCTGCTTTTTGATGTGTTGTGATTCTGTTTGTGCCCTTAAATGTCTTTGATTAGGATTAATTCTTCACCAGATGATGATTTTCTTGCGATAACAATTGAACGATCTAGCTTGATATGTCTTATATGCTTTAAGACTTGGCTGTGTGCTGCGTTGAGTGGAAATTTGTTGTCATTACTATTGTTCTCAATCTTTTTGTCATTTTTGACTCTTCATTGCTTACTTCTATCTATGTATTGCAGAACTTGGGGATATGGCGGCTGACAGAGACTCGAAGGGAAATGACTCAGTGGTAAAAGCATCTTTGGAGAAAGAAATCTCTGGTTTGAAGTCTGAGCTATTGTCTTTGGAGCACAACCTCAAAGAAAAAAGTGGAGAAACAAAGATTCTTAAGGATCGAGCTTCTAGTAGAGAAAGGGAGATTTGTAAACTGAAGGACCTCCTTAAGAAAGAAAGATCAAGGGCAGATAATTCTGAAGAAGAGAGGAAAAAGGTCTGGAAAGAATTGAACAAGACAAAGGCTCTGATAGTAAAAGATGAGGATGTCAAGCCACACGTTCCTGAAATGAACAAGGAAATAAGTCTGGTTAGAAATCTTCTTGCAAGCGAGAGGAAGAACACTGAGTCAGAGAGGGAGAAAGCAGAATCAGAGAAAAAGAAAGCTGATCAGTATCTTTGTGAGTTGGAGGGTTTAAGAACTACAGCTCGCAAGACTAGTTCAGATTTGCCTACTTTGACCTCCAATCTTGAGACTGTGAAAAAGCAGCTTGAGTTTGAAAAACAAATGACAGTGAAAGAGAGAAAACGTGCAGATATGGAGAGTGCGAAAGCTAGGGAACAGATAAATCTGGCAGAAGATTTGTCTAAGAAGATAGAAACCATTAGAGCTAGAAATGAAGAGCTCAAGAAAGAAGCGGAAAACTCGGCAGAACTGGAAGAGAAGATAAGGCTCCTTGAGATGAATGAGAAAGCAGCCACGGACTGGAAATTTCGTGCTGATGATCTGACTCGGCAGTTACGAGAAGCACAGCTAGTGACTGAGGGTTTGAAAAAACAGTTGCATGAACTTTCACTCTCCCAGAAATCCCCCAAGACTCGCTCTGTTTCTCCTCATGAAGCCAGAGATCTGGAAAAGGCTAAAGTGAGGCTTTTGGAAAAAGAGCTCAAGTTTGCGAGGAAATGTGCAAAACAATCCGACAAAGTGGCTGAGTTTGAAAATTTCCGAAGGGAATTTCAGGCGGCAGAGCAAGGTCGGTTAAAACTGGAGTTTGGTAGTCTTTCTTATCGCAAAAATCTACTGAGTGAGTATTTTTCAAGAGGCGTTGAAGGTACATCTGGTCTTGCAAAGGTTTGTCGATGCCATAAATTTCTTACTCTCTGCTTTCTTCTCATTTTTAATTTAATTTTTTTGCCATAGACGTGTTCTCACATTTGATACTTTCTTTGTTGCTGGGTTTGGAACATTAGGTTACATGGTGGATAATAAAAATCATGACGTTTATATCTGTCTCCCTGTGAGAATATCCTATATAGTAACATGGATTATTGCACAACATAATATCGCTTCTGTTAAGATAATTTCTAATCCTCAATAGGCTACTTACGTTTCATTTGATTCATTTGCAGGCAGAGGACTGCATCAAACTGGAGATGCCACAATCCCCGAAGAACCGTAATGGTGAAATGCATCCTGACGCAAGATGCCATTTGGTAGCTAGCTCTGGTTCTCAGGACCAGGTTCACAAGTTTCCTGCCCAGTTAATTCCTAGACCTGGACGGGGCGTGAGTGAGTCTGACTCAGGTACTGTTACTCAATTGGAGTCTCCTACTGGAGGCTCTTTAAAATTACAGACTTCTGGAGTAATTTCCAGCGAAACATCTTATTCTGATGGGCAGTTACTGGCCTCACAGGGAAGAAAGCAGTTATCCGTTATTACTTCAGCAGAAAAAGCAAAAGATGAAGCGAAAATCCAACAAGCAAAAGCAAGTATTTTCCAGAAGATCGAGACCAGGAAAAACGCAAATCTTTGTTTGGTGGCTGAAAACTCTCTAAAAAGGAAAAGAATGCCAGAGGCAGTTGAGTCCCGTAAGCAACGGTCATCTGATGATAAAAAGAAACAATTACAGACTGGAGAGAAGCGGGGCACCTTGCAGTCTATGGTAGTAGAAACTGGGTATAAGCCTTCAGAAGAGAAAAGAATCTTGGTCCCTGATATGCAAGGTGGCTCCTCTGCAAAGTGCATTACGATTTCCAAGAAAAGAAGGGTTTCTTCTTGTCAGAAGAAGACAATTATTGAGAATTCAGCCAAGGCAGGTAACAAAGCTGGAAATACACACGTAGCTCGGAAAACTATGTGCCTCTCAACTGCTAAAGGACATGATGCGGCAACATCATTTCTGGAGGACCTTGGTGATACAGATTGTATGAAGTTGTTGGAGTTCGATAACCGGGAAGAAGAAAGTTGTTACAGGATGGCAAGAGAGTCCCTTATGTCCCCGTATCTTCCTCAGATAGACTTTTTGGGTGGTGAACTCGTGAATGAGGACAAAAACCCTGCTAGGGCTCGTGACGTGGTTGGTAGTAATAGCGTGGATTTATGGGACATGATAAATTCTAGTGCAGCTCCTAGTCTCGACACTCAGAATGCTTCAGTGACAGCCAAAATGCCACCTGAGTCAACAACGTTGGATAGTCATATTCTGAAACACTTGGTTGTGTTTTCAAATATTGAAGACCAGAATAGTATCATCAAAATGTTTCATGCTGCAAACAATTGTGTTCAGCGATGCCCATCTGTTACTAGAGCACAGTGGGCAGTACCCGCTATTCTGTTCTCCTTGAAAATGGAAGAAGAAAACCTTTTAGCCCAGTAAGTTATTCTGCTCTCTGATGCTATTTTAATACACAATGCTGATATATATTATTACCTTTTTTAACTCTATCAGTAAACTAAAGGGTGTGCGTGTTTTTTTTGTTTCAGGGAAAGGGTATGCGTGTTCCTCTCATTGCTGCTACATAACTTCTCTGTGGTTTCCTCGATGAAAACTGGGAACACTCTAAATGATGATTCTTGGTCCTGCTTGGATTCTTACTCAAAGCATATATATGGTGGTATGTCCCAAAACCAATTTCCTTTTCTTTTTCTTCTTAACCCCCAAGTATTGAATCTACCTATGATTCGATGTTTTAATTTATTGAATATGGATTTTTCTTTGTGCAGCTATTGCTGATATTGAAGTTGGAGGTATGCTCTCTGGATTTTTGGAAGAACTCCTTAGTCTTCTTCAGGACCTCCTTTCCGAGCAGAGGGTATATTTCTCTGTTAATTCCTCAGAAACATCTGAATCTGATTTAAGCATCAACGGAGAAAATGTAGCTCTCTCCAGCAGAGTCGCTCTGTTTGATCATTTGGTGGCTGGAAGTGCTATTTTGGCGGCAATATGTAGTGCAGTGAATCGTGTTGGAATTATCCGTGAAACATCCTTTGAGATCCTGCACAAGAACATTCATGAGAAGACCTCAGTGCCACTGACCATTCTTCACGTTTTTGCTTACATTTCCGGAGAGGAAATGATGTTCTCTGGTGTTCATGACATATCAGTTGCAGTGTTGAAATCCATTGTTACCTTCCTAGAGAAGAGACATTTTGGCGCTAAGTTGCACCCAGGAAAGAACAAGTGTCCGTTCTCAGACGGGTCTTCCTCGCTGGAGTCTATCGCATCTAATCTCATGGAAATTCTTCAGGAATTTACACAGTCTAATACTTTGCATCAGAGCTTAACCGAGTTTAGGCCAGCACACAGAGATTTCCAGTGCGTATTGGCAAGGGATCAAAGTGTTACGTTATGTGACATTCTGTCACTGGTGGAGCTTATTGCTTGTTACACGGTATGTAGTTTTTCAAGAGCATTTCCAACTTTAAATTTCTGCTGTCTATTGAACCAAACTGATGTTATACATAAAATGCAGGCATGGGATTGGACTAGTGCGAACATTGTTGCTCCACTGCTTAAGTTGCTGGGAATGCCATTGCCAGTAAATAATCATGTTGCAGTCGTCTCTCTTCTTGGGCAACTTAGCAGGTATTTTTGTCTCTTTTTGCAGAAGGACTAATCTGATGCTAATACTATCCTAAATCTCCTCTCTCTTTTTGTTGGATTTTACAGTATTGGTGTGGATGCTTGTGGCTATGAAAATGAAGGAATCTCAAACTTGCGAGAGAAACTGACAGCATTTCTGCAGTGTGAGACGACGCTAAAAGCCGGTTTTGCTGTCCAGATAGCAACCGTGAGCTCCATCCTGAAGACGCTTCAGCTGAATTTCACTCAAGTCTTTCAAGGCAAAACCACCATGCTGCTTCCGGATTGTGGTGGTGACCAAAGCTTATCTGCTTCAGCCAATCTGGTTACCAAGTGGTTCTTGCTATTGAGCGACGAACAGCGAGCCTTCACATCTGACTTCTTACAAACCTCTTGTAGTTTATAGATGATTCCTCAGTTCAAAAAGTCATAGAAGCAGTAAAATTTTGGATATCCCCTCTCACTGTTGACTTATTTCTTTTGGTTCCAATATGCAGATACGAATGAAGATTGCATTGAGGTTCCATTTTAAAAGCAGTAAAATTTTGGTATGTCTCGTTTCGTTTGGATGTCTGATAAGCATATATATTTTTTTCCAAAGCAAAGTATAATATAATCTTCAAACAAAGAAGACACAAAATCCAATAAAAAAGCCCAAAATCCTTCTAGTAGCTTCTTCCATAATCCTTCTAAGCCTTCCACGGGGATCGGCTCTTCCACAAAGTCTGACTTGGCCTTGAAGTGGTTCTTGAACAGTGATTTTCCGGCGAGTAAAGATTTGGAAATCCCGCAATGTACATTACCGATTTTAATCTTTTATCCAGCTCATCTCGGTGCAGTCCTTCTTCGCCAGTCCTTAGCTCAGGGAAACTCCTCTGCATCACCTGTTTTATAAAAAGGGGTTGAAATTGTCAAATTGAAAAGTTTATTAGTTTTGAGAGTTTGAATTTAGACCCCATAACTTCTGTAAATTGGAATTATAACCCCGTCGTACCTGCATTAGCCGATTGGAGTCGCCGAGAAACTGGTCGAGATGGTTCGATTTCCGCTTTTGGTGGTTTTGCTCGCGGTCTGGATAATCACGCGAATGAAGACTTCTTCGTCGAGTTTGTCCGCGACTTGTTGCCATTTGTAGTTTTGTACAAAACTCTGGTCCCGTCTTGCTCAAGCATCTTCGTGACTGTGAATACCGTCACGGTAGCCGTAACCAGAACGAGCTTGATCTTCCAGGCGAGAATCACCCCGAAGCCCCCGCCTCCACCGCCACGAATCGCCCAGAAGACGTCTTCTCCCATCGCCGCGCGATCAAGGATCTGTCCGTCGGCGTCGACGATTCTCGCGTCGAGAACATTGTCAGCGCCGAGACCGAATTTACGCATCATGGAACCGTAGGCTCCGCCGACTAAGTGGCCGCCCATGCCAAGGCTGGAGCATAAACCCGCCGGAAAACCATTGGGTTTGGCTTTTCTCTTGGATCCTTTTAAGCGGGAAAGATAAACAAAACCGTTTAATTACCGGATCATTAGCTAAAGCTCAACCGATGCTCTGTTTGCTTATACTTTGGTTTGATTTCATTTCAACTATTGGTTAAATAAAAACCGGTTCTCGACTATAAATCTAAGAAGCGAATAATAGACGAATCGAAAAAAATCTTCAGACATTTCTATCCGAAAATGAAAGCCTTACTTCACGTAACCGGCAATAAATTAGGTGTAGACTGAAAAATGAAACGAAACAACAATGGATTCTAAAAACAAAAAAATTGAAGTTGATGTTGTTACAATGCTTTGTAACGAAAACAGGAAAGTTAAAAAAAAAGTAATCCTTCAACCGACGTTTTTAGGGAACCTATCTACTAAAAGTCTAAAACAAAGAGAAAACAATATTAACACCAAATGGCAATAGGAGAAAGCAAAGAAAACGTAGCTACTTCTATTTATTTCTTTTTAGAAAACTTATTTTTTGGCTGAAAACGTCAAAACTTTAATACTATTTGCGGGGGGAAAGCTGCAAAATAAATCAATAATATTATCAAAACATTTTTTTGTTTTGCTTGTTGAATGAAATGTAAATTATTAAGCATCATCCGTTTTTGTTATTAATTTTTTTTTTTTTAAAATCAACCATACTTCACGTTTTGCTTTCTTTTGATAACAGTTAATCTAGCTTAAAAAAGCTCATGGGTCCGTAAATAGCATGACCATGCGTAGGTGTTTGTTACCTGTAATAAACCTCTCCGATGGTAGCACCAGCGTGAGCCCACGCGCTGTTACTGTCCAAATCGACGTCGACCTGTCTAAGCTTCGACAGATCGATGATCACAAACGGAGTTACGTTCTCGGCGACGAACGAGAGCCCTTCATAGTCGTGACCGCCGCTACGTAGCCGCAAGTGAAGCTGGAGCTTCTTGGCACACACAACCGCTGCTTGGACGTGCGTCTCGTACTCGTACATGGGCTTGAATATGAACACAGGCTTGGGGTTCCACGGCGTCAAGTAACGGAGGTTCTGTGCCGTCGATTCAAGCTCTTCTTGAAACAAAGTAGCGTTTTGGTCGGGTGAGAAAAACGACGCCGTTACCGGGAACAAGAGTTGTCGACGAGGCACCTCATGAAATATTGTTGTAGTGTAATGACAATGGAACGGAGACTAGTACTAGTAGACTAGTAGTAGCGTCATCAGAAACGCGATTGCGTTTCGCTTTGATACCGCAAAGTCGCAAACGCCATATTTTGTTACAAATGAGGTATTTGTTTTTGGTTGTTGAGGTATGATGTGTGTGTGAAAACCTATGTTCAAAACATCGGAAAACGTTAATCGGCGGTCGGGTCGGGATTTGAGATTTTTTTAAAAACAGGGATTAAGCGGGGATTTTTCTTCCTGTAATTTTATTAAATATATGTATATATACTAAATACCTCGATGTAAACATTTGAATACGTCGTGGTCTAATGGCTCTGTGCGTCTTGACATATCCTCAGCGTGATGAGTTCGAACCTTGGGAGTACTAAACAATTTTTTTTGTAATGAATTGCAAAATTACAAAAATATCCCCGTCTTCTTCAATCTGTTAACCCTAATTTGGCCGCCTCCAGATTTTCTTCCATAATTGTTGTGATTTCTACTTCTATTTCATGTGTTTTTACTTAGATTTGAATCTAAACGAAATCTGGGCCCAAATTAAACGAAAATTGGCTCCAATTTTTTGTAGAAATCATTGACATCAATGAAATTTTTTTTCAGCAGAAATTACCTCCGATTTCCATTAAATTGCTCGGTGTGCCACCGATCAACGATTTTTGGGCCGATGCTATGCTAAAAACGGCGTTTTTTAGAACACAGGTGAAAACAGAGATACACTGTGACTAATAACAACAGTAACGCATCCTAAGTCTTAAGTCTTAACATTAGTTGTGGTAACCCTATGTAAATTTTGTCGACAAATAAACTTTTGGATTCCCGCGCGTCCCAATCTCAAAATTGGCGCCAAAATCGAGTGAAAGACGGAAATGCCCGAATCAATCGATACAGATACTGTATATGAGTCGAGAAAATTAACCCTAGCGCCAACCAGAAAACCAAATTCCGATGAAATCACGATCGCTAAAACTCCGGGAAGCCCATAAAGTCGGCGGAAGCAGCGCCGCCTCGTTTTGCTCGATCCTTTGGGACCACAAGGCGGAACACTTTGTGACTTCGTCTTCGTCGGATCCATCCATTTCCGTCCACGACGGACTCTCGCCTTCAACTTCCCCACCGACGGTTCTTCGACACCACCAAGACGGCGTCACCGCTTTAGCTCTCAGCCGCGACTCTTCTTTCCTCGCCTCCGGATCTATCGATCATTGCGTCAAGCTCTACAAGTTCCCTAGTAACTTCTCTAACTTCTTCTCATTCTCAATTACACAATCATTTTCGAAATTGATCGGGATTCTAATCATTATCGAATTCAGGTGGGGAATTTCAGACGAACATAACGAGATTCACGCTTCCGATTCGCGTGCTTGCGTTTAACGGCTCAGGCAGTCTATTAGCAGCTGCTGGAGACGACGAAGGAATCAAACTCATCAACACAATCGACGGCTCGATCGTCAGAGTTCTCAAAGGTCACAAAGGACCCGTGACCGGCTTAGACTTCGACCCTAAAGGTGAGCTCTTGGCTTCGCTTGACTCAACCGGAACCGTGCTATGCTGGGAGCTTCAAAACGGCATCGTATCGTACACCCTCAAAGGCGTTGCGCCGGACACAGGTTTCAGCAATTCGATTGTGAATGTTCTCAGATGGAGCCCCGATGGTCGAACACTCGCCGTGCCTGGCCTGAGAAACGACGTCGTCATGTACGATAGGTTCACAGGGGAGAAGCTTTTTGCGCTGAGAGGTGAGCATCTCCAGGGTGTATGCTATTTGGCTTGGGCTCCTAATGGGAAGTACATAGCTACGTCTGGTTTAGATAAGCAGGTGCTTCTCTGGGATGTTGAGAAGAAGCAGGACATTGATAGGCAGAAGTTTGAGGATAAGGTATGTTGTATGGCGTGGAAGCCGAATTGCAATGCTTTGTCTCTGATTGATGTGAAGGGGAAATACGGAATTTGGGATGATTTGGTTCCGTCGTCTATGGTGTCTCCTACAGTTGGGATTCCGGATATACAACCTAAGAGGAGGAATGAGATTCTTACTTTTGACGAGGAGTTTGAGGAGGAGTTTTCTGAGAATTTGGATGATGATGCTCGTGTGGAGAGTGATGGTGGAGAGTCTCGTCAACTTAGCAGGAAGAGATTGAGGAGGAATTCTTTTATGGATGACGATGGTGGTGATGTGAATGAGGGGTTTTACGATGAGATTAGCTTGCCGTCGAGTTCGGGATACAAGAAAAAAGCACATAAAGAGAAGCGTGGTGTGGGAAGTGGGGTTTCAAGAAGCGTTGCAGCATCGACAAGGTACAAGATGCAGAAAGCTTTTCAACCTGGTGCAACACCTTTGGAGCCAGGGAAGAGGACGTTTCTGTGTTACAATATGGTGGGATGTATAACGACGATTGAACACGAAGGGAACTCTCGTATTGAGGTGCTTTGAATCTTACATTTGTTATGGCTCACAATTCTTACACTTATTTCTTTTGTGTAATTTTGGAGTTTTTTTTTTGTCATTGTTGTTCTAAATGCAGACGGATTTTCATGATACTGGAAGTGGTCCACGAGTGTCATCAATGATCGACATCTACGGTTTCACTATGGCATCCATAAATGAAAGTGGATGTGTATTTGCAAACCCCTGCAAAGGAGAGAAGAACATGAGTGTTCTCATGTACCGACCATTTAGAAGCTGGGCCAGTAATAGTGAGGTTAGTGGATTATCACTTGCTCAAAATTCATCAGAAGTTTCGTACCATGATAGAAAATTTAATTAACTTGCCTACTTTTTTTTTTTATTAAAAAATCAAGTGGACAGTGAGGTTTGAAGGTGAAGAGGTGAAGGTTGTTGCTAACGGTTCTGGTTGGGTCGCTGCAATTACAAGCCGCAATTTGCTTCACATATTCACCGAGGGTGGTTTTCAGGTTTCTTCTTTGGCATTCTATTATATATCATGTGTCATCATAGTTACCATTCTCTGCTGAACCTATGTTTGTCTCGTACTGGAGTACTGTCTCAGATGAAATGCTTTTGTTGTACTATGAGAATGTGCAGATCTTGAAAAACAGTGAACTAATTTAAAATACTAGTGAAAGACGTGATTTAACATGAATGGTTGGGTGTTTTGACTTAAACAGATATTGACTAATGTGTACCTCAGTATTTTAACGCTGTGCTTATTTGATATTATTTGCAGAAACATATTCTTGCCCTTGATGGCCCCATAGTCACTGCAGTAGGATGCAAGGATCAACTTGCTGTGGTAACTCATGTTTCAGACTGCCTTTCTTCAAATGAACAGGTATGCATCTTTTCCCAACGGGTATTTCTTGTTCTCCTCATGAAGTCGCTTGGCATCTCTAGATAGTAAATAGTGTGAGAGGACATTGTCATTCATGTGTGGCTACCGATAACAATTCTTTTTAAGCTCTATAGTATGGCTCCAACGAGGAAACAGTGATCTTCATCCTAAACCAAGTACAAAAGAATAATATGAGTTTATCTTAATCTGGATTCTAGTTTCTTGGTTTTTTCTGTGGTTTCTCTGTACGAAACTTTCAAAATTTAGAGTAAAGACTGTTATGTACCATACATTCTCGCTTCATTCTTGTTTCAACAATATGCAGGTGATGAAATTTAGAATCGTGAACATATCTAGTATGACTCAGCAGTTGAAGGGCCGTGTTGCCATAACCCCTGGTTCACGTTTAACATGGATTGGATTCAGTGAGGAAGGTTGTTTTAGCACATACGACTCTGAGGTTCGCTTCCTTGCAATCTGGCTGACTCATTTGCTATTGCGTTGGTACTTCATTAGTCATTACATACAATACGCTGCTTTCTTTGCAGGGCGTGTTGTGGGTTCGTACAAGTCAAATTGGTGGCTCATGGATCCCAGTCTTTAGGTTTCTTGCCGTACCTATGAGCTATCTACAATTTTCTGAGAAGTTTCCTTACACACGTTTCCTCAAGGTGTTTTTAACTTGCTGAATTGGTTGTCGTTTTCAGTCCTAGTAAAGAGAAGAAACAAGAAGAAAACTACTGGGTGGTTGGCTTGAATACAACAAGTGTGTACTGTATAGCTTGTAAACACCCTGAGCTTTTCCCACAGGTAAATCTTTGTTATAGCTTTTACTTAGTCCGCGAAAATTTAGGCTGCCTTGCCCTCAACACTCTTCTTCATTGTAATTTCAGGTGACACCAAAACCAATCCTTACCATTCTAGACTTTTCTCTCCCGCTTCAATCCTCAGACTTAGGCTCAACATCTCTAATAAACGAGTTCATTCTAAAGCAGCGGCGTCTATACGAGGTTTTTTCTCTCTCTCCTTGTTACACAATTTTAATTTGCTGTTATCTCTCCCTTGTCTGTTCAAGTTTCGTAAGCAGTGTGATCTGAGTTAAATATCGATATAGAGTTGACCAATTCCAACATATTATTCCTAATCTCAGACTCACAGAAGAGTGGACGAGATGGATTTGTCCGGGGCTGACACAACAGCACTTGAAGATGAGGCTTTCGACCTTGAAGTTTCTCAAGATAGATGCATATTAAAGCTCATCAGCTCGTGTTGCAGTAGTAAGTCAATTTATTTACATGCGTGTGAGCTTGAGATACTAAGGAGTAAGAACATTTGTATCTTACTGCACGATTCTTTATTTTCATTCAGGTGATAAGTTCTTAAGGGCCAGTGAACTTATGAAGCTTTTAACTTTAGAGAAATCAATGAGAGCAGCAATAACACTTGTTACCAAACTCAAGCTTCCTTCCTTGGCAGAAAAATTCAGCAACATACTTGAGGTACTCTCTAGCAAGAGCTTTGATTTCTTACATTTTGCACAGAAGAGAAGAAAGATTTATTTTTTCGTAATGCTTAACTTCTGGGTTCTTCACTTACAGGAAAGATTGCTTAAAGAATCTGACGAGGCAATCACAAATCCAAGCACAAAAGTGGTTACAAGAGCTGAGTCCAAGGTCCAGAATCCTGTCGCTTCAATTCAGACAAGTGGAAACACAGAAGCAGTTCCGAAATCTTCGGGAACCAAGCTGTCTGCTATTTCACTTGTAAGTAAAGCAAAAGTCTCAGAAGGTGGTCTCAAGCTGGGAAAAGAAGAAACAAAGAGAGACGAAGCTGAAGATGCAAAGAAGAAAGAGGTCAAGGCACTGAATCTGATAAAGAATACGGTGAACAATGCTAACAATGGAGACAAAGAACCTAGAAAGGAAGTGAAACAGGTAATACGTTCTTCAAACCCGTTTGTGAAATCAATTGTATGATTATCTCATTTGGTGATTGTTATATTTAACAAGAGAGTGATGAATCCATTTTTGTTTCACATTAGACAATATTTTTCTTGAATGACACAAATTAAAAGAAATCAAACTATTCATTAACATGGGACACTAATGTACTGAAACAGAGAAGATACTAGAATTACTAAGAGGCAATTACATCTATAGGCACTTTGGACTTTCAAACTTACAATAAAGGCACTTATTACTCCTAGTTGACTTTGAATTGTTGCAATTACAAAAAACACCCTTTTTCTTTTACAGCGTGATTTTTTATTTTTACACATAATGAAACTTTTCACCTTCTTCTCTTCTCCTTCAGAGAATCAAACGACGAGGAATAAAAAAACCCAGAAACACCGACTTTCTTCTCCGATTCGCCCTCCGCCGGTACCATCGCATCAAGTATTTACGGATTTCAATCGCTCCCTCACACCAACCTTATTCTCCGCCTCGCCCTCCCTCTCCTTCTCTTTCTAAAGGATTGTTAGACGATTTTGTCGTCTCCTCTGCGAAAATTCATGAAAGGTGATTGTAATCTTACACCGAAGAGACAAGAGCTGTTAATCCACTTAGATAAGCGTAGAGATGAGAGCTGATAATCCACTTGGACAAGCAGACTTGGATGGGTTGCATGACTCGAACTGGAAGCAATTGATGGGAGAGGACATCCAACCACCAAAGGATGCCTGCACAGAGATATCATTCCGTACAGAGATCCCCGTCCAATTTTTACAGGCTGTTAATCCATCTAGACAAGCAAACGTGGATGAATTGCGTGACTCAAACTGGGAGCAATCAATGGAGGAGGATGTCCAACCATGAAAGGATTCCTGCACAGAGATGTAGTCTCGTACAGAGATCTTCGTCCAACTAGCACAAAAATGGTGTGTAGCCTATCCAAACTTAGCTATCCATAGTGTGATACTATGATGACTATCTCTTACAAAGGAGGATTTTTTTTATTGGAAAACATTATCACGGTATTGTGTGCTTGAGACATAAGTTATCTTACTTATCCTTATAACTTTACTTTTTATTGTATCTTAATCAAATTAGATCTATATAGTGGAGATAAAAAGAATCAAATTTACAAATTTGATGTCTCAAAAGCTCTTAAACAAAAAAATATTCAAAGGCAATACAAATAATTATGAGCAAAACTCAAAGAGAGAGTAAGAAATTCTCTAGAAAGACCAAAATAGTGAGAGAGCTAAATATGTATATGTTGTTTTGTCCACGACTTCATGTCCACGCTATCATATCCACAACTTCATGTGGCTATTGATATGCACAGTTGTACACGATTGAACGTAAGGAGAAGAAAATCACTGTCTACGACAAAAGTTGTAGGTTTTCTTTAACATATTTGTGTGGTATGACACTTTGTATAACCTCGGTGGTTTAATGCAAGGAGGCATTATATATCCTCCATACGAGAAAGTACAATAGCATGTCCACAACTTTATGTCCATTGTGAACCAAATTCAAAAATATGTTTACACTTTGATATGGACATAGGTGTTATATATCTATATGGATATTGATGTATGGACACGATCATATGGATACGGTTCCATGGAACAGTCTAAGCGATAAACAATAACTCAATAAAAACTCACTCAGTTGTTAATCATCTTTGTGTCCACAAAGTCATGTACACGTAAACATGTCCACACACATTTTATTCAAGCTCCAAAAATTAAAACTTTTTAGCTTTAGCTATTGCATTGGTATAAGAGGTCATTCACTCAAAGTAACTGTTTTTCATAAGCAAATTGTTCATATTTAAAATAATTAAACTGTCAACAAATCATTCATATAAAGTCTATAAACATCTAATTAAGATCATTAGTAATAAAGATGGCTAAAAGTTTCATTGCAAATTAAATCATCTACACAAGATCTAAAAATATGGTTTCACTTAACATCATTTCAAAGCATCCACATCAGATCATCCACACACATATTGTATGGATACATTTGTGTGGATGAGTTTGTATATATAGGTTTGTATAAATGAAGTTATATATAGGTCATTGTCATGTTTGAGTCATGTTATATCCATTCATATTCCGAAAGAATTATCCAAACAAAGACGTCCAGATGGACACATGACAGTGTGGATACGACTGCGTGGACATTTAAATCTGGACATGATCGCGAGTTGACCCAGATTCATCTTCTCCAAACTTCAACGAAACTAAAATCAGCTTTATTCATCTTCTCTACACTCAAAGAAAAGAAGCACAGATCTCCAACCCATAAACGCTGACTAACAACTTCTTCTCATTTGAATCCAACAAATCACGACCATCATTAAACGCCTTCTCGTTGACAATGATGCTTATGTTGTACAATCTTCCAACCATCGATGAAAATCAACAAAACTCAGAGCTTTAGAAAATCCATCACTGAATTTTAACTCAGATTATTAATAATTATCAGAGATGTGGTGGTGTACATTGATCGGCGTCGGCATCGAAACAATTTTTATGTTTTTGGTAAAAATCTCTCATTAAGGGTAGAAATGTCATATTATACACTATGAAACAAGACAAAATCCCTTTGGAATAGAAAGTGTCTTTGGCTGTTATTAGACTTTGCCAAAGTGTCTTTAGCTGTAATTTTCTCAATTACTAATACACAATGATACTGAAATAGAGAAGATACTAGAATTACTAATACAATGATACTCTTCCATACACAAAGCTTGGAACAAACACAGGCTGCGGAAACGCAAACATAGGCTTCGGAAACGGTGGAGGCTGCGGCAATCTTGTCATCATCATATGGTGGTGACTTGTCATCATTACAGCCTCCTTCCTCACCCGATCCGAGAAAACTCTGTACCCAAGTCCGTAAATAAAGCCTTCAGATTCCTCCAGGTTGCGACAATTCGGAGCTATTTTAGCAAAGACACGCGCTGTTAGCTCGCTGTCGGAGCCGGCGTGATGTGCGGTACCGACGCGGCTAAGCCTCAGCTCGTTCGCTAGACCCTCCAAACCAATCCGGCTACTTAGCCCTAGGCATCGACCAGCCATGACTTTTAGATCGAAAACTGAACTGAGAGTCCTCTCCACACACGTTGCGTATCTCTCTGCTGTCGCGGGTAAAGCTTCTCCGGTGAGGCTTTTGACTAAATAAGCGATGTCATAGGATCCGTGGAAAGCGACCCAAGTGATGTTCTTTGTCCGGTTTAGAATCCAACCCAAGTCCGAGAAAAACCCTTCGGCTCCAATTCCGTGTTCTCTAATCCTCTCCAGATTCAGGCCGTTGCTTTTAAGGAAGGCAATTGATTTCTCGTTCTTCTCGTCTTCGAGTTCATTGAAATCCGAGAAGTTAATCTCCCAAGTGCCTCCGATTCTTCCATTGCCGTCGAACAGAGTCAACCCTAGTTGGATTAGCTTTGTCCGATCAACCGTGAATCTCATGTCGTCGTACCTTTCCTCGTCCGTAGCATCTTTCGATGTCTCTCTCAAACAGCCCGGAAACTCTGAATCTAATGCGATGTATCGGTGATTTCTTAGACAAAGTTCCATCGATTTCATCTCCTGATCTCGGTTCGAACTCCAAACTTCACGAGTCATCTTCATGTTGTTAATCGACAATACGCAGAAGAGATCGAGAACGAAAGAGAAAGAGAGAGAGTATCGAAAACAATTTCTGATCAAGCGAAGTGCGATGTAAGAAGTCTTGCGAATCAAGTTTATATAAGCGAGAGAGAGAGAGAGAGAGTATGGAAAACAATTTGTGATTAAGCGAGTGGGCTGAGAGTCTTGCGAGTCAAGTTTATATCAGCCAACAACAATCTGTGTTTCCTTTTTTCATCATATTTCCTTTTTTCAGTTTCTCCATATTTCCTTTTTCCTTTTTCTGTCTATTTTTTATTTATTTTCAAACCATTATAACGGTTATAGTTATAATAATTCGACCCGTTTTCTTCAATGGCATTAAACTAATTATATACGGTCATACGAATAATTTTGGTTCGACTCAAAAACGTTGCGGTTCGAATTTTTTTGCCAAACCCTAATTTCAATGGTAGAATCAACTCTTATATCATCAGCATAAAAACACACTGAATTTAAAGGATTCACAAAGGAAGTGATACATCAAAGACGTGTTAAAGAAAATCTACTTAATTTTCCTTTTCTCAGCTACACACAGCAGAAACTAAAGATGCAACAAGTTCGAAATGAAGCTCCAACCCATCATCCATGACTTCTTATCCGCAGGAGACGCAAAGTTAAGCTCAAACATTTCTTTCCTTATGTTCTCCCCTGAGTCACAGAACCCGACGAGCTTAGCCACAATCTCTGCACTCTCTCTAACGTGCTGCATATTATGTGGATCCGTCCACAGCTTATTGATCAGCTGTTGCCTCCTCTGTTTCCCTACAGGCGGTACCTCCCATTTCGTGTAAAGCATCTCTCTCTCTTCAGCTCCTAGCTTCGTGTTAACCCGTTTCGCCAAGCACTCTCTCTCCTGCTTCAATGCTCTTACACTAAAAAAGAACATGATTGTCAAATTATATTGACTCATACAAGAAGAAGAAGTATCTGTTCACTTTACTTTCACTTACCTTGATGCTACGTAGCTGGCTGGTTCATCGCCGAGCAGTGCTGCACTCGCGTTTCCAAGCTCGGCTAAGTGCTGTTCGAGCCATGTCAGCCTCCGGAGCTCGACTTCCATGTAGATTTGATCGGCTGGGTCTCCTTTGAACAGCATGTAGAACTGCGTCCTGTGTATGATTGAGATGTGGCAAAGATGCCATAACATTATGATCTGCTTTCTCTGTTCTTCAAAACTCAACACCCAATCCATTTGAGATTCATCTGTTCCGTCTGACTCCGAAGCAGCAGCTGCCTCGTTTGCCTCCATTTCCAACACCTAAAAAAGGAGAATCACATGAACAAACAAGCAAGCTTTCGAGTTACTGAAATGAACGAACATCAATGAGGATTATAAACTACTGACCTGGCAAACAAGAAGCTGCTTCTGGTACTGAAGCTTAGCGACACGTTCTTTCAGTCCAGTAACGTAACCTTTGATGTTACGTATGTTATCTTCAGCAGCGTTCTTAAACATACGCTTCATCCTCTTCACATCGACGGAATTCGCTTGTCGTGATCCTTCCTTTGACGGTGTTCGGTTATCATCCCGCTTTGGTGGAGTCGCTGCAAAAGACACTGGTGCTGAATTTGCAGAGACGACGATATTAGTCTCAGGAGCCTTGTTCTCAGTCCCGGAAGAAGAAGAAAGAGGTGAACACGGTGCCCTGATCATATGATGTATGTTGGGACTGTTACTCAATCCAAAGGGAAGGACTCTCTTCTTTTTCATCTGGGTCCTGAACTCTGGAGGCTGCTGTTCATCTATCTCATAAGACGAGACGAGCATGTCGATGGTTTTCTGAACAGTCTCAATCTTTTTCTCAAGAGCTGCGATTTCTTGAGAGTTTAACCGGGTTATTTCTTCCTTCAAGTTAGCTTTGTCGCCAACTACGATCTCCTCGGCTAAACGGTTGCTCTTCTGCATGTCGTGGATTTCTGAAAGCATTTTAGCGACTTTCTCTGCAGTTTGTTGATCGCCCAGTTTGTTAGATGTCACTTCTTTGTGGATTAGCTCTAGCGCTTGGTTTGCTTCCTCGCCTAAATCCTTCTGATTCTTTGCAAGCACACGGATTGCTTGGATCAGCGCTGTTGGATCCGCTGAAGTTAGAGACTGCCTCGCATTATCCTTTCTCTTGCCACGAATTGTTCTTTTGCTTTTTGGAACAGATTTGCTTGGACTACTGGACTCCTCCTGAGTACGGTAGGAGAGACACCTCGCTACTTGTGAAAAAGGTTCACAATCACTTGACCCCTGAAATCAGTTATTGTCATGCATAAGAAGAATGAAGTTTCCCCAGAAAAATGTTGGTAGATCAATTATATTCACGCACATACCTTTAGCTCCTTTGCTTTTCTTTGTAGATCAAGCTGAGATTGTGCAATGTCTCTCTGACGCTTTAACTCTTTCATCTCCGTTTCCATCTGCCAAAAGATTCACATGAATGAATAATTGCTAGTGATCCTCTCTAAACTTCAAGTCCACGTTTTAAATATCAAAAAGAGATAATACAAGATGAGAGTCCTGATTATTATCGTATGTGTCTCCCTACCTGTTGGATTTTCATCTCTTTCTCAACTAACAGAGACTTTAAGCAGGTAGATGAATTGGACTCTGGGCTTCTTAACTCTGATTCGAGTTTGGCTACTTTTTTCTGCAGATGTTTCACAAGTAATTTTTCTGAGACGACCTACAACAACAAATCAAATCCCAGAAATGAATACCAGTAGAAGGGTGTATTAAGAACATTTTTTCCAGCGTTTGAAGCCAAAGGAGAAGAGCATAACTGACATACCATGTTTACTTTAGCGCAGTTTGTGACTTCCTTTGCACTCATGGCAAAAGAAAGAGTCTTTTTTGTCTGCTCAACGTGGCTCAGGGCTGGACTGATGGTACATATTATGGCTGTTCTAGCATTCCCGCCAAGTGAATTTTGCAGAATCCTTGTAAGCTTTGAGTCTCTATATGGTACATGATCACTTCTTCTTCCGGAACTACATCCAAAATAAGAAAACCAAAGGTGAAGTTGTTCATCAAGGTAAAGATAATTTACACAAAGACAATCTAGTATTGTGCTTTCTCACCTCAGCTTTCTGATCACTGTCGTAAGTGTCAATAAACTTCGGTTAATATGACTCCCTTCCTTAAACCTTAGACCATCTGTGTTTGTTTGACAAGCACGTTCGCTTCCAGCAAGATCAACAAGATTCTGCACCAATTAGAGTGTCTTAGTCTCTTAGATACCAAGTGAAGCTTTAGCCAAAATATACTAAAAAAAATGGCCTACCAGAGTTGCCATGAAAGACTGCACATGGCCTGCTATTTCCCTGAGATTGCTCTGAATGGTCTGAATATCAAAAGCAGAGAACATGAGATGGTGTTGTTGTTTAACAGATAACCAATAGTTATGCACAACTATCTCTTCCATGTTCAGAAAATTAAAGAAATAGATTATTTATTCGATCATGCAGCATATAAAATGAGCATAGGTCATACCAGCCGAATAATCTGATGAGATCTTGAACTTTTGTCGTTCAAAGCCGTTTCACCTACTTGCCTTTGAGCTGTAACAAAAGCATATGAAACATCACATAACAGGAAAGCAAATTATGATAACATATTTCTCATTGAAGAGACAGTGTGTCATATATTGCATATTCCGTCAACTATCACTACTTTGCCAAACATATGCATCCAGAATACAATGACCATCAAATACAAAAGACAAAGATAATCATATCATCACAATTGATAGGAAGTATTACCTTCACAAATGCCAATTAAATGCTGCAAGTGTTGCCTGCTTTCTACCACTTCATCCACCAGATTTTCTACAATGGTTCCTTTCTGCAAGGTAGACAACATTCTCAATCTAGCCGAGATAGTGGATATCTATTTCAACATTGGATCCTTTACATACCTCTGGATCATCTAACAGTCGAAGGGGCCCAGTATCACGACTTAAAAGGTCAACCACAGTCTCGTTATAGATCTCCAAAGCAGATACTTTCAAGACAAAGCTCCTTTCTTGAGTCTGCATAGATTTTAATAGATCCATGAGTCTAGAAGGAGAACATATCAGCCTGTAACAAGACCAAGAGATAAATTTGTCGCTCACTTTTCTTATATGCTCGTATATATCTTTAACAACACTTTCAGTAACACCCCTCATTGTAAAGGTCTTGCCACTGCTGGTCTGACCATAGGCAAATATAGTTGCTGCAATGAACAGAGACAATAATTCACATATCCATGGGCACAAATAACTAAAGCTTATTAAAAGTGAAGATATCCTCAGATGTCTGCTTGATTACCGTTGGTTCCTGCTAATGCAGATAGTGCAACATCCCTAGAACCACCTTCATAAACCTCTTGAGTCGCACAGTTTGGCTCAAAAACTTTGTCTATAGTTACATGAAAAAAAATACAAAAGAGAGAAGAAGACGAAATAAGCAATAAGATAATTATGAACAAGAAGATTCTATAAAAGAAAACACAAAGAGAATTCTAATCTTATACCAAATGAATACTTTGCTGCGGATCTCTCAGGATTCGGATTCTTAAACACTATGGTCTGATCATCTGGACAATCCCAAGCAATGAGATCATATTTGGCATGTTCCCTCCAGTTCAATGGCCTCATACGAACAGTGACTAGTATCTTCTCCTCTGTAACTCTGGAACCACTTGGTGTGGACGGACTGGCTCGATCTATCTTACTTAACGGCGTCCTGGGTGGTCCCATCATCTTCTACACACAATTAAACCCAACATAAGAAACTTTATAGTACGTTTACAAATCTACTATACGTCAGTAACATTCCAGTTTGATATCAACACTATTTTCCCCTTATCAGCACCAGAAATCTCTAATCACGTCTTCTTAAAGCAATTTTCTTTGAAAATCAACTGCAACTATTGTATAGATTGGATAATCAAGAGAAACTAACATAAATAAATTCCATCTACTGAATCTGGAATAACAGGATTTCACGCATACATCATACACCCAATTAAAAGCCAAATTAGGAAAATTATTACGATGATATGAATCACTCTGTTCCTTTATTGATCCCTAGAAAGCTCGAATCACGTCTTTCTTAAAAATTAAGTTCGATTTCAGCCAGAATCAGCCAATATTGAGTAGCATCAATCTACTATACTTCGTAATATTCCAGTTTGATATGAACACTCTTTCGTTTTATCAAATTTCACCTATCCATCAACAGGAAACTCGAATTACATCTTCCTAAATATCAACGACCCAAGGTTTTCTGCGAAAATCAACTGTAACTGACTAACTGTTCGTTCGATTCGAAAATCAACAGAGACTAAAATAGAAACCCCTATGAATCAACGAGATTACATGAATACATTAAAAGCCCAACATATAGTCACCTGAAATGAAATCCCGAAAAGGAAAGAAGATCGAGAATCTGTAGAATCACTTACAGATATGGAGAGATTTAACCAGCGAAAATGCAGATGCGGCGGTGACGGAAGGAAGATTCTCCTGCGAATCTTTGGAGAGTGGGAAATTGATCGACGAGAGAAGACGAAGACGATGGTGAGATTAGGGATTTTTCTAAAACCAGAGAAGAGAGGAAAGAGATGAGTAACGGAAACTATTTTCTTGCTGCTTTTCTGGGTTCTTCTTCTTCTTTGAACTTTTAAATTAAAATCGTTTTTTCTTTTTACATTCGCGCACCTGAAATTATTTTGAACTGAACGGTCGATGATCGATCAGCGTTTTTCACGTGCCACGTGTACGACTATGACTCCACCTCGGAAAAAGATTTACTATAAACAACGTTGTTTTACGCTGGAACGAGATTTTCAATTGCAAAAACATAGTATAAACATTTTCTGGATAAAGGCATTCATTTTTTTTATAAACATATATAACAAGGTCGGAAAAAATATTTATAATGTCTATTTTTATTTTCTCCGAGAAAATGGACCGTTTTTAACCACAAATCAATGGTTTAGTTTTGATAGGCATTTTTTATCAGTATCACTATATTTGTTTGACGGATTATCGCCAATGGACTATGTCACAAAACTCATATATCATCGTTTACTAAGATTCAACCACAGAAAAACCATTTGTAATCACATGATTCTTTGACCATCAATTCCTCCTCACTTAAACAAATCATCTCTACTCTTCCTTTTGGCAAAAAAAAACAAAAGAGAAGGAGCAGCAGAAGAACAACATAATAAGAAAAATACATAGAGAACCTGATTTTACAATTACTTGTGGAGTCACCAGCCCTAATACGAGTTAGAAAGGGGACGAAATTTAAAAGAGAGAAAGAAGAATTATATATGTGACTTGTTCTTTACTCTTCCGTTTCTAGTGAATCTCCAGCTGCAAGAAAACAAAAATTGAAAAATCTATAAGACTTTATGGTATCTGTCCATATTCGATAGATATATATTCAAGATTTGATCTTGTCCTCATAACTCACAACAACATGCTTTTTACTCTATATACATGTGTGATCTTATATCGTTCTTGTTTATACATGTGCATCAACAATTCAACATCACACTTTAGTTTCTTGGTAACAAGTGGTTTTATTGTAGGTTATCACTTATCACAATTTGATGTAGGATTTCTAACATATTTTTCTATAACCAAATTGCAAATTTAATTCGAATAAAGGTGTAGTTGAATTACCCGAGGTGTCATCGTTTGGATGGTTCTCAATGCACTTAAGCAAGTACTTGAAAGTTTCGACCTCACAAGGAATGGTTAAGGCACCGCTGTGATCAAATCCATATTCTTCCTCGGCTTTTTCGAGCAAGACCTTGAAGACAGAGTGGCTTAAGAAGTTTGTGGGTATGATAAATCTTCGGAGCTCGGGTCCAACATACACCGCCAAATACCCTTCAGGAACATCAGGCGGTGGCTCGGGGCTTTGGCAAGTTTCCTCGTCCGAGTCACAAGTCTTCAAATCTAATAGCCTCTTGTTTATAATAACCGGTGAAATGATGGCTGTGTGCTTCCCATCTCCCAACTCTGTATCATCTGACTTTGAACCTATCGTCACACTTTGCCATTTTTGTAGAATTTCTTTAAGCCTCACAATCTGCTTTATCCCGGTTAACTTTGCTGCGTTGTTTTCATCCATTTTCTCCTAGTAATTAAGGATATATAATATCTTCCCAAGCAAGCTGCATTTAATAATCCCACAAAACAATTGATCAACTCACTTGAAGAAACAATCAAAAAAATTCATTTGAAGAAGGATAACAAAAAAAAAACTCAAGTTTACAAAATCAGCCTCATATCATTAATAAAATACGTCAATTTCCCATGTTTCTTTCTATATTTGTCTATACATTTTCTAACAAATCCAAATGCAAGATGCAAAGAATCCAATGCACATGAATAACACGGAAAAAGAATTCCCAAATATCCAAATTCATCAAGCACATAATTGTCAGTACTCGTTTGTGTTAATTGCATAGGAATACATAAATTACCAGGAGAAGAAACAGAAATGAAGCACTCTTAGACATGAAGAGGAAACGCCATTCAAAAGGATGTTGTTAGCACCTCCAGAAGATTTTTTTTTATTTTTATTTTTTCAAGGATTTTTGGGTAAAAAGATGATGATAGAGATTTCCAGGTAATTGATCTAGGAAAATTAAAAATTAAAAATTCTAATTTTAAAATAATTTCCTTATTTTGGATTTTGTAATTTCATTGATTTTCTTTACAAAATTCTTTTTTTTCTTGGCCTTCCCGTTACTTTCGCATTTGCAGGGGGTTCTTCCGTTTTAAATTCTATCACTAATGACAACGAACAAAATTTCTAATACTAATTTTTTTATTCTATCACTAATACTAATTTTCCGATTGTTAAGTGAAGCCCTTTAAGATTTATGTGCGAGTCCTAAAATTCTGAATCAAGAAAAAGCCCATTGGGCTTTATCAATAGAAGACAACTTTGGGAACTTGGAAAGAGATTGACGTGTTACCACCGTCACCAATCTTTCCCTATCTTCATCTTCTTCCACTCATAACTCCACATTTCTTAATTACTTCACCAGAGTGCGTGCATGAAGCAGTAGAGAGACGTCTTGGTAGAGGGAAAAAATGGCTGCTTCGTCTTCTTCATTCACTTTCTCCAATCACGCCACACTTCACTCTCTCCCTCACAGAAACACCCTTCTCACCAAAACCCAGTTTTCAGTTCCAACAAAATCATCAGAATCTAACTTCTTTGGTTTCAGACTCTCTCACTCTTCCTCTTCTCTCTCTACCCTCTCTTCACATTCTCTTAAAAGCTCAATCTTTGCCAAGGTACATTTCGAAAATCTTGCCTTGTTTGATTGGTTGACGTTTTGTTTGCTACAATTGGGTAATGATTTCTGGGAATTATCTTCTTTGTTAGACCAATGCTGTTTGCAAACTTTGATGTCTTATCAGATAATTGCTTTAGCTAACTTTATATATTTTTTGAGCATTAAGATAAAATATTAGCAAGGCAAATCAGGTTTCATTATTTTCAAAACAATATATTTATAATTCTCTTGAGTGATTATACATCTCTGCTTAGGTGATTTAGGAGCTGCTTTGTAGCTCTCTTAGCAGTGTCATTCAAGAACATGAAATGCATAAGAGAATTGGAATTTAGGTGCCATTGTACTGTTATAAGAATCAAAATCTCTGTCTTGCATGTTACAGAAAAGTAAAGAACAAAAGATTCTTGAGATGTAAACTGAAAAGACATGTGGTTCAGAATCATAAGAATGCAAATGTTGGGTCTTTGGGTCTGAATTCGAATGTTATTATGATAGATTCAGTAATGATTCTCTTGGTGTAGAATACAATCAAAGACAAACTGAAACTAAAAGAAACCAACTTATAAGACCCTGAAACTTTCACAAACCTCAAATCAACCAAATACTAAAATGCTTTTTTACATTTGGCTAAACTATGAACTATCTTTTTTATCTTCTTATGATTCTGTAAATATTTATGTGTAATGTTTTTGGTGACAGGCTAACAAGGGACAGGCTGCACCAGACTTCACACTAAAGGATCAGAACGGAAAGCCAGTGAGTCTCAAAAAGTATAAAGGAAAGCCTGTTGTTGTCTACTTCTACCCTGCAGATGAATCTCCTGGCTGCACCAAACAGGCTTGTGCTTTCAGAGACTCTTATGAAAAATTCAAGAAAGCCGGTGCAGAGGTCATTGGCATCAGTGGTGATGACTCTGCTTCTCACAAGGTAAGAAACACATCAAAAACCTCTCATTTGTGTGAGTTAAACCGGCCTTTTTCAAGTACAATAAACCGGAGTTTGAACCATTTTGCAGGCGTTTGCGAGCAAATACAAACTGCCGTACACACTGTTGAGCGACGAAGGGAATAAGGTGAGGAAAGACTATGGAGTGCCTGGAGACTTGTTTGGGGCGTTGCCAGGGAGACAGACTTACGTTCTTGACAAGAATGGTGTCATTCAGCTTATCTACAATAACCAGTTTCAGCCTGAGAAACACATTGATGAGACCTTGAAGTTCCTCAAAGCTGCTTGAACATCTTCCTCTCTCTTCTTTCCCTTCTTTTCTTTTCATCTTCTTGAGTGTTACAAGTTACAACAACAATCCATGAGCTTCCTATATTTGTTATGATGTGTTGTTCCAATGAGCCTCTTCTCTTATGCGATTGCAAGTACTAATGAAGTATCAAATCAATGAATAAAATATGTAAATTTATTCAGTCGTTAGCATTAGTCCACTAAACTAGTGAGAGCAAGTCTCTTATTCCCTAAACTTACGAAAAGTTTCGGAACTAGGCCTGGTATTTTTAAAATTTGGTTTACATAAAGAAACTTTATTAAAGACTTCAAATTTTGTTATTAGAACCCAAAAAAAAAGACTTCAAATTTTGTTTGAAAAAATGTTTTAAACTATAGTTTTCTTGATATTCATTTGAGAGTGTATACCGGACGCCTAAGAAAGCAAAATGTCCTGACTAATTTCAACAACCATTGTGACTAGTTTTTAAATGATCTATTTTCACCTTACACATTATTAATTTATTATACATCTTAAGCTTGTGAAGAAATAATTCTTACCTAAGAAGTAAGAACATCAATGATGTATGCACCTCCTTAGTGTCACGTATAAGTCATTATCTTTTTGTTTCATTATAATGTATCCAATCAAACTAATTAGGTGGGAATTTGATAATAAATTTCAACATCTTAGTATATATTTTCTCATCTCTTTTTTCTTCTGCGACTTTGTTTATTATCCCACACACACAAACTTTTCTTATCATTGGCAAAGCAAGCTATTTACTTGATCATTTTAATTAAAAACTAAAAACATTAAAAACAAATCACAAACAGATGAAATAATTAGATAAGTAGCCGAGAACTTAAGACTGGTGATTAAATATGTCTTTTTGTTTTAATAAGCAACAAAAAAATGAAAACAAAATTGGATTCATAGAGTGAGATCCGTAACAGACCAATAAGGCTGTACCACGTGTCTCAATTCACTTAACACTAGCAGAAACCAGCCGGCAAAACTCGAGGGAATATACGACAGTGTCAGGAGCTTCAGTTCCTGACCAAACACGTGTAACAAAACAAAAAAACAATTGTAATTTCAGAGCCAAACGTTTAGAATAAAGATTTTCGGAGCATCTTCGTTCTTGATACTCAGCATCTATGAAAGATCCACCGTTCAACTTGACATGATCTAATGGCTCAGCATCTATCTCTCTTCAGATCCGTTATCCAAATAGCTCGATCAAATCCAACGGCTCAGATTTCATCTCACTTCAAACTAATCCTGTCTTTCTTTTCCCTTTATAAATTGCCACTAAACCAATCTTCAAGATACATTCAGAAATGGCGACCTTGGATTCTCCGTTGGAGGTTTTTGCTTTCGACTACGTTAGCTTCGTCCTCAACAACCTCTGGACATGGATCGCCGTCGTGACGGCCGCCGTTAGTTTCTGGCGGATCCGAGCCACCACAAGCGGAAGCGAAAACATCGTCCGCTTAGTAGAAGAATCTCCTCGTGAGCAAACGAAACAACAAGCGAGGGCTCCTCTCGTTGTAGAAACGGTACCACGAGTGACGGTAACAGATACGGAGGCTTGGAGTCCGTTAGTGTGCAATGACGGAGTGACAAAGGGAAAGATAACGGTGTACTACGAGGAAGAGACTGACGGAGGGAAGGATAATGACGACGGAGAGGTAACGGACGTTAGCTACGGAGGAGGTGAGTGTGGGGAGTGGTGGGAGGAATGGGAGAGAGTGGTGAGGATGAGAAACGGAGGTGACGGTTGGTACCGTTACGTGGATTTAACGGTGATTAACGGGAATGTGGTGAGGTTGTGGGATGCTAACGGAGTTCGTAACGGTGGTTGGGTTAGTGTGCATGGTAAGGAGTGTTATGGTTGAGACATATACGGAAAGTTTTAGATATTTCTATTTCGAGCATGATTGTTCATTGAACCTTTTTGGTCTAAGCCTATTTGTTTTTGTTGAGCTAAAGTTGTAATTTGTATATATATTTTAATTAGTGATAAAACTGTTGAACAAATTAATTTTCTTGCTTCCTTTTTCTAACTATGCTCCTTAGTTAATTGAACATCCGAATTGGCAGATCACACTGATGGGATAGAGTTTAGATAAGTTGAATCAACAATCTTTAACTAATTAACTGAACTGTCCAAAATTGTGTGCAATGGTGATGGCTAAAACTTAGTATACATGAATTGCCTTACAATAGATCAACAAAAATATGCCGAATAAACCAAATCAAATTTTTATTGAAAGTCATATATGAACTGCACCAAAGCAAAATACAGACCAATCAACATGCCCAAATGCAGGATATAACAAAATAAAAAACACAATGGGAAAACTGTTTCCCAAAGCTGATACAAAAAATTGAAAAAATGAAAAGAAAAAAAAATGCCAGGAAGAAAGAAGTTTATATGTCTTTTACACACAGTGGTAGAGAAATACAAACAAAAACATAATTTCTCAGATGTGCTTTGTGGTGGAATCGATGGATGTTTCATTAGTTCTTTGATCATCTTTGGGTTTTCTTCTTGGCAGCACATAATTGACACAGAAATAAAAACTAAACTTATGCCCCTCTCAAATTTGAATCTTAGGGTTAAGAAGCTCAACTCCTTAAGATCTATATTGGAATCATGTTTTCGTCGAGATTCACATGTTTAAACGTCAATTATTGTAGATAACAAATTAACCAAACAACAACAAAATCACAAACAAAAATCGCATAATCTTTTTAATCTTGCCCAAAACATTGGACCGCCTCTACAAAGATATGACAGGTTTGGTGAAATAAATTCTACAAATCAACTCGTCCGTCATATTATTATTTAGTCACAGACCGTTTCTTTAGTTAGACACTTAAACTAAGCCACATTGGTCAACTATATTGTAAACTATATATACGCAATCACGCATATTGTCTGGCAACTTAAAAGCCCATCCTAACCCTAATTTAGCAAGAAAGTCTCCTCCAATTCACTCCGTCGAACAACCATGGCCGAGAATCTCCCCAATAGCGAAGTTATCTCCGATTGCGGTCTCGAAAATTTCTACCCCAATGAGAGGACTACATTTGTCTTCTGGGACTTGGTGAAATACCAAATTCCTAGGGCGAAGCTTCAACCTGCAGTTGAAAGTAATATCAGAGCAGCTCTTTATAAAATGGGCCTTTATGGTTGTGTGATCATGAGAGCGTATGGTGAGAAGAAACTGGACCACCTCAAAGATGACTTGTACGAAGCCGGATTCTATTACAAACCAAACGGTGAATTACTCTACTTAATCCCTCTTCTCTGTTTCTACTTTATTATATTATTATATCTCTCTAATCTGTTGATGATATGTATTGCTTGCTTCAGGTGAAGTGGCTCTGGACGTTATTCTTTACGCTAATACGTGCGCACCAACGACACGAGGAAATTTCATGGTAATCCCAAGACCAGACCCAGATAGTGAGTTGCATAGGGTTCTCAAGTGTTTGCAGTCGAGAAGTCACGATCTTCTCTTAGTAAAGCCGCCTGATGACGACGATAAGGCACAAGATGGTTTACTTCTCCATTCCGTAGAGTCGCTAGTTGAATGTACACAAGCTTTAGATGGAGGGAAGCCTATCATCAGAGGGAGAAGAATGGGAGATACTCCTCTGATCGGAAGTTTCTCCAGCCTCATGTCTCTGTTGTGTCGTAACTCGTTGATGCCTTCTTGTCAAGGCTCTGAGAGGGACACATTCGTCTTCTGGGACTTGGTCAAGTACCCAATCCCTAGTAGTGCATGTATTAAATCTGCCGGAGAAAATATCGCAGCTCTTCAACACATCGGCGTTCATGGTTGTGTGGAAATCCTGGCGTATGGTGACAAGAAACTGAACCAAAGTGACTTGTACAAAGCCGGAATCATGTTCATACAAGGTGACTATTACGTGACAAACACTCTTTCTTGTTCGTTTCTAGTTTCCACTTATATTATTATGTTTATGGTGATATATTGCTTGCTTCAGGGTATTGTCAAATGGTTTGGGCCCTTAATAGTTTCCTACACCGTGGCCGTCAAGCAAATATAATGTTAATCCCAAGACCAGACCCAATCAACGGACGGCTGCTCAATATTCTTAGGCGTTTGGAAAGGAATCATCACAATGTTCTCTTATTAAAGCCGCCTCTTGATGGCAGGGGACTCGATTACGACGACTTTAATATATTTCTCCATTCCGTGCATTCAATAGTTAAGTGTACACAAGGTTTACATGGAGGAAAGCCAATCATCGGAGACAGAAGAAGAATGGAAGATTTCTCCGAGCGTATCACACACTACAACAAGGACGGTGCAACGGTAGGCTTTTTCTGGGACGTGGAGGATTTTCCATTCCCTGATGGTTTGAGTCCTGATGAGATCTATGCCAAAATCGTATCAGCATTTCGTGAAGATGATGACGTGACCCCCATGTCAATATGGGCTTACGTTGATGACAAGGACGTGTCTTGGGGTGGGGATTTCCTGAAAGACAAGACTTGGGAATCAAGTATCAACTTCCTTCCCGGAGGAGGGGATAAATCGGCGAGACTTAATAGAATGTTGCATGACATTCATTTATGGGCATTGGACACTCGTGTTCATGTTGCATATGTGTTCGTTGTATCGGATAAAGTCAAGCGTCACAAGGAGTTCTCCCGTAGGCTTAAATATATGCATGGGTCTGATTACAAAGTTTTCTTAGTAACTCCGTCTGGGAGCGGCGAACCAGCAAATGGCAGTGAGTGGCCAGAATCGCATTTTGGTCAAACATACAGTTTTGCTAGCTAATAAATAGCGAAAGCAAATCGGCTGGTAGAGAATAAATAGAACGACTTTTTTTTGTCTTGTAAAATTTGATCATGAATATTTTTGTTCTATAATTTTTCATACAAAAAGAAGATGTTGAGTGTTGACTTAGCCTTTCCCGTTTTATACTTCTGTGAGTTTGACTAATTGAGATGTAAAAAGTTTTAACCTAAAACTAAAGATTAAACTGTTACAAATTTATGCCGAATAAATTAAATCAATTTTTTATTGAAAGGCATATATGAACTGCACCAAAGCAAAATACAGACCAATCAACATGCCCAAATGCAGGATATAACAAAATAAAAAACACAATGGGAAAATTTTCCAAAGTTGATACAAAAACATGAAAAGAAAAGAAAAAATGCCAGGAGTAAAGAAGTTTATATGTCTCTTACACAGTGGTACAGAAATACAAACAAAAACACAATATCTCAAGTCAAGTGTGCTTTGTGGTGAAATCAGTGGATGTTTCATTAGTTCTAGATTGGCTTTTGCTGTTCTTGGCAGCATGAAACACCACTTGATCCTTGACAACATCCCCCTTCTCCGCGGTTACCCTTTGGTACCACTTTCTCAGCTTCTTCTTTGGATAAGCCCATTTGGCCCCTGAAACAGAACGTTGCTTAAGTTTAGTGAAGTCTGATGGAGTATATCTAACTTACCACCATAAATAGCAACCAAACAATTTAAGTAATGAATCCCAAGTGTTTGAAGAACAGACCAGAACAGAGGACGTTTTGAGAGAAATGAGTATGAAACCATATGTACCTCCAAATCTTATGAATGATTTCTCCTTTTGCAATTTGCTGGTCAATTAATTCCGGAACATCATCAGGAGTTACATAGCCATACCTGCATTTTTAAACTGCACGGTTATTCTCATTCGGTAGTGCCAATTCTAAAAGCTATTTAAACATTTATTAACTTGTTTTCTAAGTTTACAAAAACCAACTTTTGGTTAAATTATTTACTTACGAATTGCCAAGAATCTTTCCAGCTGAATCAGGACTGAAGATGATTATGTTACCAGCATACTTGTGCTGTCCAACGTGAGAACAGCGCCTGAGCGAGATTTGGTCTGATAGCCCACGAGTGCCAATCTCCTGCTTGAACCTCGCTAAGATGACAGGTCCACAAGTACCACATCTCATGTCCCGATTAAAGTGGGTACACACAAATACAAATGTTCCAGACAACTTTTCTGGTTCCCCGGATCTCCATGGTTTTTCATTCACAATAACATCTTCAAAGAAACCTTCCACGTCCGCATCCTTAAGCCCCCTTTGATTATAAAAGGAACACGACAAAGAGTGTTAAGCAACAAAATTAACACAGAATTAAAAAAACCTAAACTTATGCCAGTCTCGAATTTGAATCGTAGGGTTAAGAAGCTCATTTCCTAAAGCTCTATTGAAATCATGATTCACATGTTTTAACGTCAACTATTGTAGATAACAAAATAACCAAAATAAATAAATAAATCATTAACAAAAAAAAAAGAAAAGAATACAAGATTGACATAATATTTAATCTTGCCCAAAACATTTGACCATCATGATTTTAGTCAACTATCTTTTCCCAAAAAAAAACGTTCATTGAGAATCGAAACCTAGACGCACTACTCACTTATATCTGACCATATCCGGAAAGATCAACACATCTCCATCGGATCCATCACCTTCGCATGCATTCAGCTTCGTCTACAGTAACAACAACAAAAAAGCCCATAATTGCCAAAACGTCAGCCTAATAATTGTATGGCTATGTAGAATCTTCTTAAGTAAAATATACTGTAAAATATCGAGTGTGATCAATAGACCGAGTCTAAAGTTGCATTACCTGAACAGGGAGTTCAGATTTGCGACTTTTGAGCAACTTAGCGAAAAGCTGTGGTTGACCTTCCTCTTCTACGTTGAAGGGCCAAGCTTCAGGAGTCTTGTAATGCACGAAAACATGGCGACCGTACGGAGTAATGGAGTTGGCGATGTTGGTGCTGTACATCTCCGGCCGTTTAAACCCAAACTCAGTGTCTTCCATCGCCGAAACAGTGTTAGCAGTCGCCATCGACGATTCAAAGGAAAAAAATAAGAAAGATATTTAGAGTATTCGTAGAAGTGGATGCAAGGATGAAGCAAAGTAGTGCAACTTTGCTTATATTTATATCCATCTTTGCATTTGCGATCCTCCAAACATGTCTTAGGCACTTCAGAAAAAAATTATAAGAAATAAAAAACGTCTTAGGCACCACACGCGACTTTGGGTCCCAAATTTTTTGATATGACAGGTTGGTGACACAAACTCTACAAATCAAATCGTCCGTAAAATAATTATATAGTGACAGACCGTTGCTTTAGTTAAACTAAGCCACGTTGGTCAACTATATTCTAAACTATATGCAAGCACACATATTATACCATTGTGTTCCAGGCAAATCGTCTGGCAATGACGTTAAATATTTGTTCTTACCTCTGCTAATATAAACAAAGTATCATTATTAAGACAAAGAAGGAATCAAAGTTTATTTATTCGGTATAAGTTCTTAGCTTTATGCAACTCTAGTTTATGATTGTTAAGACTTAATTAACACACTGATGGAATCAAAATTTACGCATTTGCTCTAAATTCTGATAAGCTATGTGAGTATGTGATGCAGACGTGCTTCCAAATCAACTAAAGTAACCAATTCTCTTTATGAACTGAGGTATTTTATTTGTAATCTCTTCTCGTAATCGTTAACGTTGGCATGATGCCCTGTTGGCATCGCTTAATTTTATATTTCACGATGAACACTTCAACTGATATTTTTGTTTTTAATTAGAACTTGGGGGAACGTTTCAATGTCCTATACTATTAAAGTATTAATCCCATATGGAAATGTAAGTTTTGAAAGTGCTATCTATCTGTCGACCTCTCATGCCTTATCACAAAACATTGACTAAAACAATATTTGATTTTGTAAAATACTAGGATTCGAACCTTTGGAAATTACGAGGAATTTTCTTTATTTTTATGTTAATGTGATACAGTATCTAATATTTTATAATTGTATTGTATGTTATTTTATTATATCACATTTTTTTACATTGTATTTTTTAATGAAATTAAACGGTTTATGAATTCAAGCTAGAAGAACATAAAAAACAAAAAAACAAAAAAAACAAAAAAAAAAAAAACAAAAAAAAAGATGACCGAACTACTAATTCAAGCTGTGTATATTATATTGGTCAACCTTAATTAGTATTTTAGGACCCAATCCACATAAGTTTGAGTGAAATAATTTTGTAACTAAAACTAGAGCTTGAATTATAAAATTATAATTTTCTTAAAGTTATATAACTCTCTCTTTTTTTTTCCTTTTATATTCATCAAACTTGCATGAACGCAAAGAAGATGTATGAACTAACAAGCGAAAAAATTTAGAGTAGTTGATGGAAAGGTAAAGAGCATGTCAAATTAAAGAAGAAACATTAAGAAATTGTTATAAGAACAAGATGAAATTAATTATCAAATGTCTCAAGAGAAAGAACAAAAACTTGAATGGATCACTCAAGCAAAGTATTAAACAATAAGGTAGCTATAATAACGGGAGGAGCAAGAGGTATCGGAGCGGCAACGGCGAGACTGTTCGCGGAGAACGGCGCATATGTCATAGTTGCTGATATCCTCGAAAAAGAAGGCATCCACGTGGCAGATTCCATTGGCGGGTGTTACGTGCATTGTGATGTTTCCAAGGAGGCAGATGTGGAGGCCGTGGTGGAGCTAGCTATGAGACGTAAAGGGAGGCTTGACGTGATGTTCAACAACGCCGGGATCGCTGTGAACGAAGGTAGCATCACGGAGATGGACGTTGAGTTGGTTAACAAACTTGTTTCCGTCAATGTGAATGGTGTCTTGCACGGCATCAAACATGCCGCTAAAGCCATGATCAAAGGTACATATAAGTTATTACATTCTGCTTTTGGATTAGCAACATTTAGATATATTAAATGGGAATGTGCAAGCAGCCCTAATTTGAATGATCAGACAACAAAACTTATATAGTTATGATGCGAAGGGGGAGGAGGAGGATCCATAATATGCACATCGAGCTCATCAGGAGTGATGGGAGGACTTGGAGGTCACGCGTATACGCTTTCGAAAGGAGCCATCAACGGGCTGGTGAGGACAACGGCGTGCGAGCTCGGCTCTCACGGCATAAGAGTGAACAGCATCTCTCCTCATGGAGTTCCCACTAACATCTTGGTGAATGCTTACCGTAAGTACCTTAACAATGACAAACTCGACGTGGCTGACGTCACCGAGATTGTGGCTGAGAAAGGGAGTTTGTTGACCGGAAGGTCTGGCACTGTGGAGGATGTGGCTCAAGCAGCTTTGTTTCTTGCGAGTGAAGAAACTTCGGGGTTTATTACCGGACATAACCTGGTCATTGATGGTGGTTACACTTCTGCCACTAGTACCATGAAGTTTATCTACAACTAGAGGTGTTCTTTACTAGTTTTCTTGTCTTTCTTAACTCGTATATTGAACTATTAAATAAATGTTTTCTATGTACTTTTTACATAGTCTCAAACTGAGAGTTCTTCTAGAGTTGCAGAATAAGATTTGTCAAAATATGTAATGTTATTGAAAGTGTTTTAAGTTGTAGTTTTTATTTGTTTGTATGCCAATCACTGGTTACAAAAGCCTTTAATAAAATCAGATTAAAAAACTCAAAACTTACAAATGCCACAATATTGACAGTGACAAACTCATTGGTTTATGGTAAATGAAGGGTATAAACCATCGAAGTGAAGAAAATCAGTCGACCTAATTATGGAAAAGCCGAATTATTTAGTAGGTGATAAATAGCAAAACATAGACTAACAAGTGACTATAGAAAGTCTTGTTCATAATGACACAAAAGTAAATAAAAACAGGAGATGCAAGAACAATGACAAACTGGAACCAGTTAATAATCTCTATCTTTTCTTTTGCCCAGTTGGTTGATTTCCACTTGCACTAAGCTCGGAACATAAGAAGAGCACACAAATGGGTGACAGTAAGCGTAGCCATTATATAACTTTTCATGTAATCCGAGATGCAGACTCACAGATTTGAAGTATCCATCTTCTCCAACGATGTAAGCTACTTGATACCGAGAGGTCCCTGTTTGTTTAAGCCTTCCTATATCGAAAACCACAGCAATTTTCTTCTCCTCGTCGATAAAGAAGCTCCCAACATCAACCTCAAAGCTCAAACCAATAAGTGCCGTCCGATCCACTTTCAAGAACTTGCTCCAAGAAACTGCGTTAGGCTCGATCTTAGTCGTAACCCAAATCTCCATCGTCTTAATCAAGTCCAAGCTCTGATGTAACACAGCGACCTGATCTTCTCCAACACAAGACAGAATCACATTCTCTTCATCGCAGATGCGAAACGGCACAGCGAGACGCGATCCGAATCTTTCTCTAGTAAAATCGAAACAGAGCAAAAAAACTTGAATCTCTCCTCCATCGGGTGAATCTTTCTCTTGAGCGAAGAAGTAAGTGTTCCCTTTCAAAGACACGTCGTTGGTATGAAACTGTACGTCACCTTCCGGACTTACATCAAGAACCCTCCATGCATCAGAGCTAAAGTCGTAGATTTCGGATGCGGAAACGTAACTGCCGGGATTCATGCATTCATTGGAAAACCTCAAGATCTTGTGTTGATGGTTCTTGTTCTTGTTGTCCACTCCGTATCCGAGAGCATACCTGGTGTATCTATGGAGGTTGTTTCTAGGTAGAATCCACCTCGTTTGCCCTAAATACGGGTTCCATACAACGAGACTCGAGGGTTGGTCCATGGTTACGCATAGCAATAAGCCGTCACAGTGATAAACTCTAACAGTCTCCAGGTGACTTATTTGCTTGATAGATGAATCGATGAAGTCGCCATCGTTGTTGCGGATTCCTTGAAGATTGAACCTCAAGGAACATATCTTGAAATCCATTATCATGAACCCTAGAACCTGCTTCTTTGCTACTGATTTACCGAAAATATTGTATTTGGATAAAGTGTTCCATTTTTTGCAAGTAGATCTTACAGTTTTTAGAGATGTCATTGGAACTCTGTAGAGTATCTCCATTAACAAATCCTCTGAAAGATCGGACATTTTCGCCATTCTTGGAAGTTTTCAAGAAATCAAAGCCCTGCACAAAGGATTTTGCAAAAACCCCCATTAGCATTATCAGTAACTACAAATTAAAAACCTTTTTTAGAACTGAACATTTTTTCTCATTCAAAAAATTCAATAAAATCAGTATTTATCTTCCCCATAAATTCGATTTTCGCGAAATGAAAACCACATTCGTAGCTGGAAGAAAAGAAAAACAGAAATAGAAGAAATTGAAACCTAAGCGCTCAGGAAAGAGTGTTAAAAATTCTTAAAATGAGACAAAAAAAAAAGTTGAACGAAAACAGTCGACACTGAAGAGGTCACAAGTCACAACAATGAAATGGATGTAAATTGGTGAATCAAAAGCTTGGTACCTAAATCGATGGAGAAACTCGATCAGCCGAGAAACAAAGTAATGGGGAAGTAGACGAATTTTGGTTTAGTTTTTCTTAGTTTTGGAAAAGGAGGGGAAAAAAGGCCAAAATCTCATGAACTCATGGCTACGGTCAAATGAGCTCACTCATTTTGACTGAGATGAGATGGGAAAAAATTTGGACCCGAAAATCTGAATCGGAGTGGATTCGGAAAACCCCGTTTGGGGTGAAATGCTTTCAGATCGATTGGGGATTTTTCTGTTTGGGTCTGTTTCGAATTAGGGTTGGGTTTGGAGATTTTATGGTTCGAGGTTGGTTAAATACAAAATTGGTTTATTAGTTTCAATCGGATCTAAAATCATGGTTAACATGGTTTAGTTCGATTTATACTGGATTCGGAAACAGTAAACCGTATTTTCCAATCCAAATAATAAACCAACTAAACCACAGTTCCTTTGGGGATCCACGTATTTTAACTTATGAATATTTTAACCTGCGAGAACATACTTTGGGGTTTGGGCCGCATTGATACAATACAACACCATAATTCCTTGGAATGCCTCCATATAAGTTTCAGACTTTCAGTTCTAGATCTAAAGTCTAAACGGTTGCAAAACAAGTCATACGAACTTTGCAAGATTCCTCCTCCAATATTTTCTTATCTTCACCAACACTCTTTATCTCCCAAATGCTTTGATATCCAAGTACACTACAGGTTTCATAAAAAGGGAAAGCAAACCCAAAATAAAACTAACCCAATAGTCTTTGCCAAACAGAAAGCAAGAAACATATTAGAAAGGTTTTCAAATAGAGTGTGCCCGAAATTAAATTAAAGTTAAAGTTCTTGTTTTCATTTCAATCTTAGTAGTTTTCTTGTCGTATATTGAACTTTTAAATATTTTTTTTCTATGTACCTTTTACATACACTAGTCTGAAACGGAGGAGTTCTTCAACAGTTGCAGAATCAGATTTGCCGAAAAATGTAATGTTATTGAAAGTGTTTTAACTTTTAAGTTGTAGTTTTTATTTGTTTGCTACTGGTTACAAACGTCTTTATTAAAATTAGATTAAAAAAATCCAAAAACTTACAAATGCCAATATTGACATTGAAAAACTCCTTAGTTTCTGGTAAATGAAGGCATCGAAGTGAAGGAACTCAGTCGACCTAACATATTATTAAGCTTCTTTTATCAAGAAACTCACAAATATGATTCTCTTCACTCCTCTCTCTAGCTACTTCCACATGAAATGAAATCCTATATTAATCACATGAGTGGCTTAAATATGGAAAACCCGAACTATTTAGTAGGTGATAAATAGCAAAACATTGACTAATAAGTGACTATCGAAAGTCTTGTTCATAATGACATGAGAGTAAATAAAAACAGGAGATGATGCAAGAAACCAAGTAAAAAATGGAACCAATTAGTATCTTATCTTTTGCTCTTGGTTGATTTGCACTTGCACTAAGCTTGGAATATAAGAAGAGCACACGAATGGGTGACAGTAGCCATTATATAGCTTGTCATGTAATCCGAGATGCAGACTCACAGATTTCAAGTATCCATCTTCTCCAATGATGTAAGCTACTTGATAGCGAGAGGCCCATTCTTGTTTAGGCCTGCTTGCACCGAAAACCACAGCGATTTTCTTCTCCTCGTCAATAAAGAAGCTCTGAACATCAATCTCAAATCTCCTGTCCACTTTCAAGAACTTGCTCCAGGAAACCGCGTTAGGCTCGATCTTAGTTGTAACCCAAACCTCCATTGTTTCAAACAAGTCCAAGCTGTGATGTAACACTGCCACCTGCTCTTCTCCAACACAAGACAGAGTCACATTCTCTCCACCGCGAATGCGAAACGGCACAGAGAGACGCGATCCGAATCTCTCTCTTGTAAAATCAAAACATAGCAAAAAAACTTCAACTCCTCCATAATATGAAACTTTCTCTTGAGCGAAAAAGTAAGTGTTCCCCTTCAAAGACACGTCGTTGGTATGAAACTGCACGTCACCTTCCGGACTCACATCAATAACCCTCCATGCATCAGAGCTAAAATCGTAGATTTCGGATGCGGAAACGTGATTGCCGACGTTGAGGCAATAATCATTGGAAAACCTCAAGATTTTGTGTTGGTGATGGTTCTTGTTCCTGTTGTCCACTTGGTATCCAAAAGCATACGTGGTGTATCTATAGAGGTTGGTTATAGGTAAAATCCACCTAGTTTGCCCCAAATACGGGTTCCATACCACGACCCTCGAGGGTTGCATGGTTACGCATAGCAATAAGCCGTCACAGTGATAAACTCTAAGAATCTCCAGCATGCTTATTTGCTTTATAGATGGACCGATGAAGTCGCCATCGTCGCGGATTCCTTGAAGATTGAATCTCAAGGAACAAATCTTGAAATCCATCGGCACGAACCCTAGAAACTCTTTCTTCGCTACTGATTTACCAAAAATATTGTGTTTGGATAAAGTGTTCCAGTTTTTGCAAGTAGATCTCACTGGTTTCAGAGATGTCATTGGAACTCTGTAGAGAATCTCCATTACCAAATCCTCTGAAAGATCGGACATATTCGTCATTCTTCCAAGTTTCAAGAAAACCAAGGATTTTTTTCTATGGTTGGGTTTGGGAACTTTTAGGGTCGAGATTGGCTAAATACAAAAAAAAAAAAAAATGGTTTAGTTAGGTTCACACTAGATTCGGAAACAAATAAACCGTGTTTTCTGAATAGTAAACCAACTAAACCACAGTTCTGTGAGGATCTGAGTATTTATCTCCCAAAGGCTTTGATATCCAAGTACACCCTTTCATTAAAAGGGGAAAGCAAACCCAAAATAAAACAAAACCCAATAGTCTTTTGCCAAACAGAAAGCAAGAAACATATACTACAAGGGTTTTCACATAGTGTGCCCGAGATTAAAGTTAATCAACACTAAAATTAACCATTTCCATTCATAAGTATAACCAAGATCGTCTCTCTATACAAAAGCAATATCTCAAAAGTTTCGAGTTTCACCATTTATGAGAGTCCATGTATAACAAAAGCTAGAGAGAGAGAACGAAATAAAGAGATAAATGATCTCTCGATGGAAAAAAAAATTCCTCTTCGTGAGTGCAAACACAATTTACTCTCTGACCAATGATGCTCTGCTTTGCTTTCCGGATTCCTCTGTATATGTACAAACTCCAACGAAACAAACTTGTTTGTTGTTCTTGGTCAGACTTTAGATCTCGTAGTCAATATCTGAAGCATTCTGGGAATCAGACTGCTTCACCAGCTGTTCCTGCTCGTCATACCGATCAAGATTCTCACACGGAGCCGGGAAGATGGTCCCAATCACACGACCTTGCACGTACGCACACTGGAATATGTGCTTCTTCTTGTACGTTATCCCCACCGACATGTCCCTGAAGGTCACATTCTTAACCGGAATCTCCTTGCTTCCTTGGATACGCACCGGTACACGCACTCCTTGGCCGTAAATCCCTGTGTAGTTGATGTTCTCTAGCACCGGGAAGGCTTGGGGATTGAAACCACCATCAGGGTGCTCGTTGTAGTCGGTTTTAATGACGATCCCAACTCTTAACTCATCGAATGTGACATTCCTGAATGTTATATCCCTGACGTAGCCGCCTCTTCCTGGTGCGGTTTTGATCCTGACTCCACGCCGGGAGCTCCAGATCAGAATGTTTTCGACCGTGATATTCGAGACGCCACCAGACATCTCGCTTCCTATTGATATACCAGCACTGTTTTTGTAGAGAGGGCGTTAGGTACAAAGTTGATTGATTATTAGATTGACATCGATTAGGGAAAGCAAATTTCTCTCTTACCTAACCATGGAGCGGATGGTGAGGTTGCGGATGAGTATGTTCTTTGAAGGTCGTCCATAGGTAGTTCCATACTGGTCCCAACCGCTCTTTATTGCAATTCCATCATCCCCAACACTGATGTAAGAGTTCTCGATTAGCATGTCCTCGCATGAATCTGATGCACAACAAGAAGATATTAGCTACCTTTAAAGCCACACAGAGTACACGGAACAACCAAGCCCATACTCTGCTCTGATTAGTAAGATCATATGTTAAGTAACACATTACTAAAGGTAACACATTTTGATGAAGAATTAGCCAAAGTGAAGATTTACTAACCAGGATCGATACCATCAGTGTTTGGGGCTTCGAACACAGGCGCCAAAATGGTCATATTTGTGATTGTGAAATTTTTGCAGTCATATGGGTGAAGTGTCCAAAACGGAGAGTCACGCAAAGTGATATTGGCAAAAACAATGTCACTTGACCACATTATCTGCACCAGTGGTCCTCTCGTGTGGTTGAGCAGCTTTTGGCGATACTTCTTCCACCAAGTTTGCCCCTGACCGTTGATGCTACCGTTATTCCCTGTTTTCCATCATATATTAGCCATCAATCAAACAGTCACATAAGTTGATTATCTAACGGGGGAACTTAGTCGATTCTTGTCCCAAGACTACACTAAAAGCTCTTGTCCAGCTAAGAGAAAGACATAACAAGTTTCAACCAGCTTATAGAATTATCATCAGTAGATTCTGTTTAGCCTGAAAGTGCCTCGTCTCAATCAACTAGAGCTTAGAAGTACTGTTGAGTGAGACTGGTAATTATCTATGAACACTAAACGATATGCTTGAGCTTAAACAGTAGAATGGTGCTTTTACTTCTACATAGCCTTGATATGTGAAAAGTCCTCAAAATTCAGTTACTGCCTACAAAGCCTACCCATGCGAGCACATTCTTAACAATAGACCATGCATCCATAAGAAGAGAAACAATTTTGAAACCCCACAAGCAAAATCTAGAAATCAATTAACTGACCTGTGACCACGACATCTCTGAGATTCTGTCCGTGAATGAAACTACCATAGCGAGGTCCAGGATGCTCTCTTCCGTATCCATATGACGGTAAAGGAGGAAGCAGAGACCATAACTTTTCATCCTAGGAATGTCGACATGAAATCTAATGTTAATAAACACAAGACAAAAGCCACCTCAAATTATGCTTCTTGGAATCCAAAGGACCAATTCAAGACCAATAGAAAAAAAAAGCACATAGAATTGCTGGATGAGACTCTTAATTTGTTAATCATTGTTGACCATAGATGAACCAAGTAAAACGCAACCTCAAAGATACTCTCTTTACTCAACTCGCAACCTCAAGACTCAACCAAAATCAATACAAAGGAATCAATCAAGTAAGGAGAACGTAAGAAATTTGACTTGATCCAACAAAAGTTGAATTTGTCTCAGTGTTAAAACTCAGTAAAAGCAACACTGAACAAAAAAAACATTCAAACGAATCAATCACCACATCTAATTTCGTATAAGGGTAATGAATGCTACATTAAATCACACATCTTTGCCAAAACAAAATCTCTAAAAATTGAACCAATTATCAAAGGATCTCATCAACAGTTCCATTAACACACCATCTTCACCTAAATCAGAGCAGAAACAAAGAGGCAAACAGTTGCAAAACTAACCTGCGCGGCCAAAATCTCAGCATTCTCGGCGAGGAAAAGCGTCATGTAACTGGTGAGATTAAACGGCGCCGTGAGCCACCGACCAGGAGGCACATTGAGCTGCCCACCTCCTTTCTTCGAAAGCTTTGAGATCGCGACGATAGCTCGCTCGAACGCCTCAGTGTTCAAGGTGACGCCATCGCCCACCGCACCGAAATCCGTCAGATTGAAGGAAACGGGTCTGAGCCGGGGAAATCCACCGGCAGAGACAGCGGTTGCTGTCCACCAGAAAACGGAGAGTCCACCACCGACGCGGTAGAGAGAGCCTCCTCGGCCGGTAACGCCGCCGAATTGCCAGATGAACAGGGAAGCGAAAGTGGCGATCCAGAAAACAGTGACGAGAGACTTGTGGGAAGAGAGGAATCGCCTGGGAAGGGGTTCCACCATTTTTTGTTTATTGCTGGGATGATTACAAGTGTGAATTGGAGAAGAAGAAGAAGAACATCGGAATCTGGTGAGAGAGATTTTTAGATCTTGAGATTGAGATTGAGATTGGGTGAGATGTTAATAGTCAGAAACTGGTGGAAAAAAAAGAAAGGATTTGTTGTGTGTTTGCGAGATTTCTGATTTTTCAAAGGAAGAGTGAATCGGAAGGGAACATGAAAACACAATTTGTGTGTTTGGTTTGTTGAAACAAACGCCTCAGAGAGCGATTGAGTGAGAGGAGTGAAGAGAACTATTGGCAATCGGAGTTGAACAAACTTTTTCGCTCTATGGAAATACAATGATCTAGTTACATAAATTTTCATCTATTAACCTCATTCAGATAGTGATTTTAATTAGAGAAATTATCCATATGATTTACAGTTATCCACAGTTTCCAAACCAGTTTTTTTAAGATATATTTTTGGATTTATTGATATTCTAGAATAAAAACTGGCTTAAAAATAAATTAAAAGTTTACTGATATTATAGGATATCAATATTTTATTTAAAAACTGTTGGAGATATATTTTTGGATTTGATCAGTAATTATTGATTCTAGAAGAAAAACATTTTATTTTACTCATCATAATTTAAAAAAAAAAACTTTTTTACAACAGAAGTGACTTATGCGTACATATTCCTTAGGTTGTCATCTTGTATGGCTTCTAATAAAATTAATTAAAAGAGGTTGTCATTCCCTAATTAGGTTGTTTAATTAGGTTGTCATTCCCTGCAAGGCTGCAATGGTAGAAAAATTAGGTTGTCATTTTGTATGGCTTCTAAACCTTAATGTAATTATCCAATAAAATAGTTTAATTAGTGAAGAAACAATAATAACTTTTCTCTTGTGTAAAATCCATCTTATATAACACAAACCATGGACATTTATGCACCAGAAGAGATTAAAACTACTAATATAATTATACATAACGTCTTTACAAAAGTAAAAATGAAAATAAAACGAAGAAAAAACAAATAAAAGAGAAAATCTATGAAACAACAACAACAACAACAAAATTTGGTTTGCTCTTCGCCTCTTCCTAGTGAATACAAAAAGGGAAATTTGTTTTTTTTTTGTTTCCTTACCAAAAAACGTATTCTCTTGTTCTTTCAGTTCAGGCGAAGGAAGAAAAATGTTCACTCCTATTTCATGTAACGTACCTTTTTCCCCTTTTTATGTCTGTTCATCTACAAATCCCAAAGGCCTTTTTTCATCTCTTTTGATCAATCTTATCAAATCTTTATTCGTTCTATCCTCCTAACAGTTTCCTTCATGCTTTCTCTATCATCGGGGTTACTTGCAATACAAGTAGCCCCGATCCGAACCAATTCCACCATCTGTTGCAACGATTCAGTATTACTCGCTATCTCTGGATCGATAAGCTCTTCTTCTTTATGCTGCGAGATTGACGTTTGCACCCATTCAACGATATCCGTCCCGCCTTTACCGTTGCTTAGGTACTGAGATGGGAATTTCCCCGTCATGACCTCAAGAAGGATGATTCCGAGGCAATAAACGTCTGACTTTTGCGAAACCTGCTGGTTTTGAACATACTCGGGACACTTGTACGCGAATAAAGCCTGCGCGGCGTTGCTAGGCTGAAGTAGCGGGAGGAATGCGTAATCACTGATCAGTGGCTCGTAGGATTCGCTTAATAGAACGTTGCTTGATTTTAGGTTTCCATGTGGAAGCTCGTAGGATGGAAACTCCTCATGCAAGAATTGCATCCCACGTGCCACTCCTTGTATGATCTTCAACCTTGTTGGCCAAGTTAGCTCCGAATGATAAATCCCTCGATCTCCTGAAAATAAAAGTCAAACAAGATCGGACCAAACACATTTATTCTAACAGTTATAAAGATGCTTTTAAAACCAATCAGAGAAAAGCAAAAACGTAGCAGTACCATGCAAAACGTAGAGTAGACTGCTTTTAGGCATGTATTCAGAGACGACAAGCTTCTCTTCGCGGCGGTAATGATAAGCTAAAGGGGTAAGAACGTTAGGATGTCGTAATTTCCCAAACCGTTGGAGCTCGACATCGAATGCTTCACGCGCAAGCTTGTTCATATCCCTAATCCTCTTGACAACCACGGACAACCCGTTGGCCATCACCGCCTTGTAGGCCGATCCAAGGCTACCGTTTCCGAGAACCTCGGCGGCAGCCTTCATGAGATCAGGTAAACCGAAGGAGCCTTTCTCGCTGTTCACCATTATAATGTCTCCCATGCCGCCTCCTCCGGGACCACCTCCTCCAGCTTTTCCATGCGTTGAACCTTTCTTAGTGGAACCATCTGCGTTGCTCCGCCTCTTGCTTGACTCAATAGGCTTCTTTATGGAGTCTGGCACGCGGACTTCGACGCTTTCTTGGTCGCTTAGATGGTCTTTGCCGAGCATCCGGAACTCGGGCTGCCTCTTCTTCTTCCATCTCGCTACAATGGCCACTATGACCAGGAAGAGCAAAAGAAAGAAGATGGCTATAAAGATTGCTTTCACCGTGGCCTCGTTCTGTTCTTTACCTGTGGATGACGGCGTGTCTTCGCATTGGTTATTCAGCGGTTGCCCGCAAAGCTTCTGGTTCCCTTCGAAGTTCATCTTTAGATTCTTTCTCTCTGCTATGCTCTTTGGGATCTCTCCCTCTAGGTTATTTCTGGATAGGTCAAGGGATTTTAGAATCTTGTTGCTATCTGTAAGCGGAGGTACCTCACCAGAGAACTGGTTTCCTTGCAAGTGAATCTCCTCGATGCCGGCGAGTTGCATCACGGATGAAGGGATTTTGCCAGTGAAACGATTGTGATCGAGAAACACCCGCTTGAGCTGTGGCGTGTCCTTGAAGAAATCATCTGCGATCTCTCCTGAGAAGGTGTTGTTTGAAAGCAAGAGCGATTTCAAGCCATGAAGCTTAAAGAAAGGAGGGAGTGGACCCGAGAGGAGATTGTTATCGAGCCTGATTGTTCTTAGGTTCGGAAGATCCTTTAGGTCGTCGATGTTGATGACCCCAGAGAGACCGAGCCGGGTTACGTGAATGCCTGAAACTGTTTCGCCCTTGTGGCAGTAGATCCCAAACCATTTTCCATTGCATGGATCGGTTCCTGTTCTCCATGAGTTCAAGTCCCCTTTGGTTATATTCACCGAGCTCTTGAACCGCACGAGCGGCTCGGACTCGCTGACTTTTTGTAAAGAAGGGGTGAAGGAGAAACAGAAGAGGAGGAGGAAGCATAGAAATAGAACAGCAGTCATGGGTTAAGGACAAGAAGAGGGGCTGCTGTTCTTTTGATGTTTGTTGTTGTTTTGTTCTCTATGAAGATTCTGATCACAAAGATGATGCTGTTGATAACAATGATGTATGGTGCTTTTTCTTCGTCTAGGAATGGTTTTTTGCTTGGATTTTGTTTAATATTGCTCAAAATTTTGGACATTGTTCGTCTAGGAATGTCGTTTTGCTTGGATTGTGTTTATTGTTCAAAAGTTTGGACATTGTTTTTGAGGTTTCAAAAGGAAAGGGAGACATTGGACATTGTTTTTGAGGTTTCAAAAGGAAAGGGAGACATTATTCTACTCTTTGAGGGAGTTACCTGGCAAAGTTTAGGCTTCGACTTACTAAAAATAGCTTTTTATTTTTTTCCTAAATTAAAGATTGCTTTTCTTTTTTAATTAAAATGAATTGAGAGACCAGAGACTTTCTTGGAGAATTTCTTAGGACCATGGTTTTTTAAAGGTTTTGACCTTTGTTTCCACCACAATTGTCGGGGGTTATTTTTTCGTCATCTAGCACTTAGCATATGAAATTTGTTTTGCTTATTACTTCTTTTTTTTTTTTACATCAACATGGTTTCCTTGTGTATCATTTATTGGAGTGTTATGAAAGAATAATAGCTTCCATAGATTCTGATTTCATTCATGCGTGGCGAATTAGCTTCCAAAGATGTTTGATAAGTTTTTTAATCTTAAAGGTAAAAAGGGCTCCTACCAAGTGATAATAGAGTAAGAAATAGAATTTTGTCTACAAACAGTGCCAAAATGTGAATGTTGAAAATCACACTCTACGACTTTACGCAAATATCTTGGGTTTAGCGTAAGGCCAAGCTTAAATATTCGTTGAAACAAATAATGGTCACTCAAAACGAAAATATAAGAACGCATAATAAAGTTATTTCTTAATGTTTATGGTGTAGGACCAAAGGTATGGTCGTACAAGGGTTGATAGGATGGGATATGTTGATTGCGTAAATCTCTCATGTTGATCGATTGATAGAGTGAAACTTATCGAGATCGCTCGACCAATTGGTTGTGTAACACTTTGTAGTTTTGCTAGTGAATGAAGATGATTTAAGTATCAATGAAGGTAGAATGACGTCACAAAGCTTTATGGTGAAAGCCTTGATAAGTCAGACACACAAAAGAATGGAATCACACATAATCTCTTATGAAAATCTACGTAAGTGTATAAACACAAAATAAGTTTTTATTAAATCAAGGGTCTACCTTACAATAAAATCTATCTATCTATTTATACTATTGAAAGGGACTGTTTGGGGCCTCAGAGGCTATCCACCTCAGCTCTTTTAGAGAGCTTCTCCCCTTGCCATGTCATCCGACTAAAAATTGTTCTATTAATTTGCCACATCAGCAATACTCGCTCCCGCTTCCTTGTGACTATGAATCGATCCATCTTCTCCGTATAATCCTTAGAATTCCCTCATCACAGCCTTAAATAACATGCCCTTCGTCCTCCCTCAATTCATCTCCACCAGAACCTAAAACCCTCTTTCTTTCTACTCTCTCTCCTGAAATCTCTGATTAGATTTTTTTGATAGATCTCTGATTAGATTGAAATCTCTGACTACTCTCTCATGCTCTGCTGATCCAGGTTATGCTTCATTGCTGTATTAGCGTCCTCATGTACGACTCTTAATTCAAGGTAAGGTACATCTTATTGATTCTAAAAAGTTGATTATTGATTCTAAAAAGTTGAGTTCCTATAGGTTTTCTGATCATCATCGGATTGAGAAGGAGCCAGAGAATCCTGGGTTTGAAGCTGTTCCTCGAAGGAAGCAGAGTTGAAGCAAGTGTCAATAGGATGGCCAACTTGGTTTGTGTATTTTGCTGGTGAGGCAGTAGTGCATTGGGCTCTTTGCCGACCAAATACCTTTGAGATACTTGAAAAAGTAAGTTTCTTTTGTTAGATTGGTAAGGATTATTCTCTGAATTAGGTTAACAAAAGTTGTTATATTCGTGGATGCAGATTGGTCAAGGAACATAAAGCAGTGTTTATAGAGTTCTTGATCTTTTTATACGCAAATGATACTGACTCCGGATCCACAGGTCCGTATATTATAGACACCAATCTCTGACTTGCTATATCCATGGATGCATATTTGATTAGATAAGTAATGAACTGCACTTGGAGTTATATGATGTCGCTTGATATAGCAGTTGTGTTCCTTTTTTTCCCTCCTCATTTGTCTTATCTTCGACTTCATCACTCCGTAAAATGGATACCTTTTCAATTGTGATCCTTATCTTTTCTCTTCCAAATCAAACTCTTCCACTATCTCCATCATTCACTTCTTTGATAGTTTACAAAGTTTACCTATGGCTTAAAGTATTCATTACAAGATCTTTTGTTATCATCTCACAACTCATACTATATATAATAGATGAAACTTTACAATCTCACACCGCTAATCCAGTTTCTGGAAAATGCACTGATCTTATTGTATTTAAAATTTTGTTTTTTGGTCAGTTGTTCAAGCTGGGGCCGCTTCAGTTCGTCTGTGTATCTGATAGTTCGAATTCCGCAAAGGAGGTAAAGCAAAACCTCTCATTTTGTTCATTAGTTTCCTTTCTTTGTGAGTGTTGATGAGATTAATTTTCAATAGTTGGTTTTGTCACTACCCTGTATCTGATACATTTTCTGATTCTTTAACCAGAAATCATTCTCTCGAGGAGTCGTAATAAAATTTACAGATGAGAAGGAAAGCAATGATTTTTGTGATTCATTTGGGGAATGGACATAGGATGCTGTTAAACAAGGTGACTCTTAGGATCATCCTTGCTAAACGGATCTGTTTCAGATAACAAAGGCAAGTTCGACAACAAGATAGAGGCTGCTTCAGCCAAAATGTATTTCATTATTATGGACAACTTCTGCATTAGCAAAATATGCTACAGGATTATGTGAGAACAAGTAAGATGTTTGGCGTTTGTGTTTACCTCATTTTTATTTCATTCCTTTTTGGTTGGTTTGGGAGGATGTGCATCCATCATAAGAGGAATATCTTTAGTTTTCTTCAAATGGCTATTTGACTGAAGATAGCTCTTTTTATGTCATATTATTGTCTTCAGGTACATATCATGCTGCAGTCACGGAAAATCGTTCAGATTTTGCTGGTCGTATTGTGGTCGATGTGGGTGCTGGAAGTGGCATTTTGTCAATTTTGCTGCACTGGTATGCAAATATTTAAGAAACTTTGGGCCAAAAGGTCTTACAGCTACTCTACATCTGCATTTTGCTAATGTTTTTCTAATAGACATCCATTATTTTCCTCCTAATATAGGCTGGTGCCAAGCATGTGTATGCTGTGGAAGCGTCAGAAATGGCTAGATATGCCCGTAAGTTGATTGCTGGAAACCCATTGCTAGCTGAACGGATCACAGTAAGATCTTCAGTCCAGTTTTGTTGGTTCATTTTTACATATATATACATCTTTCTGATTTCTTCAAGTTGGCACAAGTGTATGTGGTCATCAAAGGGAAAACTGAGGATGTTGAGTTGCCTGAGAAGGCCGATGTTTTGATCTCTGAACCAATGGGTATGTGTTTCAGAGACAGATTCTTTTCACGTACTCTTCATGAAAATCAGAATCTTTCAGAAGGCAAACTTTGGTCTGTGAGAACTTAAGTGGAGAAACATCATTACTGATTCAAAACTGTAGTGATTCGTTTGAACGTAAATCTTATACTTAAAAATATATGTGCCTGTAGGCACCCTATTGGTCAATCAGAGGATGCTGGAAACATATGTTATTGCTTGCTGGGGACCGTTTTCTGTCTCCGAACGGAAAAATGTTTCCCGCAGTCGGAAGGTAAAGTTCATCTCTCATAGTTTTACTTTCGTATTTCATAAATGTCTTCTTTGTCATGTAATTTAATCACTGTACGATCCACATGGCACCTTACTCCGATGAATTCTTATTTGTAAAATGGCAAATAAGGTACTTGATGCACATCTTATAAGGAAGATATGTCTGAGATTGCTTACAACATAAAAAGAAATGGCTGGCTTAAGTATAGCTTTCAATAATTTGGCTTTCCACCTCTACGCAGGCTTTCTTTTGGCAGCAACAGAACTATTATGGAGTTGATTTGACACCTCTATATGGATCAGCACACCAGGGTTATTTTTCCCAGGTATATACATTTACAACCAGTGAATAGCTGATTAGTTTGTTTGTTTTTTCTTTCACAATTTGTCATATTTACTGATTTTGTAGCCTGTGGTTGATGCATTTGATCCGAGATTATTGGTGGCTCCCTCGATGTCTCATGTGATAGATTTCACTCGGATGAAGGTATGGCTATCCGGTTCCACAGTTTTCCTTGCATTTGACGAACTCATTTTGGTTTCATATTTATGGAATCTCTATGTGTAGTCAGTCTTCCCGGTTTTGTGAATGACATGATTCCAAACTCATTTATCTGTCAATTCAATTTCACAGGAAAAGCAAATTTTACGATATTGATATCCCCTTGAAGTTCACAGCATCCGTTGAATTATGGGGAATGTCGATTAAATTTATAAAAATGTTGTCAATTTTTAAAGATAAAGCATTTTAGGAGCGGGGATGTTATTATCTGACGTTCTAAAGCAATTTTTATGAAAATGTCATGCTATTGTGTTCGAGTTTTTTTGAAAAAACTTATGTATTTTAAGAAAGCCAAAAAAAATAATATTATTACAACAAAATTTTAATACAAACACTATGACTAAAAAGAAAATGCATGTAAAGTTATTCATCTCAAATGTAATTCAATAAAGACTTTGCTTAAGTCTACATTTCTTTCTTCTAATATTGAGAAAGTCAGAAAACATAGGAACAAAAAATAAACAAAAAACATGACTTTCCAAACGAATATGTGATGCACTTGCAAAAATAATTCTTAAGAACTGTGTATTAAATAGTAACATATGAACAGTATATAACAAAATTGTTGACCAGTAATATTGTAAAAAAAAGTTTATTTTAATTTTTTTTTTGTCAAGTTGTATCTTTTGCTATCATTGAGAACTACTAAAAGTAAATAAAACACCAAGTTGAAAAGAAACTAAAACTTTTCAAAAACTATGACGTAGCTCTTTACCATAGCTTTTTCAAAATGTAACATAAATGTGTATAATCTGATAAATATTAACCGGGTGTAGCCCGATATATCATCTAGTGCAAATGAAAGGAGCTTTGTAGAACGAAGTTGTCTAACCGCTTGATCATTTTTATAATCTACCTTACAATGACAAATGACAAAATCGTCAAGTGTATAAAATTTTCGGACTTATGTAAATTTTCCTAATATTCCAAAAAAAAAAGTTGTTTGTTGTTTTTATTTTATTTTAATTAAATTGGGAAAATCGGGCCCTTGTCACCGTTTTCCAAATCCGATCCAGTGGAGAATTTATGGTTTCTCTCTGCCAAAGAAAACCAAAAGGCCCACTATAAAAACCTCCACAATCCCTCTCTCTCTCTCTCTCCTTCTTGCTCGAGACTTCTGCTTTTTCCTTCTTCGTGATTTATTAAAATCGAGCGACCTCAACTAATCAGAATCCCCCCGCTTTCTAGGGTTTCGAGTTTGAATCTAATCTCATTCCGATCAGAGATCAATGGCAACTCTCGACTCCGACGTGACTATGGTTCACGCCGGTGAATCCTCGAACACCGCCGCTGCTTCATCCTCCTCGAAGAAGCCTAAGAGGTTTGAGGTGAAGAAGTGGAGCGCCGTCGCGCTCTGGGCCTGGGGTAAGACGAAGAAACCCTAATTTTTTGCCGATCTTCTTTCATACATCGTGCTTCTCTTCTTCGCTTCTTCTCTCTGTGTTAGGGTTTTGCTGATTTCTTAGCTCTTGTTTAATTGCAGATATTGTTGTAGATAATTGCGCCATCTGCAGGAACCACATAATGGATCTGTGTAAGTTTGAGATATACTTTGATAATCTGTTGTTTTGAATCATCTTGATCTCTAACTTCGTGGATTGATCTTAATGCTTGCTTCCTTGTTGCGTTTTCCTGATTGTAGGCATCGAATGTCAAGCTAATCAGGCGAGTGCCACCAGCGAGGAATGCACTGTTGCTTGGGGTAAGTTTCGTTTTACAAATCCCTTGAATATTGGCTGTGTTTGATTCCTGATTTGGTCTAAGGTAGCTTCGTAGAAGGAAATTATATATGCAATTTGTAGAACGCACTTCCCCTGTCTCTTTGCTTTGATTTTTAGTTCTTATCTTTGGATTTTGCAGTAAGCACTTAAGTAGTACAGTTGAATATATTTTATTAAGAGTGACTAGAACTCCAGAAGATTGGCCAACTTTTGTTTCTGACTAGAGTTGCGTTAGTTTGTTTGCTTATTTGTTTCACATATGCTTCTCTTTGATCTGTTTGTTGAATGTTCCGCGTGTTGTTTCACTATCCTTTCTCATACTCTTAAGCTCATACTTATCTTAACAAGAACGCACTGCGTCATCCGCTTTAGATTATGAAGTCCTTATTTGTTCTTTAAATGCTATGAGAATGCTTGTGATGTATGCTATATTTAACTTGAAAAAGGTAGAACTTTCTGTTGTTACTGTTGCATTCTTCATGAATTATAATTTATAACATACATATCAGTTGTGTGTTCATATGATACTTGCATTCATATTCTTGTTTTAGCTTTTGCGAGTGCTAGTATCTTATTCTGTTGGTTGATTGTTCTGCTTTATAGCTGTTCCACTATACTTTGCATACATATCTTAATGAGAATGCGTGTGATGTTATGATATGGGTTAACTTGAAAAATATGGAACTCTATGCTGTTACTGTTGCATTCTTCATGAATTGAAAATATATCTCAATCGTGCTTTTAGGATACTTGTATTCCTCTCTTTTTTAAGCTTTGTGAGTGCTTGTAAGATGGTCTGGCTGTGCAAATTTGGCTCCTAGTTTGGTGAACGAAGAAAACATATAAGAATGCATTCTCTGGGTTCTTTGATGCTAATGGTTTTGGATCATTCATAGACATATATCTGTGTTTCCACTTAGCCTGAACTTGAGATAGAAAGTTTGTTAACCCATTTTAGCTCTATATCACATCTGTATAACAGGACTAACTTCTAGGCCATTGCTGAGTTTCAAATACATGTAGAAGAGAAAAGTCTGGATACTGTTCTGCATATTTTTCACGTTTTGTGTTGGAGATGATAAGCAGGAGTTATCTAAGTCATTGGTTAAATTTGATGCGTCTCATATATCTGGATTAATGCATTGTCTTGAGAATGTTGAGTCATCAGTCAAACACATACTGTTAGCCTTATCAATTGCCAACAGTAGAAAAGTTATTTAGAGGCATCCTTAGGCTTAACGTTTGATATCATAGATGCTAAACGGATCTGCTGTTGTTGGACTTGCAGGGGTCTGCAACCACGCCTTTCACTTCCATTGCATCAGCAGGTGGCTCAAGACCCGTCAAGTGTGCCCTCTGGGTATGTGTTGTCTAATCTCACATCTCTTTCTTGCTCGTTTTCTCTTATCTCACAGTCTCTTTGCTACTTGCTTGGTTTTTAACAGACAACAGCGAATGGGAGTTCCAAAAGTATGGACATTAAATCTACAAGAGCCAGGCGTCAAGTGGAAGAAGACATTGGCTTCCTTTTGGTTGCATATATGATTTCTTAAGACTTGCATTTTTCTCTTTAAATATGTTTGAACCCTTTGTGGTCTTTGACACAAATTTAAATAGTGCTTTTCTTAACGAAACCTTTTTTTAGCTGCTATCTTGAGACCATCTTTATCCAAATATAAATGCATCAACCCTATTTTTTTTTCTAATTTTCTGCGTTTACTTGTCGTTGCACCAGTTCTTTGGAACTTGAAACCTTAAACATCTAAACCGCTTCTGTGATTTTCCTGTTTTCACCTTAAAAAATGTTGTTATAGCTGTTGTCAACCATAAATTGTCGCCTTCACATCCCAAGTATTCTTGAGATTTCCACGATTAGCACAATGCCTTCGCGCCTCCTTTTCTAGCCATCCTAAATCTGATATAAAACCATCACTGCCACACCATTGTGGACATAGTTATATCCGGTGTGAATGAAATAGCTCATTTGCATTCCCAAACCACCTTGCTACATGAGTTTGCTCAAATCTGTCCATATCATATCCCACCTTTGATAAAGTTTATGGTTGTTCCTTAATAAAAGAGAAACGTTTTAGTTTCTAATGTTCTACAAAGACAGAGCATTTATTAACTGTTACCTCTCATCTATTTCTCAAAACTAACTTGTCCTGGCACATTAAAGTGATGTCGTTTGTAGGAGGAGTCCATCAGACTACGTGGACCCTTTTTTTAGACAATGACAAAACATATAAACTTGAAGAAACAATAAAAAAAAGGAAGTGAAGGTAATCAATAACACAGCCAAAATAAGCTGTGCTACTGTTGAAATGTCCTCTTAAGGGTGAGAGAACTGTTTAAATGCACATGCATATGTCGATGTAACAATACTTATGGATCATTAATTACATAAATTGATAAACAATCATATGTATCAGCTCTGGTACTTCATGTACCATAGATTTAAAATGCATCGTTGGCAAGTAGGATCCTCTTGGTATTGTACTATCATTTCTCATCTGTTAGATTTATTATAAGATATATATTACAAGTAGGAGTATAAGATATTTTAGTTTCAAATCATTATAAAGTAAATGGAAGCGTATATGAGGAATTTATAGTTCATGATACAACGATGAGTTTATATTCTCAAAAGAAAAAACGATGAGTTTAAAACTTTAGGTCTCTAGTTATGGACTTATGGGCTATGGGCATGCAAAAAGTTGCATGTTACAGTCGTTTTGATGACCATAATCTTGTATTTATAGAGATTTATTCTTATTTCAAATTTTCAGTCAGTCACCAAATTAGAAGTTACTAGCTAAATGATATTCACACATTAGTTTTCATTAAATTTGTGCACTTTAACCTTTTATATATTCCAAACTGACTACTTGAAGTAGACTAATTATTTGATGGTGAAAACTTATTTGTGAATCTAAAATTATCTTGGTACTCGTAAAACCAGTCACGTAACATTCATGTAACAAAGGAACAATTAGTACACTGAAATCAAATGATAACGAAAAAGAACAATACTGTAAAAGACTACAAAAGCAAGCCTCGAGCAATGGCTTGATTAGTCTTGAAATTAGTAGTTTCATAGACCGGAAGTTCTTTTATGTACCGACCCATACCGATCCGGTTATTATCGAGCTCGAACAGATCCGAACTTGAGTAACTCCAAACATCATCCTCCTCTTCTTGATCACCTTCATCTCTGTAACTTGCACAATTCTTCAAACCTTTTTTTCTTGTGATGCAAGTCAACGCAGTCTGGTGAATATTGGTCTTAATCTCCTCTTTGAGCGACATTACTCTCTTCCTTGCAGTAACTTCTGGAAGCGGTTTTCTCTCAGGAGTAATTTTTTTGTGAACATAGTCTCTACAGTCTCCGTCCATGGTTACTCTAACAGGATAGAATCTGACAGACCTTTTCAAGTTATTATTACAGTTGTTGTTGTCGGTTTTAGACTTTGTTCGGCTGAAACAAGACCTTGAAGAAGAGGACTTGACCTCTGTAGTCTTACCGACAGAGCAAAGCTTCACTTTCTTGGCGTTAGATTGGAAGATTGAGTTGAGGAAGCTGGTGAGACGCGCTCCAGGAGACAGAGGCTGCTTTGGTCTCTTTATCTCCTCAACCATCTTCACTTGTTTAAGCTTTTTATCACCATCCGATTTGGAGTCACTTTGATGATCCACAAGCTTAATTCTTGATCTTGTCTTTGCTCGGTATGACTCAGATTCAGAGGAGGAAAAAGCAGAGGAATCAGACGAGTTGGTGGTGCTGCTGCTCCGGGGATAGAGCCAGTGTTCGTCGTCCATGATGACTCGCCGGAGAGTTGTGAGCTTGTCGTCTTCTTTGTTTGGTGATGGTGATGAGACATTTTCGTTATTGCCGTCACTTTGGAGGCCGTCGGATTCGTCGATAGAACGGTAAATAGAGTCAAGAACAGAGGAAGAGAAAGAAGGTGTTCTTTTTCTCTGAGGAAACGCCATGAGAGAGAGATCTCAAAGGAATCAATTGAAAACAGAGTATATATATGAGCAGCGAGGGAGAAACAGGTCAAGTGTGCTTGTCTGCTAAGAGAATATCAAAAGCTGCCAATAAGTGTTTATTATAATTATTTCTAAAAAGCAGAATAGTGATTAGGGCTTGTGGAGAGAGGACAGAGGAGAGTGGAGATGTCTATGTGAAGAAGACAAAAGCTGTCAAGTGATGAGAGACGCTTGGAGTGTTTAGTTTCTCAGCGACTTCCTCATAGACACATGAGAGTGATGTCAATGCGTGCGGGTAATTATTAGAAGAATTTGGGAGTGTGTGCTTCTATTTAGAAAATTAGCAAGCAAGCAATATTGAATATTAGGATTTTGGATATGTAGCTTTGTCTATAACTCAAAGCACAAATGTAACCTGGTAATTAACCTAATCACTAAACTTTTGCATGTCAAACAAGCATTAAATCAATGAAGTCTAAGTTGTTCAATAAGCTTAATAAATCAACTTTCATAGTATGAAAAAAACGTTGCACCAAATACAAGTTTCAGAAATATAACAAGCTATTTGAGAGTATATAAAATCAAAACTTTTTTCTTTTACAATTCTCATCTTCCTCTTTTTCTTCGTCTCACTGAAGAAATACTTTATGATTCATTTTCGATAGAAATTTATATCTGTCTACCAATATTTGGTGGATAAGGCCATTTGTTTTCAAAGAATTTATTAATTCTATAAACATTTTCACAAAATGGCTACATGTGTAAAAGAAAAAATTGTCGGAGTGTGGTATATTGTAATTTAAGCACCGAAGCACACCCACTCCAAATTTCACAAATTGTCTCGAGCCGGGCTCTTGCTACAGATTGGGCTATACTTGTGATTTAACCCGACCCGGCCCAATAATTTGACCCAAAAGCAAAAACTGACTCGGAAGAGCAAAGAGTTTGTCAATAGAAAGAAGATCGGGTCTGTCACAGTCCACGGCGCAGCTCTTTCGTCTTCTTTCGATTTATTTTTAAAAACTTTCAAACCTCTCAGAGAGAAAGAGAGAGCGAGAGCGAGAGATGGAAGGAGGAACTGGGCTCTACAATCCTCGAACTGTCGAAGAAGTGTTCAGGGATTTCAAAGGCCGTCGATCCGCCATTATCAAAGCTCTCACCACCGGTAATTTCCAATTCCGTTCAAGTTTCTGATAATCTCAGTAATTGATTCTAGGTTTTGGATGTGTTCCTGTGATGTTTTCTTCTCCGATCTAATGGATTCGCTTACTTTTTGTTTGGCAGAGGTCCAAGAGTTTTACCAACAATGCGACCCTGGTTAGGGTTTCTATCTCTGTTTCTCAAATTTCTCCCCAATTTCGAGTTTTATCTATAGATTTAAGGAAAATTGCAAATCTGATTCAGACTTATGTGATAAATTTTAGCTTCTTTGTATTGTTTATGTAACACAAATCTGGAATTTTTGTTTTGTTCAGAGAAGGAGAATCTATGTTTGTATGGGTTACCAAACGAGCAATGGGAAGTGAACTTACCAGCTGAAGAAGTGCCTCCGGAGCTTCCAGAGCCAGCTCTTGGCATCAACTTTGCAAGAGATGGGCTCTCTGAGAAAGAATGGCTTTCTCTTGTTGCTATTCACAGTGACACTTGGTTGCTCTCTGTCTCGTTCTACTTCGGGTCGAGATTCGCCTTCGACAAGTCTGATAGGTAAAAAAACGGATTCATGGTTTTAAACATCTGCTTCTTCATATGTCTCTGTGTGTGTGTGTGTATATATGCTTAACTGGTATTGATTGAACTTTTTTCTAATTTAGGAAACGCTTGTTTGATATGATCAATGGGGTTCCTACTATCTTCGAAGTAGTGAATGGTAATGCTAAAAAACAAACCAAGGACAAGTCATCTGCTGAGAACCAAAATGGCAACAAGTCCAAGTCCAATTCTAAAGTGGTAAGCTTCATGCTCTTTCTTTTTCCTCTTTGGTTTTTGGAGTAGACCTGTGTTTATTATCAGTTGAAAGAGCACCTACTTAATCCATTACTAGCTTCTTCTTCTGCGGTTAATTCATGATCTTGGAAAGTCTCTGTAACATGAAACAAAAAAAAAAAGGCTAATGCTTGATCAATCTCAACTTAAAAGTTTACACTTTTATCACCAGAAACACTGCGTTGCTAGGATTAGTTTTTGAGTGTCTTTTTTAACTTTTTGCTGTGATCTTTTGTTTGGGAATTGCAGAGAACTTCAGAGGGCAAAAGCTCAAAGACCAGCATGCAGGCGAACAAGGAGGAAGAGGAAGTAGATGAAGAGGATGAGGACGAGGATGAACACGGTGTAACCCTCTGTGGAGCTTGTGGAGACGGCGACGGTGCTGATGATTTCTGGATCTGCTGTGACGTTTGTGAGGTATGGTTCCATGGGAAGTGCGTGAAGATAACTCCGGCTAGAGCTGAGCATATCAAACAGTACAAGTGCCCTGGATGCAGCAACAAAAGAGCAAGACCCTAAATGTTCCGATTGTAGAGAATAGCACTCTGTAGTAACAACTCTTACTACCCACCCCACTTATCTTTATTTGGCTAGTCTTTAGCTCTTTATTGGCCCTTTAAAAACAACTTAGGCCTATTTGCTTTGTTTGAGAACTTTGCTTGTAAGTCCAAAATTTTAAGTGCTCTTATTCAGGTACCTTTTAATCCGTGTGATAGTTCTCGTTTTATGATCCTAAATATCACTATTTTTGCAGACAGTTCAAAATAGGCTATGCCATGCTAAATTAAGAACTGTAATGAATTGTATAATTTGTTGCATGTGAAACCGCCGGTAAAGGCCGTTACGTTGTCGAGAAGCTCTTCTCACCCGCCACTCCCTCAGGCCCCATAGAACCCAAACACCATCGCAACACGGCCAATCCTCCTGCCGAGAAATCACCACAAGTAAACTACCTGACAAAGCTGTGCTAAACACCTGGAGAAGAGTTCGAACGGAGGACACCATAGACGACATATGAAGAGGCTTCACCGAATCGTATCCTCATGACATCCGGATTAAAAAATTAAATGAAGTTAACCAGAAAAAAACATATGCCTTAACAAGATTAAGCATCGCTACTGAATACTGATAAGAGCATTACGTGGGATTTTGTCCCCTCCCTTTCTCATGTTGGTCTGAATAAAAGGTTTGTGTCTTTCTTGGGTTTCATTTCCACAAACCCCCTAAAGTCAAGATTCTTCAACATTATTAATCGAATATTTTTTGTTTTTTCTTTAAATAGCAGGCGATAAATTAATTATTAGAAATCAGAGTATCATTTTTCTTTTTATAAATTCGATTAAATAAAGTTCGTATTTCACATCACAGTTCTGTGATGATTCATCACCCTTTTGCTCCATGACATTTAAGAAGAATCAGAACTTCTCAGCCCAATGTCCTTCCTGCAACCAGTTTCTGTCCACAATGCTTTGAGGCACCACCCCATCAACCTCCTGCATTCTGCACAGATTTGGAAATTTGGAAATGAAATCGTGTTGCTTTGAGGCACCACCCCATCAATGTCTACTGCACATATTCTGAACTATTTAAGACAATCACAAAATAAATTCGATGGCGAAGCACTATTTAGGTGAGTATCTACACTATGCGTGGGTTTTTCTTTTCAGTAATATTAACTTATAAATTTTGATTCTCTATACCATGATATTTATATAATTTTAATCTTGACCTTTTGTTATTGAAAACAGAAAACAAAAACCATGAACCAAATAGACGAACATAGGAAGAATCGAACCCATATGTTAAAAGTTGCTCAAATGCCTTGCAAACATGCATGGTTTGTATACTGGTCGTAAAATGTTACCAAAGTGCCTTCTATTAATTTTTTGGAACTTTCGTATTTCAATTAACATCCCATGCTTAAGTTTGTAGAGTATGGAATTAACTAATGTCAATGTGTCGACAACTGATTGCACTTTTCACAACATTAACAAAAATTATGGAAAAGTGGTTTGATCTTGTTTAAATAATTTAATAATTATCGCAACCAACTCCTTAAACTTGAACTAACAAAAAGAAAATTGAAAGTAATCAAACACTTGAACTATAAATACACATTAGCTCCAGTTTCTTCCATATAGTTCTTTAAAATGAAATCATTTTTGTTCATCACTGTATTGCTCATCTTTCTTTTATTTACGTCGGCGCAAGGTAGCATTACATTTAGTTTTATGTAAATTTTATGGGGATTTTATGATGAGGTTTTTAATTTTTTGGTAATTATTATTCAAGAGAATGATATAAATATATGGTCATGATTTTGCAGGTTCAAGATTGGAATTAGCTGTGAGAGAACTCATCCATCATGAAATCAGAGTAAGCTATAGATTCCACAAATGATACATACACGTTCGGTTTATCTTTTTTTGTTCAGCCCTAGGGTTTATCTCGTGGACATCTAATAAACTGTTTGATTTATGGGTTCTCAATAGTTTGTTTATGTTGCAAATATATATAGGTGGTTCGAAGTTTATATGCGACACGTATTGAAAGTAATGACAAACAGCTAATAGCTGTAAACAAAGTAAAGCAAAGGGTTCATAAAGATTCCAAGAAATCGCATCATTCGTTGCCTAACATCCACGAAGATTACTATGGACCAAGGGGTCACCGGCCTCGCCACCATTAGCTATTCTTTTCCATTTGTTATTATTTTACTCTTTTTTGTTTGTTTTGAGTTCTATAGTGTTTTTATTCGTTTCTAATGTTACTTTGACTCGATGGATATTAATTAGCAACAAAAAAGAAATTTAGATCTAAATCTAACTTCAATCATTTTAAGACATGGTTCTCTCTCAAGTAATTTTGTTAAGAAGATAGTCTTTATAAAACATTTTTCTTTTAAATAGTTTGAGACACACCCTGCTTTAAGATGGTTTGAACTGAAGATAATAAGTGGGAATGAAATTGCATCCAACGGAAAAATATATTATATCTCTTGTTTTTCTCTCTCTCTTTTTGTTACATATAGTTTGAAAACAATAGAAGTAATTAAAATAAATAGCTCGTCTTGTTGGCTAGGGCTCATGGATAGTATAAAGCCTAGAAATGGTTAAACAGTGTAGTGTTGTTGAATGGTATCAATGTCGAGCCCCTTCAGCTTCACTACAGATTCAACGTGACCCTTTAGAGTGTGAAGCTCTCTGAGCCTGCAACCCAAATATAGTAACTTGTTAGTTTGGTTGGTCTCTATTCATTTCATTTTACAAAAAAAATGTCACAAGGAATAGTTTGTTTACCTAGCGACCTCGGCACGTCTTTTAGCCTGCTCAGCTATTTCTGAAAGCTCATGGTTCTTGTCATGGAACATTGCCTCAGGTGGTGGTAGGCCATGGAGTGTACGTTGAGCTAGTGCCCATTGAGCCTCCCTCTCTCCTTTTCCATAATCTTTCTTTGTTGTGAAAGCAGTCTGCAAAAATATAAATGGAGTTATGTAAAGATTTAAAAAAGTAAATATATATACAATATAAACATTAAAACAAAAAAAAAAGTATATATATATTTGCTCACTTTCTGTTGGATCATATTATCCCAAGCCTTTCCAGTGAGAGCGTAACGGATGATGAACTTGAGAATGTCGAGAGGAATGTAGGTAATGATACTGTATAACCATATGACTCCAGCCCATCCCCATCCACAGCCCACGATCCTTGCAAATCCCCAGTTGGCATACACGGCGATCACTGTCGCCACCTTGTTCGTTGAATAAAATCAACATAAGTCTCATACGCTTACATAAAACATTATCTCAAAATGGTAAGAAGATAATATATATATATATATATACTAACCAGTTGTGCCAAAACAAAGGCTATCATAAGCCAAGCACCAGGTCGCTCAACAAATGACCAACTCCTTGATCTTGTGACAAAGATAAGTGCTTGACTTATGATGCTCACTTGAAGGTACAAAGCTGCCATAAGCTCTTCATCGTTTCCTTGAATGGACTTTACTCCAAATGTTTTCTGAAATTTTATATTGAAAATTAGTCTAGCAATGTTGAAAATTAATGTTAGTAATTTAGATATAGTATGGTAACGTACACTGAAGAAGGTGGTATCATGAGCTAGCCAGAAAAAGAGAACTGTGGTGAGAGCCATGTAGGTTCCTAGAACAACGCCAGTGGCGAAAATCTCATTGAGCTTCCAAGAATCAGGTACCGGAGAAGGTTTCACTCTGTCCTTAGCGATGGTCATGATGGTTCCATCATTTAGGATTGCGATAATCAAAACCATGAAAGGTGCAAAGTCAAATCTCCAGATCAAAGCCACGAGCATGAATCCCAAAACAATACGAATAGTGATGGAAACAGCATAGATTGTGTAGTTCTTCATCCTCTGGAAGATTGCACGACTTGTAAGCACGGCACTAATGATCACGCTTAGTCCTGGTTCTGTTAGAACTATGTCTGAGGCGCTTCTCGCTGCATCAGTTGCATCAGCCACTGCGATTCCAATATCTGCTTTCTTCAAAGCTGGAGCATCGTTTACACCATCTCCAGTCATTCCACAAATGTGCTTCCTCTCTTGTAACTTCTTAACGATCTCATACTTGTGCTCTGTATATTGAAAAAAAAAAGAATGTTTTCAACGTTGAATATAAAAAATCTGACTAGGACATGTGACATAATGCAGATGGTTTGTAATAATAATAATTAAGAAAAATATATTCGAAACTTTTATATATATTACCAGGGAAAACTCCAGCAAATCCATCAGCTTTTTCAATGAGCTCATCAATAGGGATACCAACTAATGATTCATCTTTTGAATTGCCAAGGAGTGAAGTGGATGGGTACATGTTTGTACCCATGCCAAGCCTACGACCAGTCTCAATACCAATGGCAAGTTGGTCACCAGTAATCATCTTTACATTGACACCAAGCTCAAGGGCTCTTCTAATAGTTTCTGCACTATCATGCCTTGGAGGGTCAAAAAGTGGCAGCAAACCAACAAACTCCCATGGACTACCTTCACTTTCTTTGCTCTTCTCAGGCACAGTCTACATTTGAATTAAAAATGATTAGAAGAAAACCATAGCTTGAAAGATCTTTATATGAATGAATGAATATTTCTATAGCATACTTGTTGAGCAACACCAAGGGATCGAAGCCCACGTTCAGCAAAACCATCGATAACTTCATGAGCTTTTCTTTTGGTCTCTCCTTGGAGATTGCAAAGCTCAATGATCTTATAAGAAGAAAATAAAATAAATGTGAGATTAAGAAAAAGAAAACGTTACATTCATAATAAATCAACATTTTTAGTGTCATTACTTGTTCAGGAGCTCCTTTGCTGCTCCTATGCCAGTCTCCATTTTCATCAATGTATGTGATGGCTGTACGTTTATCTACTGGGTTAAAGGGCAAGAAATGCACCTCTGTGAGTCCTTCTCTTGCCTATTTATTCCACCAAAGAAACAAATTACAGCATTAGTATAAAAATGTAACTAAAATAAATCAAAAATTTCACAAAGATGAAGTACCTCTTTAGGGTCACCCAACATGCCAACAATGGAAGCATCAATAGCGTCTTGGTTTTCTATTCTGGAAGCTCTTGCAGCCATCAACACAACTGCATCAGTATCCATGTTCGCTGGGAACACTTCAATCAAGGACTTGTCGACAGAGAGCTTGTTTAGGGTTAGGGTTCCGGTTTTGTCACTGCACAGAACATCCATTCCAGCCATTTCTTCAATGGCAGTCATCCTCTTGGTGATGGCACCTTGTTGAGAGAGTCTGTGTGAGCCAATAGCCATTGTTACTGATAAGACTGTTGGCATGGCAATTGGGATTCCTCCGATCAAAAGTACCAATAGATTATCAATGCCGTCTCTGTACGTGCGGTGTTGGATAGGGTACATGATCAATATCTCAATCAACATTCCCACTCCAATTGAGCATATACAGAAGTTACCAATTGACGTCAAAACCTGAACAAAAAATCAAAACAAGAATTTGACTTTGAGAATCCTAGATGATGTTGGTTGCAACATTCAAATGTTGAAGTTAGTTTGTGTACCTTCTGGAAGTGACCAACATTGTTGGTACTGTCGACAAGATGAGCAGCCTTACCAAAGAAAGTGTGGACACCTGTGGCGATCACTATAGCCTCAATCTCACCTTGCTTGCAAGTTGAGCCTGAGAATACTTCATCTCCAGGGTGTTTGGTTACTGGAAGGGATTCACCAGTGAGAGCAGATTGGTCAATCTTGAGAGGATCTCCCTGGAGGAGACGAGCATCAGCAGGAACAATATCACCCAGTTTGATGCTTATTAGATCACCCGGGACTAGGATTGAAGCCTCTTGCTCTCCCCATTTTCCATCTCTCAACACCTACGTGCATGGCATATTATTCATTACATGACTCTTTTTTATTTTTAAATAAGAAAATATGCAAAGCTCGATTTCCATACCTTAGTCTTGGGTGCAAGATTTGCCATGAGAGAAGCAGCAGCATTGCCAGCATTGTTCTCTTCGATGAAGCTAATGGTGGAGTTGATGACAAGCAACACCACAATACCGATGAAAACTTGCCAATCCGGCGCCTTTCCTCCCCCATTGGCTAAAACAATGGCCATGATTGCAGCACATTCCATAACCCATGAGAGAGGGTTCCACATAAACCCCAAGAATTTCAAGAATTTGTTTTCTGATTTCTCTTCGAGCTTGTTTGCCCCGAATATCTCAAGTCTCTTCGTTCCTTCTTCGGTCGACAAACCTTCTTTTGAGCATTTTAGTTGCTCAAAGACTTCTTCCACCGGGATCCGTTCCTAAGAAGTTATCATATAACAATTTAGAAATTAGCATATAACAATTCTAACTCAAACAATTTCACAAATGTTTTTTAGTATTTCCATTTTTCATACGTTACATCATATAATTAAAATATGAATGAGAAAGAAATTGTGTAAAATTCTTACAAGATCCACGTTCTCTTTCTTGATTTCATCCCAGGAGATATCAGACGTCATTTTTCTTCCTTAAAAGAGAGATATGATCTAGAAGATTATTTATAAAGATAGATATAAGAAGAAATATATCCGTTGGAAGAAATGACTTCTTCCTTCTCTCCTTTCTCTAAAGCTAGGCCTAGAGAGGGAGGGAGAGAAAAGAAGAAGCTTTCATTGCAAGGAACCTAGAAAAAAAACGAAAGAAATAAAAAACAAGAGCACACTCAACACAATCGTTGTTGTCTTATATTTAAACCCCCCTGAACAGCGATCCATCTTTATTTTCGGAATTTTTTCTTCTCTTCCAGTAATCAGGTTTTGTGGTTCACCTAAGTTTTCTCTTAATTCTTCCTGTCTTTTGGTTCCTACATGGCTACATTACAGCTACGTTTTCTAAAAGTAGCACATCTAAAATTTAGGTGTTTTATTTTAATGAAAGATGTATGTTTGCTCCGAAAATAGAGATATTCTTTGGTGTTCCAGAACTTTTTTTATCTTATGTTTTTCTTAGTTAACGTTTCTGTTTCGTAGTTAATTTTCACTTTTCTCGTGCATAAAATATCGAAGTCAATGTGATGTTGAGAATTTTTTGTGTGCAAGCATTGTTGGGGACTAAAGTTACTGAGTGCAAATAGTTTGAGGAAGGAAATGAACATTTTCCCGTTAGTCACGCACTAACGCTCATATTAAAATTGCTCTTATATAGATACTCAGAAGATGAAATTTGAGATTTGTTAGATAATTAGATGCCTATTTCATCTTTTTGGGCAGTCTGGCGTGTTATTCTTTTTTCTTCCACTAGAACTTGATACTTGGTACACATTTGTTTTATCTTTTCAAAAGCAGGTTTGAAAGGTGAAAACAATTCGGTGTTTTTCTTTAAAAAGGAATATATTCGTTTCATCTTCTTTCATATATCTCAATAAGAATGGTTGCAAATATTTTCAATGATTCCCTACATATAGTTTTTTCTTGTAGTTTGTAATAAAAATATAACCTTCTTTAGCTGGAGAACATTATCCTTATAAGAAATAATTTTCCAAATTATCATCGAAATGGAGGAGATATGACAAAGACCATGGAATCTACTAATTAATCTAGAATAAAGAAAAAGATTGGAACAATTAAAGAGTGTTGGAAAACGACTTTTTCCCAGAGAACTTATGCGGTTATATATGCCACAGCAATTAATTGACGACTCTACTCATGTATATACATATAGACACGCTTAGGTATGCGTTGAGAGAGAAGGAGAGATGGGTTGGTTTGTGAAGGAAAGACGTGGAGGTGCATGGAAGCGAGGATGGTTAGAAGAAACACTATTCACGTCATCAGCACCTCCTCTTAAACTACTTACTCTCTTAGCCATCATATCTCTGCTCCTCTTCCTATCATCATACCCACGTTACCGGTACGAGGTTGAAAAAACAGCCACGAATCTCAAACTCTTTCTAGTGTTCCTCCCAATTCTCTTTGTCCTCTTCCTGGTCTCTCTACAGTTCCTGCATCGAGTTCTATTCAAGTCCTCTTACTCTGTCAGAGCAAAGCAGGCTGGTTCTCTTTTTGGAGAAGGTCACTTTCCCTGGGGAGTCTTGCTGATGCTTCTTCTTATACTTGTTTTAGTTTCTAAACAATCTTATTTTCACTCCTTATGGTACCCCAACTTATGATCTTCTCATCATTCATTTATTGTATCGATACATTCATATATATAAACTGATGTTTGCTTGTTTGTAGTCCATCCAACCTCCACACATCTATTTGACATTGTGATGACCAAATTTTCTGTATGTATAAATTAGTTTTTTAATTCGGATTGTGCGTGGTGTCATGATTTTTAAAAATAATTTAGTGATGTTTAGTTTCAATAAAATGATTGGTTGTAAAAATTATGTGATGTAAGTTTTACTGTTTTAGTATTGTTTGTCATCATGACTTCTCTTTGTATACTCCTCTAAGAGAAAATAACTTTTTCAGCGAGATTCTTTATTATTGACTTAATCTCAACTATCTCCACATTATATGATGTTGTAGGACCAATAACTTGAGTAATAACAACATTACTTGATGTTTGGTCCAAAAGATTATGATTCATAATGTCCTTAAGCTTCTCTTGTAAAAATCAACCTTACATGAATGTCTAATGCAATATAAGTAAAAAACAGAGCTTTAGTAAACTATCCATCCATAGCTTTTGATTCTCTAAAGACAGAGCAAAGCCAATGGTAAAGTATAAAAGACAAAGCAAAGTTTTATTCTCTAGAATCTAGAAGCACACAAACCACTTCAATAAAAATCATTTTGATTCTCTAAAAATTTCCGCAAAGTCAATGATGAAGTATTAGAGAAAGTTAATGGTGAAGTATTAGAGAACTAACCGCACGTAATATTGCTTCATCGCAAATCATTCTTCCATCATCTGATCTCATGTGTGATGCTAAAAATTTCTCCTCAATTGGTTCAGTGTCACTTTCTTCTTCCTGAAACATATGCAAAAAAAATCAAGACTAACATACATAACCCACATTGCAAACCGGGAATACTACCATCAATTGAAGGAGTGAAGGGTCATTTTGCGTCTGCTTTTTGGTAAACAGATTTTTAGGCCAATCTCCTAATTTATCGATTCTCTTTGAATTATACGTTTTGGTATTTTTGCAAACCGGCCGACGAATAATCAAAAGATCTGGAAGTAGTCGTCGTGGACACAGCTTAAACCCTAAAAAAACCCCATTCGTTGAATAAACACCTTCAATCGAAGAATCAAACACGATCCAGATCTCATCACAGCCTCCTTCTTCCTCTTCCACCACAAAAAGCTATGAGGAGAGTCACCGGACTTGCTGCGCGCGCAATCTCATCTTCCGTCGTTGTCCATCCCCGGCTCGCTCAGTCCACAGTGATGATGTCCACGATTTCGTCGTCGGATCCTACCACCCGAAGATCCAGTTGTCTACCAACGCCATCTTTCGCCGGCGGAGTTGCTGGGGTTGTGTTCTTCTCCGCCGCCGCGGCGTCGTCTCTTGGCCAGGAGGTTCACGCCAAGGAAGCAGCGGCCCTGAAATTCAATCCTAAAGAGGTGGTTTTGTACCAGTACGAGGCTTGCCCTTTCTGCAACAAGGTCAAAGGTAATCTATCTCGCCGATTAAGTCTCGAATTATTGGGGATCTGATCAAACTTGGAACATTGCATTTCATGATTCAGATTCAATCTTTCCTGGGAAATGAATATTTAGATACTCTTTCAATTCATGCTTTTTCGTGGAATGAAATGGATAGTGAGACTTTTGATTGAAAAATGCGAATTCAAAAATCTGCTGAGAAAAGGAAAATGAGTGCAAATGTCTGATTAACTCATGTTTATCCTCTGTAGCGTTCTTGGATTTCAACAAGATACCATACAAGATTGTGGAAGTGAATCCGATGAACAAGAAAGAAATAAAATGGTCTGAGTACAAGAAGGTGCCAATCCTTACTGTAGATGGTGAACAATTGGTTGATTCATCAGGTTCGTATACCAATGCTCTGTCTTCTTTCCAGAACCAAATGTGTACCATCTTGGTTGATTAACTTTTTTTCCTTGTATGGTGCAGTGATAATCGATAGCTTATTCCAAAGGATGCACCCTGAAATTTCCAAGCATGAAGATGATGAAGAGACTAAATGGCGCAAGTATGATCCTTTTTTTGTATCAGCTACTGATTCTTCTCATTTGTAGTTTGGACATTACAGGACGTGAAGCTAACACTTGTATCTACCTGATTTAGGTGGGTGGACAATCACCTTGTGCATCTTCTGTCACCGAACATATACAGAAATACTTCAGAAGCTCTGGAGTCCTTTGATTACATCACCACCCATGGTATGCTTATTTGCTCATTTGGTAGTTATATCTATTTGGAAGATATCTACTGGTTAGCATTTTGACCAGATGAGTTCTTGAGATTTCCAGCTTTTGTACTAGTGTAATATGTTGCATAAGTAGTAATATAATGCCCTGGATAATTATATGCAGGAAATTTCAGCTTCACTGAGAGATTAGTGGCCAAGTATGCGGGAGCAACGATAATGTACTTTGTGTCAAAGAAACTGAAGAAGAAATATAACATTACCGATGAACGTGCTGCTCTTTATGAAGCTGCTGAGACATGGGTCGATGCCTTGAATGGGCGTCCATACCTCGGTAAGTCCAACTCAGATCATGATACTGAAACCATAGTCTTCTTGATTGGTTGCTGATTGTAGCTTTTTAATTAGCAGGTGGGTCAACACCAAACTTGGCTGATCTCGCCGTGTTTGGTGTCTTGAGGCCAATAAGGTACCTTCGATCGGGGAAGGATATGGTGGACAACACACGCATTGGCGAATGGTATTCTCGAATGGAGAACACAGTTGGAGAGCCTTCAAGGATCAAAGAAGAGTAAAGGATCTTTTTCTCTACATCGCTAGTGAAAATATGAATTGCATTATGTATCGCAGATTTTTCACGGCGTAACAATATTTTGAGCTTTAGGACTAGAGAAAGAAAAAAAAAAGGAATAAACATCTCTTCTTGTGAATGAGGATTTTAAAGTACGGTGGCATGCTTTGGTTTGGTCACTATTGATTTTTTGCTATTTCATTGTTTCTTAAAAAAGATTGGTTCTCTATTTTCTTTTGATTGATTTTTTCATGTTTATACGACGGCATTAACTCATGGGTTCCGATTGGTAATTTATTATTTATTCACATGGCGGAGATCCCCAAAAAGGAAATCGTAGAAATGTTCTTTTTTCAAATACTTATCATGTAAAGTGCTAACGATGTTTTGTAATTTGCGCATATTTATATGTATGAATGTCGAATGATCACTAAATTAATAATCTAGCAATGATTTTTAAAACATTAACAACCTTTGGGAGCATCATAGAAGAAGGCTAATTAATCGGAGTAACAATGACTTAGAAGGACATGCATGCATTTAGAGAACTTGCCCAAAATATCAAATGCTATTTTTCGAAGAGCCTCGAATTCTCATCACTATATAAAGTACAAACATGTGTTTCAATTCAACGTTCAGATAATCTGGTCCGTTACTCCGGAGTTCACCTTTTTAGGAAATTATATTTTATTTCGAAAAAAAAAATCTAAAAATCAGCATTCCAACGATCAAAGAAAAAGAAAATTAATTTTATAATGTCACGTATAGTATACTTTATCTTCATGCTAGCAGTGGTGGAAGCTAGCAGGAACACTTTACAACAAAATACTGAAGTCAGCACAGCAGAGTCCAAGTTAGAAGGTATACATACTGACGTACATATACACAGAACATGCTCAAAATGTTACATTCTTTAGGTTTTCTACTTTATCAAGATCTATATTTATTTTAAGAGATTAATAAACCTGCTCTAAATTTATTGTAAAGTGATTTTGAAGAATGATATTTGTTTCATTTAGCTAGTGACCTTGTATTATCCCTGTCCTGCTCAATAGGAACTTGGACCTTTGTACTAAATTAAATGGATTTATATATAGACTTTATAGAATTAAAGTAAATAATTTTGATTTATAAATCATAACATATAATTATACTATATTGTATACTGATTGAATTACTTAAATTCAAAAATATTGTTGTCATTTATATATTATAATTTTTGATGAAAAAGCTACAATAAAACTACCGCCGAATGTTACCGTTCCTTGAGTCATTACATTTGGAGACTCAATAGTCGATACTGGAAACAATAACAACATGCGTACACTACTCAAATGCAATTTTGCTCCATATGGTAAAGATTTTCCGGGTAAGATTGCTACTGGAAGATTTAGCGATGGAAGAGTTCCATCTGAAATCATAGGTTAGTATAATCCCAACTCATCTCTTTTAAATTTCTCATTTTTTATGTGTGGAGTGATGGTCATTGCTTTGTGATTAACGACTATATATATTTGAGAAATTATGATTTTGTATATTATTAATATCTGGCAGCTGAAAGGTTAGGAATCACAAAAACAATACCAGCATACCTAGATCCAACGCTGAAAAATGAGGATCTTATCAAGGGTATAAATTTTGCTTCGGGTGGTTCTGGATATGATCCGTTAACATCTAAAATAGTGGTATTTTAATTTAATTTAAGTTTTTTTAAGAATTTATATAACTCTTCTAATTTTTTTTTTTTCGAAAACATCTAATTCATCTTTTGGCAACGTTTCAGAAAGTGGTTTCTTTAGAGGATCAATTAAAATATTTTAAAGAGTACAAAGAAAAATTAAAGGTAATATTGGGCCAAGAGAAAGCAAATTTTATGGTGGAGAATAGTCTTTATTTCGTGGTTGCGAGCAGTAATGATTTAGCTCATACCTATATGCCACGCTCTATCAAACACAACAGAACTACATATCCTGATTATTTGGCAGATATGGCTTCTAAATTTATCAGAGTAAGTCCATAATATGACTTATTTTTCTTTATTTTCCTTTGCTATCGAATGCTCCTCGAAGAGTACTTTTTCTCTTCTTTTTCCTTTGACCTTGTTTTTCCCCTTCTTTTTATAAAAACGTTTTTGTTGTTCTGAAATCTCAATCAAGTAGACATTACGAAAAATCATATAACTTATATTGATCATATATGGCAACATTTTACTAGTATCGATTTGGAATTCATATGCAATGTTTATATCATATAGGAGTTATATGGACTTGGAGCCCGGAGAATTGGAGTGTTTAGTGCAGTTCCAGTTGGATGCGTACCAGCACGCAGAACACTTACTGGAATAAAAAGAACATGCTCTGATAAACTAAACAACATGGCTCTTCAGTTCAATGCAAAACTATCGCCTTCACTGGAGGCATTAGGAAAAGAGTCGCCAGGCAGCAAAATTGTATTTATTAACGTATATGACATTCTTCTTGACATGATTGAAAACCCAAAAAACTATGGTAAGTACGAATACGCATGCATCTTTTTTTGTTTTGAAACAAGGATCCACATCATCTTTTCGCACAAAATTTTGTTACTTGATCATATTTACATAATAATTACATTGTTACTGGTAGAAGCTTTAGAGTGTGGATTTTTTTTAAACATGAAAGACAATAAATTAGCATTCAGGGTGGTGGCTTATGGAATGATTATTTGGTTGCATATCGGATATTTTGAAATTTCACGTATAAGATATCCTCAATTCCTCAATTTTCTGGATCTATTACTAAAAAAAATAAAACATATATAATACTTATAAATAGAATAATTAATTAAAATTATATAGACAAACTCTTGAACATTATATAGAAAATTAAAAAAAAAAACAATATGAATAATTTTTTCGCTTAATGAAAAGGTTTGAAATAGATTTTATGCTTTATATATATGTTAACATTCAAGATATTATTATATATATATATATATGTGTTTTTGACGGATCTATGAATTTGCAGGATCATTATTTATAAATCTGTTGTATCTTTAGAGATAACAAGACTGAATCTCAAATATTTTTGGTCATCGATATATAATTAGTACCAGAGAAAATTTATTATGTACTAATTTCTACCTAACATGATTTCTTCATTTATAGGATTTGAAGTGGCAAACAGAGGATGTTGTGGAACAGGACTAGTTGAAGTAGTAGTATTGTGCAACAAAATCAATCCCTTTACATGCAAAAATGCATCTTCGTTCATTTTTTGGGACAGTTACCATCCAACCGAAAAAGCTTACCAAATAATTGTGGATAAGTTGTTCGGCAAATACATTCCTCAACTAGTTTAATTCTCATATTTGTATTTACATTAAAAATATAGGTCGATATCGAAAAGGCTAAAACAAAGATAGCAAGTATAGTTTTATTTTGTCTAATTATATTTGTAGCATAAAACGATTTTTAATATTTTTTATTTTCTATCAAGACTATAGTTGACTTTTCTTTAACCATATTAAAATAGAAAAACTGAAATTTATTTATCTAATTTAAAAAAACCTGTTTAAAACCTAATTTGTTATTGCTGACAACTGTACATTGAATTAACAAGAAGAAAAAATCCACTTCAGATTATTACCAAAGCATTTTCGAAAATGAAACTCGACAAGATTGTCTCTTGCTTAGCGAAACATTGATTCTCCAAAGCATTTTCAATCCTTAACCTAACAAGAATCCCTCATGAAAAAAACTTAACAGAAGCTTCGATCTCACTCTTCTTCAAAGATCAATGTTCATCAGCTTCCTTAACGACCCACACAACTCAAACTTGACAAACCTCATCTCTAGCTAAAACCAAGGCCAGACATCAAATAAAGTTCAAATGTTCATCATCCTAAATGGTTCACAACTCAAGACCCACCTGCTGCTCTTTATTATGCTGCTGAGACATGGGTCGATGCCTTGAATGGGCGTCCATACCTCGGTATGTCCAACTTAGAACATGATACTGAATTTAGTCCCCACTTTCTTGATTGGTTGCTGATTGTAGCTTTTAATTAGCAGGTGAGTCAACACCAAACTTGGCTGATCTCGCAGTGTTTGGTGTCTTGAGGCCAATAAGGTACCTTCGATCGGGGAAGTATATGGTGGACACCACACACATAGGCGAATGGTATTCTCGAATGGAGAACACGGTCGGAGAGCCTTCAAGGATCAAAGAAGAGTAAAGGATGTTTTCTCTATATCGCTAGTGAAAATATGAATTGCGTAATGTATCGCAGATTTTTATTTTTCATGGCGTAACAATATTTTGAGCTTTAGGTCTAGAGAAAGAAAAAAAAAAGAAAAGAATAAACATCTCTTCTTGTAATTGAGGTATTTAAAGTACGGTGGCATGCTTGGTTTGGTCACTATTGATTTTTGCTATTTCATTGTTTCGTAAAAAAGAATGGTTCACTGTTTTCTTTTGATTGAATTTTCATGTTTAAACGACGGCATTAACTCATGGGTTCATATTGGTATTTTATTCACATGGTGTAGACCCAAAAACGGTGGACTGAAAACATAGAATTGTGTTTGTTTGCTAAATGTTCTTTTTTCCCGAGTACTTATCATGCTAACGATGTTCTGTAATTTGTGCATATTTATATGTATGAATGAATGGTCACGAAACAAATAATCTTATCAAAGATTTATACAACTCTAACAATCTTTGAGAGCATTTGGTAGATTAGTATTTCATCTTTTGGAGTTTGAATAAGTCAAACACTAGCATAGAGGAAAAACATAATGATCGGAGGAACGATGACTTGGAAGGACATGCATGCATCTAGAGAAGTTGCCCAAAATATCAAATGCTATTTTTCGAAGAGCCTCAAATTATCATCACTATATATAAAGTACAAACATGTGTTTTAACGTTCAGATAATCTCCTTCGGCTCGTTACTCCGGAGTTCACTTTTTAGTAAATAAAACTTTTATTTCGAAAAAAAACAAAAAAAAAAACGAAAAATCAGATTAAAAAAAAAACAAAAATTTGATTTTAAAATGTCACGTTTAGTATACTTTATCTTCATGCTAGCAGTGGTGGAAGCTGGCAGGAAAACTTTACAACAAAATTCTAAAGTCCGCACAGCAGAGTCCAACTCCGCACAGCAGAGACATACATATACATCCTCAAATACTCAAGTCGGCACAGCAGAGCCCAAGCTAGAAGGTATACATACATATACATTCTCAAAATGATACATTCTTTAGTGTTTTATTATTAATGATTTTTCTTTTCACACCAACTACTTTTCTAATAATAGTAACCAATAGTAATTCAAAAATTCAATTTCCTTTTTCTTGAAGTTTGTAAAAGGTAGTATTCATTAATAAAAAGTAATCTTAAACAGAAAAAAAAAAAAACTTAAACATCAAATATTAAAGAATATAGAGAGTATACGCTTATCAAGAGCTTTTCATTTAAAAAGATTACAACCTGCTTTAGGTTTATTGTTAAGTGTTTTTGAAGAGTGATCTTTGTTTTAAAAAATATTGTTGTCATTTATATTGATTTTATATATTATAATCTTTGATGGAAAAGCTACGATAAAACTACCGCCAAATGTTACCGTTCCTGGAATCTTTACATTTGGAGACTCAATAGTCGATACAGGAAACAATAACAACCTGCGTACATTAGTGAAATCCAACTTTCCTCCATATGGTAGAGTTTGGTAACGTTGCTACTGGAAGATTTAGCGATGGAAGAGTTCCATCTGAGTTCATAGGTTAGTATAATCTCAACTCATATCTTTTAAATATCTCATTTTTTGTGTCGCCATTACTTTGTAATTAACTTAAGGTTTTGTATATTATAAATATCTGGCAGCGGAAAGATTAGGAATCACAAGAAAATTACCAGCATACCTAGATCCATCGCTGAAAAATGAGGATCTTCTCAAGGGTGTAACTTTTGCTTCGGGTGGTTCTGGATATGATCCGATAACAGCTAAAATATTGGTATTTTAATTTAATTTATGTTTTTTAAGAATTTATATAACTCTTTTAATTTTGTTTTTGGAAACATTTAATTCTATCTTTTGGCAACGTTTTAGAGAGTGTTATCTTTAGAGGATCAATTAAAAAAATTCAAAGAGTACAAAGAAAAATTGAAGGTAATATTGGGCCAAGAGAAAGCAGATTTCATGGTGGCGAATAGTCTTTATTTCGTGGTTGCGAGCAGTAATGATTTAGCTCATACCTATATGCCACGCTCTATCATCAGACACAACAGAACTACATATCCTATTTATTTGGCAGATATGGCTACTAAATCTGTCAGAGTAAGTCCCATCATATGACTTATTTTTCTTTATTTTCCTTTGCTATCGAATGCTTGAACTTGTTTTTTTCCCTTCTCTTTTTAACAACGTTTTTGTTGTTCTCAAATCTCAATCAAGTAGACATTACAAAAAATTATCTAACTTACATTGATCATATATGGCAACATTTTACTAATATCGATTTGGTTTACATATGCAATGTTTATATCATATAGGAGTTATATGGACTTGGAGCCCGGAGAATTGGAGTGTTTAGTGCAGTTCCAGTTGGATGCGTACCAGCAGCAAGAACAGTTCAAGGAATATTACGAAAATGCTCAGATAAACTAAACAACATGGCTCTTCAGTTCAATGCAAAACTATCTCCTTCATTGGCGGCATTAGGAAAAGAGTCGCCAGGCAGCAAAATTGTATATATGGACGTATATGGCACTCTTCTTGACATTATGCAAAACCCAAAAAACTATGGTAAGTACGAATACGCATGCATCTTTTTTGTTTTAAAACAAGGATCGATGCACATAATCTTTTCGCACAAAATTTAGTTACTTGATCATATTTACATTGTTACTGGTAGAAGATTTAGAGTGTGGATTGTTTTCAAACATGAAAGACAAGAAATTGGCATTCAGGTTGTTGGCAGGAATGATTATTTGGTTGCATAGCGGATATTTTGAAATTTCACGTAACCATTTCTAGACCTAAATCCATAATCTGAAAGTATATATGCTACAAAACTTTAAGATATGCTCAATTTTCTGGATCTATTAAAATAAATAAAACATAATACTTATAAATAGAATAATTCATATTAATTTTTTCGCTTAATGAAAAGGTTTTAAATATATTTGTATGCTTTATATATCTTTAGAGATAACAAGACTGAATCATGTTAAACTATATGTTAATATTCAAGATATTTTTATATACTTTTGGTTTTGACGGATCTATGTATCAATTCCCAGGATCAGTATCTATAATTCTGTTATATCTTTAGAGATAACAAGACTAAATCTCAAATATTTTTGGTCATCGAGATATAATAAATACCAGAGAAATTTTATTATGTACTAATTTCTACCTGAAATGATTTTTTTCATTTATAGGATTTGAAGTGTCAGACAGAGGATGTTGTGGAACAGGACTCTTTGAAGTAGTAGTATTGTGCAACAAAATCAATCCCTTTACATGCAAAAATATATCTTCGTACGTTTTTTGGGACACTTACCATCCAACCGATAGAGCTTACCAAGCAATTGTGGATAAGTTGCTCGGCAAATATATTGTTCAACTAGTTTAATTCTCATATTTGTATTTACATTAAAAATATAGCTCGATCGATATCAAAAAGTCTATAACAAAAATAGTAAGTATAGTTTTATTTTGTCTAATTATATTTGTCGCATATCTTTTAAACGATTTGTAATATTATTATTTTTTTATCAAGACTACGTTTGACTTTTCTTAAACCATATTAAAATAGAAAACTGATATTTATTTATCTAATTTTTAAAAAATCTGTTTGAAACCTACAATAATTTGTTTTTGCTGACAATTAATTTTACATTAAATTAACAAAAAAAAAACATCCAGTTCAGATTAATATTACGGATCAAATAAAGAAACATTCAGTTCCGTTAAACTCCAACTACGGCACAACGCCAACCTGTTTGAAAACATAAAAATCAGACTAGCCATTTATTATGTAAATGGAACCTAAAGCATTGAAGCCACCAAATATGTTTAATTTATATTCTTCCTTTGAAAAGATTAACAGTTCTTTTACAAAAAAAAATAAAATAGAAATAGCAATTACTTAACACAATACGAGAGCATGAAGAAGAAAACAGGCACCCACTGACCATGTGGAAAGTGATAAATCAATCAGTTCGAAACGCGTATCTTTTCCTTTTTTTTTTGCTTTTTTCTTCGTTTCGACAGAATTTGGTAGGTTGTTTTAATATTATTAAAAGCATACTACTTATTAGTTGTTTGAATATCTTTAAAAGCAGACTTTGGTTGTTTAGAGGTGTGTAATACCAATTGTTAAATTCGATCAACTTTATAATTCGTTATCACAGACATATATTATTTCTCTTTTGGACTGTTTTCTTTTGTTTTGGACCGTCATTTTCAGGAATCTAAATTATAAATGCTTAAACTCTACTCCACCACAACCAAATCAAGTCTACTCGGTTATTTAATTATAGTTTCAATAGAAAGTGTCAAAATCCATCAACATTCTTAAAAAAGTCGTTAATGTTTGACGTCGACAATTAATCTAATCGTACCACACACACACATATTATTGCTCTGTTGAAGTTTTATCTTTTGTTGTCTTCTGTCATTTTCAGGAATCTAAATTACAAATGCTTAAACTCTACTCCACCACAACCGAACGAGTCTTGTCTCCGTGACCTAATTTGCTTAACAACCTTATCGTCTCACTAACAACTCCAACACCCAAAACTTAAACACCTCTAGCTACGACTATAAAATCTTGATCATTCTGCATCACTTAAGCAACCAAAAATATCCGCTCTAAATACATTTCTTTTCGACCAAGAAAGATTTTAAAATTTGTTTTTTAAATAAGTCATTAATATTCCGAAAATGAATGCACTTTTGGTCAATCTCCTTGTCACGTTTATTTTAGCAGTTTCTTTCAATGTTGAAGCACTCAGTCCTCACTACTACGAACAGTCATGTCCACAAGCCGACGACATTGTAACCAATGCAGTGAAGAAAGCTATGTCAGATGACAAAACCGTCCCTGCTGCGCTCTTGAGGATGCATTTCCACGACTGCTTCGTTAGAGTACGTACTAGTTACACAACATCATTATTATCATCTTTTGAATCTTATATATGCATGGGTAAATATTAATGTTCTTGGTGAATATTATTTTTTTGATAAATAAAGGGATGTGATGGGTCGGTGCTGTTAGACTCTAAGGGGAAGAACAAAGCAGAGAAAGACGGACCTCCTAACATCTCACTCCATGCGTTTTATGTAATTGACAATGCAAAGAAAGCATTAGAAGAGCAATGTCCTGGTGTCGTCTCTTGTGCCGATATCCTCTCACTAGCTGCAAGAGATGCAGTTGCTCTCGTTAGTGTCTCTCTATCTCATAATCCAAATTTAAGAACTAGTTTTATTTTATTTTTAACTCTAATGAATGAGTCACCTAAATACTTTGTTTTATCAATTCTATTATAGTCAGGAGGGCCTACATGGGAAGTGCCAAAAGGGAGAAAAGATGGAAGAATATCAAAAGCAATAGAAACAAGACAACTACCAGCTCCTACTTTCAACATCTCTCAACTACGTCAAAGTTTTGGCCAAAGAGGCCTCTCTATGCACGATCTTGTCGTTCTCTCCGGTATACCACTTTTTTCCATCACTTCAAATATACTGCGCAAGAATGTCGCTTTGCCACTCACTCACCCACAAAAAACTGGTCCACATAAGCAACCCTTTTTTTAGATGGCCTAGATGTTTTGACTAAGAAATTTATAAAGATTTCTTACAATATGCTAAAATACAATACATAAACGAAACGTCATCAAAATAGTTTAGGCATTCGGTGATAATACTAATTACTGTACTTAGCGCGTCTAACGATCTTGTATTCTTGTGAATATATTTTTTTTATTGCAAATGATATTAACTGTATAATCCAATGGCAGGAGGACATACACTAGGATTTGCTCACTGCTCGTCGTTCCAGAACAGGATCCACAACTTCAACACACAAAAAGAGGTTGACCCAACACTAAACCCATCGTTCGCCGTTAGCTTGAAAGGAGTTTGCCCAGCCCATAACAAGGTGAAGAACGCTGGAGCGACCATGGATGGAAGCACGACATCATTCGACAATGTCTACTACAAGATGCTTATGCAAGGAAAGTCACTCTTCTCATCCGACCAAGCGCTTCTCACATCGCACTCTACTAAGAATCTCGTGGCCAAGTATGCGAGTTCTAACGAAGAGTACGAGAGGGCTTTTGTGAAATCCATGATCAAGATGAGTAGTATCATTGGGAATGGTAATGAGGTCAGACTTAATTGCAGGAGGGTTCGCTAAATATCTCAAACTCCGCTTCCAACAGCAAGTTGCTACATTTATATATGTCTCTTTTTCTATCATCATTGGCTCCTTGTTAATAGGCTGTTGTTAATGATTATTAAGGCTGAGATTCTTGTATCAGAAATACCATTCTATCGTGTGTGCTATTGTGTCGGCAGATATATATTTACAAGTAATAATATATTTTATTTTTCTTTTTCACAGAAAAGAACCGAGAATGTTAAGAAAACCTTTAGCGCAAAAAAAAAATATGCCAAGAACCTTGTACAAAATCAAAGTACAATGACCCACAACGAATAATGTCAATTCGGTCAAGAGATATTTCACATGAATATCTTATAAGGTAAATTTTACTTGGATAAGTGTAAAGTGTCCAACGAATGAGTTAGAGCAAGAGCAACATAAATACATAATATGAGTTTTTTTTTTTTTGGTTTTATACATAATATGAGTTTTGAACCACCAAATTTCCTTTGTGCATTTTACGAAGTCTTGTGGTTTAGGATGCATGATCGGTTGGTTATATTTTGTTGCCCTGGATCGTCTTAAATCATCATCTTGGTGACTTCTCTAAACTTCTTGAAATTTACAATCCAACGCCGGTGACTAATCGTCCATTGGAGGTCGGAGTTTCTCGATAAATTTAATAATCTTTCTAATTTTGTTTTTGGATTAATAAGTTCAGACATATGTATAATGTATTCTGAAGATAATTTCTGCTTTCTGTTTTAATTATTTTTGTATTCGCCTGAGGAGGAAGGAGGGATCCGAGCATTTGGTATATATAGCACTTGACGACAATGATTTTTTGGTAGTGGATTTGGTCCTTTGGACATTCTTCTCGCTCACCTCTGGTCCCTGAAACATGATTATCAAAGTACACATAATACTTGAGGCCCCATAATACTTTTAGACTTTTAGTAAATAAAGTAAGTAAAAAAAGAAGGGAAAACTAAATACTTTTAGTATTTTAGTCTAAAAGGTAAAGTAAAGAGGACAATCTGAAATTCCATTTCACCGGTCACAGAAAAGCAAATCAACGACCTCGCTTTGAAATTCCATTTTACCGGCCCAAAACACATTTGTCCATAGAGCCGCTAATGTTATATAATACCATATGTTTTCCAACTTCATATTATAACACGTATATAAAGTTTTATTACAAAATTTTGATCACATAAAACGCCACTTGTGATCCTCGCATTTTGATATCAAATGTTGTCTTGTCCACATAGGTGAATGAACTGCCGGTTGAACTATCAAATGCCGCACAGTTATTAACGATGAGTGAAGCAATGCAGTCTTGCTATAGCATGTTTGCCCCCAAGACAAAAGATGACGGTGAAGACCTTATTTCTTTTTGCTTGTATACATGATTGTTAGAGTTGTTGTTTGCACCGGATTTACATAAACGTCAAATTTACCTTTCTAATAGGTTTGTATGAACGTCAGATTCCCTTCCAATAGATTCGTCAAAAGTTGAAGTGGAATGAGTACATTCTTGTTTTCCTTGCATTGAATTGGGAGTGTGTATGTTCTTGTTTAATTTGCCTTCGCGATTAAGTGGGAATGCGTTGTTTGGACCAATAAGCCATATAATTTGATATACTTCAAATATTACACCAAGAACATATTATATTGGTCCAAATATTAGATTTAATTTCTATTTTATTTTTATTATTAAATTTGTAATTAGTAAATGTTCTTGTCTGTTTTATTACCCATTTAACACATTCTATTTTATTTTTCTGTTATCTTTTTAATATATTTATTTTTTTAATTTGAATAAAAATATTTATTAAAAGAAAACAAAAAAAATTCCCAATTATTTTTATCGTGCGTTTATAAAAGTTTTGGATGGAAAAAAAATCAATTTAATATAAATTAAATAAAAAACCATATTTATAAAAAAAACGCTTGATATAAAAAAACTGTAGAGAAACGCGGATTGTTGAAAAAATAAAACAACATAATAGTAACAATAATTTAACCTAAAATCTGACATTTGGTTCTACTGGGTTCTTCCTCTCCCCGCTGTATATATAGCCGTTACTCTATTTTCACAATTTTTTCATTCCCCACAATCAACACCTAAAACATTTTTCACAATTTTCTGCTCCTAAAGCAGGAATCTAACTTTAACTTCTCTTCCTTTTTTTTTTGCCTTTTACAATTTAAAAAGAAAAGCAAGCCGGAAAGAGCAAGAGACGGTGTAGGATGCACTACACACGCATCTCACCAGTTTCATTGCCTTCTCCGCCGCCCACCGCCACCGCTACAGTCCAATCCAGCAGCGGAGGTAACATGTTCGCTACCGTTTTCGTGGCCCTTCTCCTCCCCTGCTTTGCCATGTGCATTGTTTTTCTCATCTACCTCTCCCTCTTATGGTGGTCCGCGCGTCGTCGAAACGAGCGTCTTAGATTAGCGGAACCGGTTAAACCGAAAACCGGCAAAGGCCTCTCTGTGTTAGAGCTCGAGAACCTCCCAAAAATCACCGGAAAAGAGCTTGCTCTAACGGCGAGGTCGACTGAGTGCGCCGTTTGCCTTGAAGAAATCGAGAGTTGTCAACCGGCTCGTCTGGTTCCCGGTTGTAACCATGGATTCCACCAAGTTTGTGCTGACACGTGGCTATCTAACCATACGGTATGTCCTGTCTGTCGTGGTGAGCTTGCTCCGAAGGTTCCTCAATTTAGTGAAGATCATAGTCAATGTTGAAGAAACAGAATCGCCCCAAATTTTATTTCTTGTTTATTCCTTCTCTGTTACTACTCTGGTGGTTTTCTTTTGTTTGATTTTTTAAATCTTTTTTTTTTCTTTTTCTGTACTGGTTACAGAGAGAAGATCGATCCTAGGTAAATTAATTAGTTGTTGTGGGTTGTCAGGAAATTATTTCTAGAATTAATTGTACAAGATTTTCAGTTTTGTCATTGTAGTTAGTTTTGACTAAATAGGAGTAATTACAAGGATGGAGTTAAATTCGGAGCAAAAACAAAAAACAAAAATGGTTCAGTTTAAATATGTAATGCAATGATTACATTGATACTAATAAATGAACAGTTACACAAAGGACATGAAAACATATTTTGTGTATTATATTTAATAACGGAGGTGAAAAGTTGACACATGGCAAAAGATACAAAATATCAGCCAGGATTTGGAGAGAATATTTCGAAATTAAACATCTTCGTAACTGCAATATATTCACCACCACACGCGATGTGTAAAATTAGATGCTAAATTATTGTTTCCTGGTTGATGATGGTTCAAAGTCAGTGTTGAATTTCTATTCCTAAAAGTACTTGAAAGTTTGAAACATTGTAACAAAAGCAAAAACAGTACTCCATCTTCCTAAGGTGAAAAAGAAAAAAATCAATGTCCAGCTGGTTATATTCACGCGTTTTTTGACACAAACCATAATTACTAGTATTAAAAAAAGTAATTAGTTGCATTTACCTTTTTTGGAAGAAACAACGTCAACGCCAGCTTTTTGCAATGATAGGAAACACATTCATTTGATTCAACAAAATATCTAGGGTGTGAGTGTGTGATTTGTTTAAAAGTTTTAGAGGAAAATAATTATTTTTACTCTGTTTTGAGCTGGTTTTGATAGTCAAAGTGAAAATGTTGAAAACTTGAAAAGTATTTACTCTATTTCGAAGGGTAAATGATGTTTATGTATTTTAAAGCGGAAGATTTGTTATTAACTGTTTAGTAATAAATGATACAATGTACATTACTAACTTTTAAATGAAGTCTTAATTTGAATCTCATAATACAGTGTATTCCACAAACATCCGAGTATGAATCTCATGTTTTCTTTACCCGGTGTTAAAAGGCCATTGGACAAATAAAAATGTATCAATTTATTCTTTTGTGGCGAATAGTATCAAAACAAACTGAAAATATCTGCGGCAGTATAACGTAGTTACTAGTTAATGTAATCTTAAAAGTCTTTGGACGATATGTGTGGGATTGAGGTTTGTTGGCGTGAAGGAAGTGGAAAATATCATACTAATTGGAAAGAGAGAAGGGGAAAAGCCACTTTTCGTGGCTAAACAAATCAGGTGCCAAAGATGTTACCTTATCTCTGAAACTAATAAATAAAACAAAGTGTACTTGTACCCACCACATAGATGAAAATGTATTACATGAATCATATAAAACTAAAACAGAATGTTTGATTGGGGGAGAGCAATCGCCAGCTAACAAACAAACCTGAAGTGGGAAACATCTGTCTATTAGTTTAAACTTTATTTCTGTGCCACGAAAACAATTTGAATTGTTTACGCTTTCGTACATGGCTTTATGTAGTGCTCTGCACATTATCCGTAATATTTGTTTCCATCGTTCTATTAATATATAACAAGAAAATATCAGATAAAAGAAATACTAAAAACTGACAGTGACAAAGATTTGTATTTGCCTCTTAGGTTTTTGATCACATGCATCGTACTGTCATACAGTTCAGATTGTAACTCAATTTGATATTCCAAAACTAATTCCAATGTTCCTTAAACAAATAAATTCGGAAAAAGAATAGACTCTCAACAGAGGATGAACAAGGTTTGTTAGACTCTCAGCAGATGATGAACAAGGTTTGTTACATACAGAAAAGATAGAACAAAGAAGATGAAATTTTATTATCTTTGTGAAACTCTTAACTTCAGTAACTTAAATTTGGAGACTACAAGAAGAGGCCATATATAAGCGCTTGAAGAATTGAGAGAGAAAATAATTACTTTAGGCTTACTATTCTTTTAACTCTTAAGTTAATTTTTTGGGTTTTTCTTTTTTCGACCCACGTTTGGTTTAGGCTCGACTAATGGGCTTAGATCATCACAGTTTGCCCGTTTTGATTAGGTCAATTTGATGTGCAAACACTTTGCTTTTGTCGTTTACGCAGAGTGAGAGTGAGAGTTGTTTTTTGGTCTTTGGATTGCTTAAGCCCATTCGATAATGAAGACTTTCCATTCGGTTTGGTTTCTTGTTGCACTTAATGTTTATTTCGAAACATTCAGGGGCTTTAATCTAATACGGTCCATATTAAAACAGAAAAAAAGAAAGAAAGATAAAAACAAAAAATGCTACAAGTATGATATGACACTTTGCCTTTGCTCTTGCTCCAACAAGAAGTAAGAGAAAAAACGTAAAAATCGAAAGCGAATAGATTTCTAAAGAAGTAACCTCTTTTTACTCATTTTTATATTAGTCCCTCTCATGTTCTTTATAATCTGGTCATTCTTCTTCTTCTTGTTTGTAGCACCCTTCTTAACAATGGAGGAGGTGACGACGTTGCACGGGATAGGACACCTCTTCATGACGATCTTCTTGTACTGCTTCTCAGCGTTCATTGTGGCTCCGACGATTACAGACGTCAGCATGGCGGCGCTATGTCCCGGGAAAGACGAGTGTTCTCTAGCCATTTACCTCTCCGGCTTTCAACAAGCTGTACGTATAAATTATAAACATTATATTCCTAATCCTTGATGAAATGGTTTGTTGGTTGAAGTATGTCGGTTTGCATGTTAAGAGTTTATTTGCTATAAAGTACATTACTTCTCAAAATCAAAAAACACTTGTAGCAAAACAAATACTTAGAGGAGATTATTCCGCGAAATTCATTTATAAATATCATAAATCTTGTATAAAATATGTGTCATGTTAGTATCTCATATTGTTAAAAACATCTTAAATATAATGTGTCATTGGAACAAAATAAAAGCTTGAAAGTTAGAAAAAAACACACACCAAATTTCCATCCACATTCTAAGGAATTTTGCAAAAAAAAAAAGCAAAAATTAAACAAAAGTGTCATAGAGTTTGGTAATTTTTTTTGGGATTCTTTGAAAAATACCCTCTTTGTGTTTAAAATTTTGAAAAATACCCTAATTTATTTCTGCTTTGAAAAATACACTTTTTAAATGTAAAAAGACTGTTTTGACCTAATTTAAACAAAACATTAAAAAATCATTACAGCTAAAAATTAAAAACGAAATTCAAAAATAATAGAATCAATAAGATTTTTTTCAGATAAATATAAATTTTAAAAATTAAAAAGTGGATAAATCTATATTCCATTTTTAATGTTTTCTGTAAACAAATTTTTTTTTATAACTTTATATAAACAACTTTAATCTCATCCCCATTCCAACCAAATGAAAATTTATAAATATTAAACTTTACACTTTATAAACTAATTGAAATTTTAATAGTGTATAATTTTATCTTCCATTTTTAATGTTTACATTTATACATATTTAAATATTTTTGAAACATTATATAAACAATTTTAATCTCACCCTCATTTAAACTTTATATAAACAAACTCATACTCTTAATAAAATCTAAACAGATAATTAGTATTGTTTAGTATTTTAAAATGAATAAAATCATAATCAAATCTTAATATTTTAGATTTTTTATTTGAATTTCGTTTTTATTAAATTAGTTGAAAACCTCAAATTAGGATAATTAAGTCATTTCATATATTAAAAAGTGTATTTTTCAAAACTAAAAAAAACAAGGGTAGTTTTCAAATTAAAAACTCATCAAAGAGTATATTTCCAAAATTTCTCATTTAACATATTAAGTTTGTTTAGCGGTGTTAACCTTTTCTTAATCTAAACCAAAATATCATCAGATAAATCCAAATATGGTCTTGCTTTACAGAAATATTTTTTCAATATTATGAGGTTATATATTAGATCACTGGTGTGGGTTCGTTGATGATGATGCCATTGGTGGGAAGCTTGTCGGATAAGTATGGGAGAAAAAGTTTACTCACTCTTCCGATGACACTCAACATTTTGCCTCTTGGTACGTTTCCCATGGTCCCCACTTTGAATTGAACCTTTCATAAGCTTTAATTCACCGCTAAATATGCCTTGCTTCAAAGCAAAAGCAACATATGATGTTTCACATACTTTTACGAGACGACTTGGTAAATGGAAGGAAAGACAAGTAAATGGTAACTAGTGGACTTCTAATTGGGTAAATAAAATGACAAAAAAAAATGTTTAATACACTATTCCTTTGATTATGAACTAGAATACCGTATAATACACTATTCCTTTGATTATGAACTAAAATGTTTAATACACTAATGTTTAATACACTATTCCTTTAATACCGTATTAGCACGAGACTTATGGTGCCCTGAAACGGGGTGGCGTCTTGAGCTGATATCTCCATATGTCTCAGTGAACACGACTTTAGAGCTGAAAGCCGTCGTTCTTGACTGTGTAACTGGGGCCAGAGATCGTGTAGCTTGGAAGGGAAGCGCTGATGGTCAATTCTCTGTGGCGTCTGCGTACACCTTGTTGACCCACTCAGAGACACCACGACCGGATATGAATATATTCTTTCGTCGTGTTTGGAGCGTCAAGGTGCCAGAAAGGGTGAGAGTATTCATTTGGTTAGTCAGTCATCAAGTGATTATGACCAATGTGGAGAGAAAGAGGAGACACCTGTGTGACTCCGATGTGTGTGTGGTGTGCAAGGGTGATTTCGAGACTATAATCCATGCCCTACGGGATTGTCCAGCGGCACTAGGGATATGGAACCGAATCGTTCCGCCAAGGATGAGGAGTGATTTCTTTTCCCGAACGTTGATGGGTTGGTTGTATGAGACTCTGAAGGATGGTTTGGTTGTAGATGGGGTCCCATGGGCTACTACTTTTGCGATGGGACTTTGGTGGAACTGGAAGTGGAGGTGTGGGAATGTTTTTGGTGAAAATCGACGATGCCCAGATCGAGTGAGGTTCGTTAAGGAGTTAGCTAAAGAGGTGTGGAGAGCACATGAACAGAGTACAGGGCAAGGCAGAGCACGTATTCATGAAGAAAGGCAGATTGGTTGGGTCCCTCCGCGTGAAGGGTGGTTTAAATTGAATACAGACGGAGCGTCACGTGGTAACCCGGGTCCGGCTACAGCAGGTGGGGTGTTGAGAGATAGAGACGGTCGCTGGTGCGGAGGATTTGCGCTGAATATTGGCCGTTGTTCGGCACCACTGGCAGAGCTTTGGGGAGTCTATTACGGATTACTCTTGGCGTGGGAAAAGAAGTGTTCTCGGGTGGAGCTTGAAGTTGATTCGGAATTGGTAGTAGGTTTTCTTCGGACAGGGATTAGTGAGTCTCATCCCTTGTCTTTCCTGGTACGATTGTGCCACGGCTTTCTCGCAAAGGACTGGTTAGTCCAGATCTCTCATGTGTATAGGGAGGCCAATTATCTTGCGGATGGATTGGCGAACTATGCATTCTCGTTGGCAGCAGGCTTTCATTTTCTGGAAAGTGTTCCTCTTGATGTAGTTTCTATGTTTGAGGCGGATGAGATTGGGTCTACACGACCAAGGAACATTCGTATGTAGTTGTCTTATTGTTTTAATAAATTACTGGGAAACTTTTGTTTCCCGGTGCTCGACCAAAAAAAAATGAACTAGAATAATAACACATAACCAAGTATCTCTTAAATAAGGGTCAACTTTAGAGTAAAAACGCATATTTACTGAAACACATACATTTATACATGAAAGAGGTTTAAAAATGTACACTGTTTCACCATCCCATTTTTCTCCACTCGCGGCCTTGTTAAAATGTTGATTTAAAAAGACAAACAAATCAAGCGAAGCTTTGCTGGATTTGTTGGATAATCGGAGGGATAATAGTCTGCTAAGCTCTCTCCGATGGATGTGCAATGTCCCAAAACACATGTCGAGATGCATCCAAGCACGGTATCGGAGCCGCAGGAGAACAACAGCAAGGCCTTGTCGGCGAGGTAAATCCATAACTTCGAGGGTTCTGGACGAGTTCATAAAGAGGATTATACATATCTATGTAGATGGAACGAGAACCGGGGAGCATTGCATTGAGATTGTTGACTTCGGCGGCTAGTTTCCGGTTAAAGAGTTTAGCAGCTAAGTTTGCTGGTTCCATACATCTCCCTCCAAGAACGTTGCTTGCTCCTGGTAGGCACCCCAATGGTAATGTTCCCATCACCGCAAATTTTCTAGCTCCCAAATTATATAGCTCCTATATATATATCAGTAAAAAAATAAGAAAATCAAACTTAAGTTGTTGAGTTATATGGGAGTTAAAAGATTCAAAAAGAAAAGAAAAGAAAAATATACCTGCATGAATGATTGAGTCCATGTAATCAACTGGTTGGTGTAGGAGAAGACAGTGTAGCGAGTGTTTCTTGCCGGGTTTGAGAAATATGTGATGGCAATATCGTTATTCCCAGCGGAAATGACATAGACTGCGTTAGAGATGATTGATCTCGTTTTCTCTTCATCTCCTGTGATGCTGTTCAGCTGTGCTATGTAAGCTTTGAAGTCGTTTAACTGGTCTGGTACCCATATAACTCCCTGTATTTAAAAAAACAAAATTGTTTGAATGTGAATTTATTAGCCAAAATACTTTGTTAGATTTACATTATATCTTAAGTTACCTGAATTCTTGCGGTCATTGGATCTAAACCAGAACCACCAGATGCAAAACTAACACCGGTTAAGATATCGTTGGGTTGAAGGTATGGACTACGAAAAGCTGGTACAATGCTCTTTACTCCCAAACCTTCGGCTGCATGCATGCATATTAGTTATTCTATTTTTTTATGACAATTAAAACATTGGTGAAGATTATATATTTTTAATTGGAAAAAATGAATTACCAATCAAATCTGTAGGAATTCTTCCATTGCCAAATCTTCCAGTGGCACTTCGACCTACAAAGTCTCTTCCATAGGGCCAGAAATTAACTTTGGTTAGAGTCCTAAGACCATTGTTGTTGCCTGTATCGAGTATCGAATCTCCGAATGCGAAAACCGCTGGAGTATATCCGGCTTGAGCGACGTACAACGATGTAACAGAGACAAATAAGACTAATATGGTTTGAAGAAGTAGAGAACCCATCTTTTCAAAATGCGTTGATCGATATCGATGTACTATTTTCTTTCTCAAGTATATGTTTTAAAAGACAATTTGTATTTGATTGTGATGACTGAATGGGATTAGATGTTCTTATATATAGATCCCACAACTTATTAACGGAACCATAGCTGTTATAACTATGGTTAGAATTTTGTTACGATAGAGCTAATTTTAACAGGTAATCGAATCGAATTTATCCATATCATCATCATCAGGGTTTGTTTTTGACCCATCTTCTATAAATCTATATAGTTGTATTATCTTGTTGAATATTAGCTGCAATGGGCTGTTTAATATACATCACTACTAATTCGGGTCAGACTGAATGCTAAAAATGAAAATTTTCCCCTTAATGGACACTTGATTTGCTATGTATAGATATAATATTGAGAGACATGTAAAAGGTAGTATACATATAAAAAAAGGTCTATGTACTACTACACATACATATGTATGACGTACTAATAGTGTTGAGTTATAATGTGCTAGTAAGTTTTGCCGACTGAAATAACTCTAGCCGACATAACGACCAAATAAAATGTCATCAATACTTTTTCACTTTGCCATCAATATTATTACATAACTAGCTTACAAGTGCTGGTTTCATTAATTTTATCATATATATACACACACGCGCACACATACACGTTGGTGTGGGGCTATGATCAGCAATGGGAACCCTTTTTGCAGCTGAGTGCACCCGAGGCTATAGTCATGTCACCAACATGAGAGGACGGTCTAGCGGCTAGGCTCGAGGCTTTCGAATAGCTTGATGATTTAGTTGGTCCAGCACCAGAAAGTGTAAAGAATGCGCCGTTAAGCATTAGATCTCCTTCCGATCTCCAATTCCAATGGCTCCATTCACTTTCGGGCGCATCCTCGTGCTTTGTTATCTAATTTTTAAAGGGTATAATGTTAGAACTTTAAATGAAATCAAATGACAATAATTGATACACAGGAGTATTATTTAGTTAAAGTTTAATAAGAAATTAAAAATTGGAGTACCTCTTTGCTAGTAGATACATCAGGAGCAAGAAAACGGTTGCCTTGAGAGTTGATGGTAGGATTAGCACTTCCTCCGATTGCATACATTTCCCAATGTGTATAGTCATTGTTCACCACATGGAAATATCCATGTCGACACCTACAAAGGATTTAAACATTTATTTTCGTATTCTAATCATATATCATAGAATTATAAGACTCTTAATTGATCTAAAACTAAAAAATTGAAATATTAGCAAAATGTTAACTCAGCTAACCCAACTATTTTTGAGTTGATTAAGACAGAGTGAGAGTGAGAGTTGTTTTTTGGTCTTTGGATTGCTTAAGCCCATTCGATAATGAAGACTTTCCATTCGGTTTGGTTTCTTGTTGCACTTAATGTTTATTTCGAAACATTCAGGGGCTTTAATCTAATACGGTCCACCGTCCACGATATTAAAACAGAAAAAAGAAAGAAAGATAAAAACAAAAAATGCTACAAGTATGATATGACACTTTGCCTTTGCTCTTGCTCCAACAAGAAGTAAGAGAAAAAACGTAAAAATCGAAAGCGAATAGATTTCTAAAGAAGTAACCTCTTTTTACTCATTTTTATATTAGTCCCTCTAATGTTCTTTATAATCTGGTCATTCTTCTTCTTCTTGTTTGTAGCACCCTTCTTAACAATGGAGGAGGTGACGACGTTTCACGGGCTAGGACACCTCTTCATGACGATCTTCTTGTACTGCTTCTCAGCGTTTATTGTGGCTCCGGCGATTACAGACGTCAGCATGGCAGCGCTATGTCCCGGGAAAGACGAGTGTTCTCTAGCCATTTACCTCTCCGGCTTTCAACAAGCTGTACGTATAAATTATCAACATTATATTCCTAATCCTTGATGAAACATCATGGTTTGTTGGTTGAAGTATGTCGGTTTGCATGTTAAGAGTTTATTTGCTAGAAAGCACATTTCTTCTCAAAATCAATAACACTTGTAGCAAAACAAATACTTAGAGGAGATTATTCCGCGAAATTAGTTTATAAATATCTTGTATAAAATATGTTTCATATTAAATATCGTATGTTATATTATTAAAAACATATTAAATATAATATAATGTGTAACTGGAACAAAATAAAAGCTTGAAAGTTAGAGAGAAAAAAAACACACCAAATTTTCATCCACATTCTAAGGAATTTTGCCGAAAAAAACAAAACATAAATAAATAAAAGTGTCATAGAATTTGGTCATTTTTTAAATATATTAAGCTCGTTTAGCGGTGATATTCTCTGAATCTAAACCAAAATATCAGATAAATAAAACCAAAAAATGGTCTTGCTTTACATAAAAACATTTTAAATAAATATTATGAGGTTATATATTAGATCACTGGTGTGGGTTCGTTGATGATGATGCCATTGGTGGGAAGCTTGTCGGATAAGCATGGGAGAAAAAGTTTACTCACTCTTCCGATGACACTCAACATTCTGCCTCTTGGTACGTTTCCCATGGTCCCCACTTTGAACCTTTCATAAGCTTTAATTCACCGCTAAATATGCCTTGCTTCAAAGCAAAAGCAACATATGATGTTTCACATACTTTCACGAGACAACTTGGTAAAATGGAAAGAAAAAATGAAAGACAAGTAAATGATAACTAGTGGACATCTAATTAGGTAAATAACAACGAAGCAAAAAAAATATTTTGGTATATCGTTTTTCAGAAAAAAAAAAAAAAAGTGTATAGTAATTATAATATTTTAGCAGAATATGTCAATAACAAGTTCTAATAGTTTAGTTGCATTTTAAAAGCCAAAAGAAAAACGCAAAAATATTTCAAAAAAACTATTTTTAGAAAAAAATGTTTCGTAATAGTGAAACTAAAGTATAATTGGTTCGACTTGTCCAAAAATAACCATCCTCCTTGTTGTTTTTAAAATATCACTCAACTTTCATTTTAAAGTATGCGTTGATAAAATATTGTGTAGTATTCTACTTTCGTTTGCTTTTAAAATTTAAGAGAGATTGAAATTAGCTATGCGTTGAGAAACTTTTGATAATATATTTATATGAAATATTAACTTTTGATGGTTGAAAGTCGAGTATCTTAATATATCAAATATACGAAATTACTCTGTAGGAATCAAGGAATGGACTTATTTAATTGTTCAATAATTACAGCAACATTAGCGTGGAGCAGAGGGACTACTATCTTCTACATCTACTATGTACTCAAGACTTTCACTTCGATAGTTTGTGAAGGAAGTGTTCTCTGTCTTGCCCTTGCTTACGTGGTATGCCTTCCTTTTCCCTTTTCTCTTTTTCTTTTCTTTTATTTTCTTTTTCGTCAACACTTTTTTTAAAGTATACAAATAGTGATTTATTTAGTATAATCCAGAAAATATTAGCAGAAAAATAAATGCGATCTATATGAATGTGAGATAGCATAAAACTATTACAATGGGAAAACAAGAGGTATAAGAGTGTGTGTTAAGTTTTACTTTGAAACATATGTATTCCCGAAGCTTAACTAGAAAAAATTATTGGTCTTTAATCAGGTACACTACTTGCAGAAAACACAATGAGCTTTTCATCGTCGAATTTTGCTGCTAATCATACAGTAAATAAGCAGCTGATCTTAATAAATGAATTTTGCTCATATAAACCGAAACTATATTGAAAGATGAAACTGTTTTTGAAAGGAAAAAAATCATAATTTTAACTAAGTAAACAGTCGTTGATCTAATTAGAAATTTATATAAAAAATCTAATACTCTACTAATTAATATGGTTTGTTGTTAAATTGTTTAATTTATCTAGGTTCTGTAATTTGATAATTTGTATTTTCTATTTAACGAATACCAGCAATTTTCCTCAAAAATGTTTCCTGGCGAACTTTCAGGCTGATAATGTACCACAAGGACAACGAGCCTCTGCGTTCGGAATACTTACCGGGATTGCGTCATGCGCATTTGTTTGCGCTACTCTCTGCGCTCGGTTTTTATCTACTGCCGCCACATTTCAGGTATATTTTCTATTGGGATATGATATGTACACATGCATGTGTGTCTACTAGTGAGTATTTTTCATTAAGACATGATATTCGATGTCTCGGGTCAACTCGCTAGGTCGCGACAACAATGGCTGTTTTATCAACGGTGTACATGAGGTTTTTTCTACCCGATTCGATCCGAGACAATAGCCTGGTTGTTCCCATTGTTACAAGCGAGAAACTGAGTGCTGCTTTACTTGAAGATTATCCTGGACATAGGAATCGAATATCTAGAGCAATTTGTTCGGTACGTGAAATGGCCTCTTTCATGAGGAGCAGGTGTGTTTACTATTTTCTTTATAAGGTCGATTAACTGATTATTATTTTAAGATAACATTCACAGACTTGTGTTTAATTTCACAGCGTTCCACTTTTTCAAGTTGCGATGGTATCGTTCTTCAGTAGTCTTGGGGAAGCAGGTCTACAAGCTTCATCTATGGTACACTTAAATTCTGTGGTGAAAAATATAAATAGAGTTAATTAGGTAATGATAAATTTAAAAGAAAAATTAAGTTAATGGCAATTAGACAAAAGAAATTAAGTCATTTCCACTTGGTACTATCACGTACAAATAGATTATATGCATGGCCTATTTTACATAATGGTTTATAGAAAAACGAACATATTAATGGTTTGTCAATTGCTTCACGCAGTACTATCTGAAGGCCAAGTTTCGCTTTAATAAGGACCAGTTTGCAGACTTAATGATTATATTTGGCACCGCCGGGTCTATTTCCCAGGTAGAAAACAACTATAATATGCTTAATTTTGTGTAAGTTAATGTTCTTAATCACATTATTTAACTTGCACAATATGAATAAATTTTGCAGTTGCTCTTCATGCCAATTCTAGTTCCTGCTTTAAAAGAGGAGAGACTGCTCTCAATTGGTCTTTTCTTTGGTTGTGCCCATGTAAGTAGCTCTCATAGCATGCTATTATTTTATTTATTCTTAAACATATTCCATGTGCCCTAATCAGCTGCTTATGTGACCCATCCAATTATTGCTAATTAACTTCCAGATAGAAGTCCATCAGAATTTCCTTTATTATTACTATTTTTTATCACCCCTTCTCATATGTTTCAATTTCCAATTGTGCAGATGTTTCTCCTCAGCGTGGCGTGGTCCTCGTGGGTATTAATTCTAACCTTTCTAGAAAATATTTTTGTTTTTCACTATTTTTCTTTTTGAATGATTCCTTTTCTTTGTCATATCATTTCACATAATCACTGGCTAAAGAATTTGCAACTCATCAGGTCCCATATATGGCGGCCATGTTTTCACTTCTCTCTATATTTCCGCAGTCTTGTGTAAGTTTTCATTTTAGATATCATTTTCTTTGACTATACATTTTAGTTATATTTAGAAAGGTATTGTGATTTAGTGAACCAACTTTGCAGATGCGGAGCATTGTCTCCAAACAAGTAGCATCATATGAACAGGTAGATAACTTACTCCTGGCTGTTATACTATAGTCTAAACCATAAAGGTTTGAAGTTGTTTCAAACAAATTTCACTAGTTGCTAGAATTTCACTCTTTGTTTGCCTTTTTGGGAGCTTGGTCTAGAGTCACATTTATATAATCATAAGCAGTCTTCAAATTCAAACTCTTGGTTACCTTTTCAGGGGAAGGCCCAAGGGATTATGTCAAGTATAGGTTCTCTTGCTAATGTCATTTCTCCGCTGGTGTTTTCACCTCTAACAGGTTTCACTTTTTACTGAACTTATGAAATCAAATGTATAGCTTTGGTACTAACACAAGTACTTTTTTTGGTTCTTCTAGACTGGTTTTTGTCTGGAAGAGCCCCGTTTGATTTCCCAGGGTTTAGCATTATGTGTGCGGGGTTTACCATGGTAATACATTTTTACCTTTTTGCATTGAAATCCATTTGAGTTAGTTCACAATGGTTTTTATTATTCTAATACTCATTTTTGATGAACAAAGAGAGCTGTTTTAATTTCTAGAAACGTATATTTCTTGTCTAAAAATAATAATGTGGGAATATTTTGCTTGTGTAGACAATAGCCTTCATCCAAAGCCTAATGATCAGAGCGACAACTCCAACATCAGAAATCGGATCTCCATAGTTGCAGTTTGCACTAAACTACGGATTCCATATATATAGTGAAACAAAATGTACGGGTTCTAGATACCTAAGTCGATATATGCTTTGGTATTTTGTTTAAAATCTTGCAAACGGGTTTAGGTTTACAGAAGGTTACTATAGCATCTTCAGGATCAGTTGTGGAGACTCCATATGTACTTAAGGTTAACGTTCAAGACAGTTGGCGTCAATACTGTATATTATTGGTGGTCTAAAGCAACACAATATTCTTCCATATTTGTAATTTTGTATTCTAAAATACTGATTTCAATTTTGTAAAATATATTTTCAAGAAATTTGATTAGATACTTAAACTTCATCTAATTCCGAAACAGAGTAACTACACATTCCATTTTGCTAAGATGGTACCCGAGAAACTTAGAACATGTGCTATATACATGTACATGACTGTGGAAACTGAGATATACATGAGAAAGATATCAAATGTAATTCATGCTAAAGATGATGATAAGATTAAACTAGCTATATATAATACAGATAATCACACGATTGTACAAAGGTTATTGATAACTAGCGCCATCAAATTCAAACCTCTTTACAAAGGGAAGAGGTCTCTGCCTCTGTCATCGTCACCGGTATCATCAGCAGCAGCTTCATCTTCATGGATATCGAAAAGATTGAAGCCTCCAACATCCCACTTAGCATCTCTGTAATTGAAGCTTGAAGAGCTCACATAATACTTAACCTCATGAAACAAGTTGAGATTATCCACCAGCTTATGAAACACATTGCATCCACAACACTGCACCAATTACCCCCAAAACGAACTCGTTATCTCCCTCACTCACATCACACACCATTCCAAACCTAAACATTTACTCGTCCTCTCAAAGAAGTAAGTTTGATTACCTGGACGAAGACGGTGCCATCAGTGTAAGCATGGGGATTTATGGCTCTTGTGGTTCTCTGGCCACAGACGTTGCAAGTGAAAGCAACACGCATACGCCTACGAGGCGATTTCGTGAATAGCGACCACGGAAATGTCGAAACCGTCTCCGAATCGGTCTTGACCGGAAGAGACGGTCCTTCCATACCGGAACCGGTGGTCCAGCCTCTGACCGAGGCTGCGCTCAATACCAATCCCATGGCCTCATCCTACAATTTCAGAATTTCACGAAATTCAACAATCCGAATTCCAAAAAAAAAAAAAACGAGAAACGATGATAGGGATTTACATTGGAGAGAGTTCGATTTTGGAATAGAGGAACGAGGCTAGATGAGTTCGAATCGGATAGCGGATCGTAATCTTTGCCATCCTCTAAAATCAAAATCAAAACAGAAAGAGAAGAGATAAGTTCCAATTTTGCAAAACAAAAACACGATCGAGAATCGAGATGATCAGAAGTAATGGAATAGAAGTAAATTCCCGATTACTTTTGGAAAGACGGACGATTCTCGGAGAAGATGAATCTGTTCTCTTCTTCGGAGAGAAGAAGGAGAGAGGTGAAGACGAGGATGAGACGATGGTTGCCGCGGAGCTTAGGGCGGTAGCTTCCATGGTTGATCTTTGAGCTAACAGAGAGAAGCAAATTTTTGTCTGTTCCGTTTTCTCTTTCCAACTTCCAATGGTTGATCTTAGAGAAGCAAATTTTGTCTTTGTTTGTTTGTTTCTTCATTTTGACGTTGAAACGGGCTTAGGCCCACGGGGATGTGTCCGGCCCAGCACTTGTTCATATCTTTATTTCTTTTGTTTTTGTTATATCACTGTGAGAAATGTTTGATCAAATCCAGCTATAAGCGATGATCAATACATATTTTTCAGATCCTTAAGAGTTTTCTCACTCTCTATAATGCGAAAATTGGAGTTTTCATAAAAGTTGACTAATTTAGGTTTGGCTGCCAGATTCACGTGGTTGGGTTGGGTTGTGTTGGATCGTTCTTAGCTATGACCACCTTAGAAATATACATCAAAAGTGTTTAAGAAATATCATTATTAGATATAATTGTTAATTGTTTATCATGTGTTTTAGAAATTTTTGTTTATGAAATATTTGATTGAGAACACATAATTTGCTAACCAGCAATCGAATAAGTAGTAATGTCGTCTCTAACTCATTTTGACAACGAATTTCTTATAATAAACTCAAATATATTTTTTATATATATTAAGTATTGCAAATCAGTTTACACCTTCTATAAAAAAAAACCTGATCAATATTGCTCAAAGGATGATATTTTTAACTATAATATGTAGAGACTGTAAACTAGTGTAAAGAGATCACATCATCGCCCACCACCACAAAAACACGAAATTCATATCAATGGCTCCAAATAGATCGATTGTCTTAATTAAAAAAAAAGCTAGGGCCTCCCTCGTTAAGAAAAAACTAAATACTTCCAACTACTTCCTTGTCCCTGCATTGCATGCATACCGAGCCACCCTAATAAAATATATTGATGTGACAAAGTGTCAACATATACACGTCGGTTCGTGTTCGACCATGTAGCTTTGCAAAATATTTTCTTTGTATTCTACCAGTAAAATTATTTGACCAACTATATATTCTACCAAAATCTTGATTTGAACGTTAGAACTTAGAACTAAGAAGCAAGACCAGTTACATTTAGGGTTGTTGAATATGGACTTTTTGGTGTTACAAAATTAGAGTATGCTGAATATAATTTGGTTAAAGTTTGGATCGATATAAATAAATAGCAAACTAAATAGACATCTAATTAAATAAATTAGTTTCGATCGATATGAAGAAAATTATTGTGTCCATAATATCCGTGCATGACATCTAATTATATTAACTAGGTTAAAGTCCGCGCTACGCGCGGGTGGTATTGTCAGTTTTTTCTTTGTGTAATTTGTTTTTTTTTTATTTTTGTAATTTGTTTTTTTTTTTAAATATGATATTGTATCCGGAAATCTCTCCCAATTTTTTTTTAACCGAGTTTTTATATCTCTTAACCGGCAAAACTCCAAACCCGGGAAAACTTTTAAGAAAACTCGAAAACCAAAAAACCTGAAAAACCCGAACTGTACCAAACCCGAACAAAAAAAATGTCTAAACTCAAAGGCTGAGACCATAAAATATACATGTAGAAAACCAATTGTGGTTTCCTTTAACGAAAGAAAAAGTCCCATTATTTTTTCCTTATACTCTCTCTGTTTTTTTAAGATGAATTTTTTACATTTTTTGTTGTTTCATAAAGATAATTTTTCTACCTTTTTGATGCACTTTTTCAATTTTCAAGAAACATTAATTGTATATGTTAGATTTTTATTGGTTTAAAATTATAAAAAATTGTGTTATTACAAAGTTTTATACACTATATATGAAAAATCTAGAAAATTTATCAATAAAAAATGGAGAGAGTACTTGTTTAGCAAAACCGTTTAAATTGTTGTCTTTGTGAATGATGTGTCTCCCACAATAACAGTGAAGAAAACACGGCATATTCTGATTATTTGATAAAAAAAAACTATTGTATTTTAAGTTCAAATCGTCTTTTTTTTATGTACTAATTATTTAATGTGTTACAAAATCTGATTATCATGCTTTAAATTTCAGTGCAAACCATACAAAGAGGAGAGAAAGATAATCACCCCAGCCACCTACTAAATTACACAAATTTTATTATAATTTTTTTAAACGATTTGTTTATTATTTTGGTTAGAAATCTATGCGTTTGAATACAATATTGGAGTTAGAATAGTTTTTTTATGTAAATTAAAAAATATAGAAGTTTATAATATGTTAATATCTAGTCTTCTTCAATTTACAAAGACCTATTTTGCTGTGTTTTCCAGAAAATTATATTTGTCATTGTCAAATGATGTTTTTAAGATGGTACATTATATACGCCTTTATCCCACGAGAACACATGTGTAATTACTAATCAACTATACGCTGAGTTTATTTCCTTGTTATATACAAATTGGTTAACAGCCGAGAATATTAATACACACTATAACAATTCATGGTGTAGTCTTCAAAGAGTTCCACTTCTTCTTTCTTTTGGTCATGGCTCATAGCTTCTTTTTCCTTTCTCCGCTTATATCTCTCTGTTTTTGGTTGGAATATTTGTATGCCATTTGTTGCACTGAATTCTGATGGGGTAAATCATGAATCGCTCCTGCTTTCCTGATCCGTATCCTTTATGAATAACAGTTGCTCATTTTTCTTTCTTGGGATTGGCATGATTCAAGGGAGAATTTGTCTTTAGTTGCTGTAGATCTGCACTACATAGTTTGCAAACTGATCCTTCATCATAGCCTATAAACACAAGACGAAGAAGAAGAACCATATGAGCTTATAGCTTTTTTAATCTCCCTAACAATACTTTGGAAGATGTGTTTGACAAACCTGAAGAGGCTCGTTTTCATCCGTCGTGCCCAGCATCTCATTCAGAAGCAACTCCCGTTTCTCAGGACCTCCAAAAGTCAAACATTTCTCAACAACGTTTGATGCAAACCTCATGGAGAGGGTCACAACTTGTCCAAAGAAAGTCGAAATAACGAATTCAATGTTTTCTTCAGGCACACATTCAATGCACTTCTGAACCACATGGTTCCCATTCTGATCGCGTACGCATCGCATCACATGCCCATCAAGTTCTTTCACCATCTTAAACTTCTGGTCTAGATCAACAACCTCAATCGCCTAAAAAGGTCAAGTAACAGAACCATAAAGAAACAGTATCTGTACTGAGACTGGAAGACATACTTGTAGGAAAAAAGTGAGGATTAGACTATACCTTTTGGATGACACGACAACCATACATCTGTAGGCTAAGAGGCAACACATTGTCAAAGAGCTTCTCAGCTAATTCTCTCCACATTATTTCTCTGCAGAAACAAATGAATACAATGTTGAGTACATAAACAACCAGAAATGGGCCTACAAAGTTCATCAGAAGTCTCACTTTAAATTTTCTACTGCAGCTATTTCTTAGGTATTTGGAAAAGCACAGGGAGTGATCATATGGGAGATAACTCAATAAAAGCTGTCACAATGGGGAGAGAAGATGAAGCGAGAACACAAACATGATAGGAAAGTAAAATCAATTTCTTCTACTTATTTCTAGAAAGCAAAGTAATAAACCTATTATATATGAAATTGGCTGAAAACTAATCCAACCAGAAAAAGGTTGCATCACTGAAATCACCATAAACAAAGGAACTCGATGGAAAATAAATGGATCTCTAACCTTGAGATAACGGAACGAATATCAACATCATCAGGCAGCTAATTACCTCAATTCCCCTACGTCTAATACCAGGGAACCAATGTCTTGCTCAGTAAAGACCAGCTTAGTAGTCTGCAGAGCTCAAGTGTAGCAGCAACCGGCTTAGTAATCTTCATCAAACTGAGCTCACCAATGTCGTCGAATACTCGAATTGTTAAGCAGCCACCACGTTCTTGTTTTTGGTTTACATACACTCCATCAAAACAATGGAGTTCACCTGTAAAAATATTACTTAATGTTGAACATTTTAGAGTTAGGACTAAGCATCGCAGAAACAGATTCCGTGTCACTACTAAGATAATAACATTCTTGATTACCTCGTAAAGGAGCTTGCTATTTCGCGACTTGTTGACGCTTTTGCAGGCTATATACTCGGCTTGTTCTTCTTCCTTCCTTTTTACACAATGTGCGAAGAAAGGAAACTGATTTTAACAAAAAGTTGACTGAAACATCACAATAGATCACAAAGAATACTATGTAGGATAGTAGCTATTCATGAATAATGAACAACTAAATCAAGCTTCAAAGAATTACAAACTGAATTTCTCCAATCATAAACCAGAAAAAGCAAGAGAGGTAAAATGTTCAGAAAACCCATACCTTGTTGCTATAGTAGAAACTCCGAGTGCGGAACGATTTCTGCGGGATGAAATCTGGACGGACTTTTAGATTCTGAGCTCTGATAATAACTTGCCTAGAAAAACAAAACAATATAAATAAAATCATATCGAATCAACTAATAAAAAACACAGTAAATCTTCGCATAGATCACTATAGAGTATAGACTGGGAAGAAGCATTGACTGTCTTAGCATCGGGAGCTGGAAAAGGACGCATTACCTTAAGACCACCAAGTACCGGAGAATAACGATGAGAACCATAACAACGGACAGAGGAATCAGAACCCATCTCTAATCGATGTATTGAATAATCTATAGTTTGAACGAATTGTTGATCGAGATATCGAGATTTCTGACCATGAAATTCCAATTGGATTCATACGTACCTTCGTCTAAATCCAGCTTTCGATATTTGAAGTTTGTGGCTGATTATCTCCCATGTTACAATGTGTGAGATTAAGTTTGTTATGCCCACAAGCAGAGCCGAACAGAGTCGGAGTTGTAGACCTTGAAAATCCCTATGTGTCAGCTTACCAAAAAAGAAGAATATGATGAGAGAAGACCGACCAAAGGTGATTTTTGCAACGGACAATTCATAAACGGAAATGACTGGCTATTTAACTGAGATTTATGATAAGAAACAACATTTGTCGATTGGTCTTCGATGTGAAGCATTCATAATCGTAAGCGAGAAGATGGAACGAAACTAATAATCGCAAGAGAAGATGGAAAAAATCCCCAAAAAATAAGAAACAAAGAACGTCGTCGTTTGAAGGTCAAGCAGCAAGAAAACAAAAAAAATAGCGGAAAAGCTGAGAGTGTACCACGTGGCCATCTCTCTCCGTGCTGACGTGTCAGTCAGCTGGAGAGAGATGGCCTCTTATTATATATAAGATGTAAGTTGTTGAAATCTCTTCCTCAAAGATGATCTTTTTTTATTTATCTTTGTTAAACGGTGAAATTTTCGGATTTTTTGCTCGTAATCTTCCTTGCATATGGAGCGAGTTTTTTCATTATTCCAATTTAAGAAATATATCTTCATCCCAAAGAATCAACTCCCTAGTACGACCACTAGGTCAACACCTCTTTGGTCCTCAGAGAGATAGTTTAAGTGACTTTGCATAGTTGCAATTATATTGTTTCCTCATTTCAATAGTCTATAATTGTTTTTACAGAAAAATGAAACTTAAAAATAAAAATAAATATACATAATGCACGTTGCATCAATTATTGAGTTCGAAAAAATCTCAAACCTAACAGTTTTGTCTATTGGTAATTATATCATAGATTCATAATTAATTAGATATATATTAAAATAAAATAAAAATTATTATAGTTGTAAGTAAATCTCATCTGGTGTGTGCATAAAGAGAAAGTTTCACATGCACACCGATGCACACCGAACGCAGAAGAACTTAAATACATACCAGACACATAATTAAGTTCATAATTCTAAAATTAACGCACATAATTAGGTGGCAGACATAACACATACCAGACACATAATTGACAGACATAACACAGAGAGGCGCCTATAAACTGTGTGACTCTCAAAACTAAACACACAAACCAACAAGAAAAGAGTTGAGATGGAAAACGGCAATTCCTCCGGCGACACCAAGTCTTCACCTAAACCGATCCGTTGCAAAGGTTAGTGAAGAAGAAAGCTCCTTATTAGTAGATACCTTTCCTTAACCAGAACTAACGGCGTTGACTTTTATGTTTCTATGGTCAGCGGCGGTTAGTAGGAAGGCTGGAGAGCCGCTAGTGATGGAAGAAATCATGGTTGCTCCGCCGCAGCCTTGCGAGGTTCGGATCCGAATCATCTGCACAACTCTGTGCTACAGTGACATCACCTTCTGGAAACTCCAAGTATTGTTTCTTCTTCTCTTCAATGATTCATATTTAGGCAATTATTCTTCTTAGACCTGTTTACTTAGGACTGGATAAGGGGTGTCAAAATTTACTAATTACCGAAGTGTACTCAACAAAACTGGTTTCAGTGTGTAATCAAAACAAACAAAAAAACCGCCGGTTTCAGATACTAGTTTAGATCAAATGCAACATTATTTCTTAATTATATCGAAGACACAAATCTTGACCCAATAGTCAATTAGTCTCTAAACTTAACAATTTTTTAACTACTGATTGTTTTTTTTTTCTACGTAACTTTTTAAAATACTGAATATTGCAAATATACTCCAATGTTTTTTATTCTTGTTTAAAATATACTCCAATGTTCATTTGGTAAAAGAGACAAAATAGACTCCTACATGCCCAAAATTGCCAGGTATTTTTTTTTGTTTGTTCTTGCCAATGAATGAGACTACTAATATTATACAAATCGGATTAATAAAATTTATCTCTGGTTGTTGATACTGAACAGTCAGATTTATAAATTTTTGTCCTTGGGTGTTTACGCAGGTTCCTCCAGCCTGCTTTCCGAGGATTCTAGGCCACGAGGCAATTGGGTAAGGGCCTGTTCGTTTGATCATCCATCTATATCATTGGCTGGATCAGCTGAATGATGTTCAGCCAATGATGTTCGTTTAACAACAAAAATGAATAACATCCGGATGATCTATCTGAATGAGTTTTGAATTTATAGTCAAAAATTTAATATTCAAATGGATTATCTGGCTGATCCGAATTGGAGCATCTGGATAAGAGATGATCCATCCCAAATATGCAAAAGACACATAAATTCATAAATATATTTACACAAGAAAAATATTCATAATATTTTTTTAATAAAAACTAAAAAATTAAAAGTATCAACAAAATTATAGTTTCCCTCCCAAACCATAAAATTACGTTTTTCCACCAAAACCGTAAAATTATATGTTCCCGCCGAAACCGTAAAATCACGTTTTTCCGCCAAAATCGCAAAATGGCGTTTTCTGCAAAAACCGTGAAATAACGTTTTTCTGCCAAATTCACAAAATCACGTTTTTCCACCGAAACCGAAAAATCATGTTGTTCCACCATAACCGCAAAATCGCGTTTTTCTGCCGAAATCGAAAAATGGTGTTGTTCCGCCCAAACAGCGTTTTCCCGCCAAAACCGCAAAATAGCGTTTTTGCAAAAAAAAAAATCGTGTTGTTCCGCCAAAACCGCAAAATCGTGTTTTCCCGCCAAAACCGCAAAATCACGGTTTTGATATTATTTTTTTGAAATTGTGAAATCACGTTTTCATCAAAATTGTGAAATCATGTTTGATGGTTTTGATATTATTTTAGATTTAATATTGAAATTTTTAGAAAATTAATCTAGATAAAAAAAATCTTGATTTAACAAAAATAATATGGATATTTTGGTCATTTTTAATTAAAATCATCTAGATGGACTATTTGAATAAAATATATGAACAACACTGAACTATTTAGCTGAACCATTTGAATAAAAATGAAAAAATCTAAACATCATCCAAATGATCCATCCAAATTGTCCATTTGAATGAATCATTTGCATGCTCATTCCAGATGAGGAAACAAACAGGACCTAAGTCTACGTCCATATCTATATTCAATTTTTCTCATCCTCACCTACCTCTTGTCTCTCTTTTGCCAAAACTATTTTTTTCCAAAAAAATTCTCCCAAAATAGTTTTGAAATTTATCCATATCATCCGGTCAACATAGCCTCAATTCAAAACCCCACGTTGGAAGTTACAACAAATGGCTTTGGACTTTTCTAGTAGGCTAACGTGATGAGACTTTCATCGAATAAGATAAGATGTATAGACATCCATTATAATATAGTTAGCCAGTTACCACAAATATAGATATTTATTATAAGAATTTATTTTCGTATTTATGATTCTATGAACTAACAATAGATGTCTCAACATTGCTGACCCTGCAATTGTCTCTAAGGTGGATTTAAATATCAGTGACATAAATATTTTCGCTAGATCTCCAAAACGACTAAAATGCACAACCCAATAACCCCCTAAATTCATCCAAAAATCATACTTCAAGTACAAATATGTTAAAAGACATCAAAGTTTATTTTATTTTATTTAAGAGACAACTAATGTAAGTAAAATATTAAATAAACAGAGTAGTTGAAAGTGTGGGTGAAAACGTGACGGAAGTTGTAGAAGGAGACACCGTGCTACCGACGTTCATGTCGGACTGCGGCGACTGTGTTGACTGCAAATCCCACAAAAGCAACTTATGCAGCAAGTTCCCTTTCAAGGTATCGCCATGGATGCCAAGATACGAAAACTCCAGCAGATTCACTGACCTCAACGGCAACACTCTGTTTCATTTCTTAAACGTCTCCAGCTTCAGCGAATACACTGTTCTTGATGTGGCTAACGTCGTTAAGATAGATCCTTCTATTCCTCCTAGCCATGCTTGTCTCTTTAGTTGCGGAGTCTCCACCGGTAAATCAATAACATCGTAAGAAAGATTTAGTACATTTTTTATAAAAAAATGCTAATGATATGTATTGGTTTTGCATTAGGTGTTGGTGCTGCTTGGGAAACAGCTAAAGTTGAAAAAGGATCAACTGTTGTCATTTTTGGACTTGGTTCTATCGGATTAGCGGTAAAATTGTATTTTTAAGTATTATGATATTATGGTAATCAGCTGTCTTGAATCTTGATTATGAGTTAGGGTTTGTATATTTACAGGTTGCTGAGGGTGCAAGACTTTGTGGTGCCTCTCGAATTATTGGTGTTGATGTAAACCCTTCCAAATTCGAACTTGGTTAGTGACTCTCTTTACTAAATAGTTATATTGTATAAATCTTTGAACTATATATACTTTTTTAATTAGAAATGACTCATATATATTGCTTTGAACATCATCGTTTTGTAGGCCAAAAATTTGGAGTAACTGAGTTTGTAAACTCTAAAACATGCGAAAACAAGCGTGTGAGCGAGGTAATGACGCATAACATTTACGTCTATGGAAATTGATAAACGTCTCTAAATGTTATCTCTCTTTGTGTTTAGGTTATCAATGAGATGACTAGTGGGGGAGCAGACTATTGCTTCGAGTGTGTTGGAAGCAGTTCTCTGGTTCAAGAAGCTTATGCTTGCTGTAGACAGGTATGGTCCTATTGATTTATACCTGAAACCAAAGTATAATTAGATTAAAATATACATCGAGGATTTGAACCTTACTTGTAATAAATCAACGTGTAGGGATGGGGGAAGACGATAACTCTAGGTGTGGACCAGCCGGGTTCACAGATATGTCTAGACTCGTTCGATGTGCTTCACCACGGGAAGATTCTGATGGGTTGTTTGTTTGGAGGTTTGAAGGCAAAAACACACATTCCTCTTCTTCTGAAACGCTACTTGAGCAATGAGCTTGAGTTGGATAAGTTTGTGACACATGAAATGAAATTCGAAGAGATCAACAACGCATTCCAGCTACTCCTTGAAGGGAAATGTATCCGCTGTGTCTTGTGGATGGGCTAAAGTCAATTTACTGTTTCTTCTATCTTTTGCATCAATTTCATTTGCTACATGTTCAATTGTTATGGTTTGTGATCAAAACAAGCAAAGCCCCAATAAGCAAGTATAAACAATATTTTAATGTTTAAAATAAAAGAGAACAAAAAGGTTGAATCAGTTTATGTTAGAGCAATTCTTTCATAATATATTTTTAGGTCTTTGTTCAAATTCTTTCATGTTAGAGCAGCATGAAAGAATTTTTAGCTATCAAAGTAGAAAAAGAATGAGAATGAGAATAACTGAAATTCTTTCTTCAATAAACTCACTCAAGCTCTCTCTTCCTAAAACAATCTCACTTATTATATCGATTCTAAATCTCTGCATACAACTAGTTTATTAAGTAAAGATTCCGATTACATATTTGTTTTGAAACATCAATTGCTTCCCTTGGCCTATCAAGCGGACATGTGAAAAGCATAATCCTAAGTTTTTAATTGCAAGTTTGGAAACGTCGAATGCCATTGTTATCAGAAACCTGCAGCTTTCTAAGAGTTTGATTTAGGCTGATAGTTTCCTCCGGTTAGTCTTCTTACAGAAATTGTCTTTTGGTCTCTACCAATCTTTTGTGTAATGAAACCTCTATGTCCTCTCATTCAGACATCCCTTGGTCTCTACTGAAATATTATTGATAGCTACTTTTTAGCTTCTAGTGTTCCTCTATATGCTTCATCAATGATCGTCATTTGCTTGTTTCATATGGTTCAGGCTAATCAGAGGAGCTGCGTAATGGAAACCAAGAGGGACCTGAAGATATATTGTGGGTTTGGACACCTACATGAATGAAAAATAAAAAGTATGTTGTAAAATATTCTTATTGGTTTCTGGTTATATGCTTTGATAAACTAATTTCAACTGTGTGGTACTGGTAATAATACTTCGCAACTCGTAAGTCTATAATTCTCCAAGTTGGTACTAAAAAGTTGTATTCACTATCTCCATATGTTACACATTCTTTGACTGCGTTTGTATAACTGTCTCAAGATGAAATATGGGTCCCAAAATGATGAGCACCACTAGTAAAAAATAGCATAAGTTTGATTAAACAGACGTCCAGATTTAACATTTTTAACTCGGTTTAGTCCGATTCTTTAGTCAATCCAAAACCGCGATGAGTAAATAAATCTTATAAATATTAACCTGATCACAAATTTAAATAATTAAAACTTTTTTAACTTAATAAATAAATAATAGTATGTTAATAACACGGCCTAATATTTCGGGAAAATTGCAAATATAATGTAAATAAATAAAAATTAGTATAAATGTAAATTTATCTGGGAGAAAATAAATTAGCCTAAAACAGGATTTAGTTTTGTACCGAACCAAGGCTAGTTAATAATATCAGAAGTCAACGTGAACATATCTCGCAAGTCGCAACTGAACATTAACCAACCTAAAATTATCTATAAACCTTGCATCTCTTTGGTTCAGTGGTAGGGGAAGCTTGGTTGAAGGGTGAACTCTCTAAACTTGATTTCAATTCTCCTTGAAAACAAAATTCACATTTGTATAGAAGATAATATTATTGGGGCTAATCGAAAACCGATAAGGTCTATAAAAAAAAATTAATCTACAAAGAAATTGAAAATCTTGAAAAATAAACAAGTAACTAAGCAACGCTGCGTTTTCATTAACCGGCTAAAACGCTGCGTTTTCCACAACTAATTGGCGGCAACGAACGAAACGGTGGCGTTCTTCGGTCAACTGACTTTATAGTCTCAGTACTGACCGTTGATATGATCATACTCAGATAGTCAGATCTTGACCGTCTAATTTCTTAATAGCAAAAAAGGAAAAAGTCCGAAATCGAAAAAAGGAAATTTTAATCAGAATCATCAGATGTTGTTGTAATCAATCATATCTATATAAACACAGCAGGCAGAGCTAAATCCTCATTCAACAATCATCAAATTTTCCTTTTCTATTCTTCTCGATCTTCGTCTTCATTCCACTTGTCGCACGATTTACCCAGAAATCAGGATGATGATTCAGAAACTCCCAAAGGATTTACCTTCGTTCTACATCAAATTGTATCAGATTGTGGATGATTCTTCATCGGATCCGATTATCTCGTGGAGCAAAAGCAGCAACGACAACAGTTTCGTCGTTTGGGACTTGAAAAAGCTTCAGAGAGACGTTCTTCCGAAATCCTCAGGATCGGGCAGAAGTTTAAAAGAGTTTTTAGCAGAGCTTCGCAATCATGGGTTTAGAACAGTCGTCAAAGGTCCCGGGGAATTGGAGTTCGTACACGAAGATTTCGCCAGAGGACTTATGACGAAGAAGATGATGGCCAAAGCCTTGTCCGAGAGGATTGAGAGAGTCGATGCTCAAATCAAAGCTATGAAGTGTCGAGTCAAGTCGAGGAAAGCTAATCTCCGAGTAGAGAATCTCTTCCAAAAATTACGAATCTGATCAAAGGATCGTCAAAGTAGAAAAAAAATCTCTTTCAGAGTTAAAGATCTGATCAAAAGATTCATCTTTTTTTTTTTTTTCTTGTAAAACAGTATTAAGTTTTGTAACCTCTTTGTTCTATGTATAAGAAAAGTCCTCTCTTTTTTCTTCTAACGAAATTTGGGATTTTTTCACCAACATTGTTATGTTTTCTTGTAGCCTGTGTGGTTTGTTTGAAAGTAACAGTGAGCAGAGAATATATATCTAAAGCATCTTGCCTTATGAAACTTGCAAACGTTATACATAAAAGCTACAATACATATCTAGAAATTATAACTTATCTTATAAATCAATCACTCTGCTTCTTAGTTCTTAACCTGATACAACGAAACAAAAAACATCTCTTTTTCTTTCTCATGTAGCTAAGCAACTCAGGCAACAATGTTGTAAGTCGCCATGCTCGGTGTGAAACCCATCTCTTTCATGTAGTCCAAAACCTCGTTGGCCTTCCCCACCATCTGACTTCTTCCGTATATCGAAACCATAGAGTTCAGTGTGGTTATATCCGGTGAAAAGCCTCTCTCTTTGAGCTCGGAGATCACACTTAATACAAACCAAGACTAAGGCCTTCAACAGCACGGCTCGAGGCTCGATAACTCCAGAGTACACTTCCTCCGCTAAGAAATGCATCCGACCTATCTCCTTCCCATTCGCATACGCGTGAGGCAGAGAGCAGTAAGTTAGCTCGAGTGTGTTGGAAGCAGTTCTTTGGTTCAAGAAGCTTACGCTTGCTCTAGACAGGTATGGTCCTGTTTGATTCCAGCTACTCCTTGAAGGGAAATGTATCCGGTGTGTCTTGTGGATGGGCTAAGTCAACTTACTGTTTCTTCTATCTTTTGCATCAATTTCATTTGCTACATATTCAATTGTTGTTTTATGGTTTGTAAGCCCAGTGAGCAAGTCTAAACAATATTTTAATGTTTTAAATAAAGGAGAACGAAAAGGTTGATTCAGTTTACGTTAGAGCAATTCTTTCATAATATATTTCTAGGTTTTTGTTCCAACCATTAATTAGCTTCAATGTATGATGTAACCTAGGCATAGCGTGTTCGCTTAAGACTTTGGCACGTAAGGATTAAAGGTATACGTGTCTGGAAACCACTTTCATACAAATGGATCCATCCACTCGGTGTCGTCGACTTCAGGACCAAAAAAAACAGAAGTTGATGATGGAAGAAAAGCAGAAGAAAGAGCAAGGGAGCGATAAGTACGAGTCACGTCAGCACCAGCCACCGTATATCTCGCAGATGCAGCCGGTGATGCACGAAGCTTACGGAGGCGGGCTTTACGGTCAGGACGACGAGATAGAAAAAGATGCCAAGACCATTGAGAAAGATGCCAAGAATATAGAGAAAGAGCCTCAACAGCACCACCGACCAGCCAGCGAGACACAGAGCGCAGATGGGCCCAATGAGACGAACACGATGAAGCCTAAGCTCACGCAACCTCCTTCTTCCGGCGATAGAGACATTGACATCACTGGCCAGTCTTATATACAGTAATGACTTGGGAATGAGAGCATTGTAATGTTTTTTTTTTTAGTGTGTTGTAATGTTTTCTTTCGTTTCTTTCATGGTCTTTTATTATAAGTTAGCGAGAAACACTATCGGACAGAGTAATCTAACCGATTTCGATATACAAACCATTTCAGAAAATGTGTAACATATTGGAGATAGAGCAACATGGATACAACTTTTTAGTACCAACTTGGAGACTTATAGAGTTACGAGTTACACGAAGTATTATTACCACACAGTTGAAATTAGTTCATCAAAGCATATAACCAGAAACCAATAAGACAGTTTTACAAAATACTTTTTTATTTTTCATTCATGTAGGTGTCCAAATCAACAACATATCTTCAGGTCCCTCTTGGTTTCCATTACTCAGCTCCTCTGATTGGCCTGAACCATATGAAACAAGCAAATTACGACCAACTCCACTAACCTATACACCGATAACTTATGTTTATGAAGCATATAGAGGGAACACTAGACGCTAAAAGACAGCTATCAATAATATTTCAGTAGAGACCAAGGGATGGCTGAATGAGAGGACATAGAGGTTCCATTACCCAAAAGATTGGCAGAGACCAAAAGGCAATTAGTGGAAGAAGACTAGCCGGAAGAAACTATCAGCCTAAACCATTTGCATTCATTCGTATCAAAACGACACTACACCTATTTTTGTCTGTATATATGCTTTTGGATGTTGTGGAGCAATTTCAAACTGTTAGAAACAGTGACTTTCGAGGGTTCCAGACTTCCAATTCAAATTACAGATTATGCTATTCAGTATTCACAAGTCTGCGTGATAAGCCAATGGAAAAAGATTATCAAATAACTTCCATTAGACAAAAGGATTGGCAAAGACCAAACTACGTTTAACTTGATCAAGATTTAGTTTACTTAAGGAGCCTAACCATCTCTATCTATGCTTTTGGATGTTATGAAACAAAATCAAAAGCTGCAGGTTTCTGAATAACAACGGCATTCAACGTTTCCAAACTTGCAATTAAAAACTCAGTATTATGGGAAGCCATTGATGTTTCAAAACAAAGATGTAGTCAGCATCTACTGATATAAGTGAGACTTTTTTAGGAAGAGATATTCTTCTCATTCTCATTCATCATCTACTTTGATAGAAGTAGCTTCTCAAATTGCTACAAGCTCTGAATTTTGGTTAACTATAACTTCTAAATTGTGCTAAAATTTCTAGAAAATCTAAGCCAAGACCAAAAATTTAAACCCAATTATTGATAACTAGTCAACATCAAGCACAGAGGATCGAATCCAATAACACAGAACGAGAGACTGAAAATCTAATCGGAGAAAACAAAGATGAATGGAAAGAGAAGGTAAGATGGAAACCTAATTGTAGTAAAGCTCGAGACCCATGCCGTCGTGGATCTCGTAGTCCTTGAGAGTGATGTGATCCTTGTAGATGTTGTACCACTTCTGAATTCGAATCTTCTCAGCTCGCGTACCGGTCTGCGCTGCGACAAGCTTCTTCAGATCACCGATCGTGTCATCTTCGTTGCACTTCACCCTCACTTTCTTCCCCAAACGATCGTTTAGCACCACCTCAATCATCTTCTTCGCTCTTACTGGAATCTAGAAACCCTGGCTCTCAATTTCGTCGCGTAAAAAGGTAAATAATCGTTCGTGGATCAATTGGGAGTTGGGACTTTGATTTAAATAGACTTTTGCTCGTGGATTTATTGACCGACCAATAATAAAAGGGATATTGCTTTTTTCTTTTTTTTTCTTTTGATATCTGAATGAATATAAATTGATGCTAGATTGCTATAGGCTATTGACGTCCACACACATAATGATTTTACAAACAACAAAAAAATCAACTCCATATTAAAGTCGAAATTTTATAAATTTAAGATAATGAGTCTGCTTATATATCATTAAAAATCTTATAGCAAAACAACAAACTAAAATAATTAAACAACCTATTTAATTCTGCCAAACCATATGAACCCACAACCTAAAAGCATTTCCAGTTTGGTCAGTCCCATTTTAAGAACATTGCTTCATGTTTTGGATGTTGGATAAGCTTTTTTCATAGACTGAACCATACTATACTCTTAGATAAATGTTTGAAGACAAAGAAGAAGGAGAAGAGAACATTTTTGGCTATAATCTCTGTGTCAACATTATCCAACAATTATCATATATATATGAACAAAAACTATTAACAAAGTAACCAGTAAAAAAGGAAAAGGAAAAAGAAAAAAAGAAAGTGATTTCACGTTAAGACAACACTCAGCAATCTCACCGTGGTCCGGACACTTCCTGAGACGCCACGTAAGAAGCGGAGTGCCTAGAGCCGCCGCTATTAGAGCTCTCTCTCCGGTGGAAAACCATATTTTCACTCTCTCCATTTTGTCCTTCAACCATGGAAGACTCAGCGAACCTCAGCCCATAAAACCTCAAAAAGTTCAACGACTCCATCCTCGGACTCCCCAACGGTATGCTCCCTTCGAACATCCCCACAACCGCCGCCATCGTCGGCCTCAAAGCCGGCTCCTCATGAACACAACACAAGGCTATCCGAACCAACTTCCCAACCTCCTGGCTCGTCACCCGACCCTCTAGCCTCGGATCCGCCAGCTCCATATACCTCCCTTGCTCATGCATGTCCAAAGCGTACAATGGGAAATAAACCAAACCGGAACTCGTAGTCGTCGTGGAAGAGCTGTTTTGCTGATTCTCCTCCGCCACGCTGTTGCTTCGAGATCGAAACGAGCAGTTTTTCCGACCACTCACCAGCTCCAACAACACCATTCCGTAGCTGTACACGTCAGCTTTCTCCGAGATGGCTGCGTTGGTTATCCACTCGGGAGCTAAATAGCCTCGAGTACCTCTCATTGTCGTGAACAGACTCGACTCTTCTTGGCTTAAAAGCTTCGATAACCCGAAATCAGATATCTTCGGCTGGAAATGATCGTGCAATAAGATGTTCTCTGGTTTCACATCGCAGTGTATGATCTTTTGGTCGCATCCACTATGGAGATACGCGAGCCCACGAGCCGTCCCAAGCGCAATATCAAACCTTTCTTGCCACTCAAGCACCGGACCGTTCGCTGAAAACAAGGTCTTCTCTAAGGAGCCATGGTTCATGTACTCGTAGACTAACAGTAACTGCCTCCCACGAGCGCAGAAGCCTCGGAGTTTCACTAGGTTTGTGTGTCGGATATTACCAATGACTGCGATCTCTGTGCAGAACTCTTGTCTACCGGGAAGACCATGGTTTGTTATTTTCTTGACTGCGACGAGCGTTTCGTCTGGGAGAGTTCCTTTGTAGACCGAGCCAAATCCGCCTGATCCTATCTGCATCTTGAAATTCTCGGTTGCTTGTTCGAGCTCTTCGAACTCGAACTTCTGAGGTAAACCGGGGATATGGAAAGACCCTAAATCTCCTGATCCAAACGAACCAGGTCTAGTTACTTGCTTCTCACGGATGCTGCTGTATCTCATCAGTGCACATCTTCGCCACCAGAGAAACCCTAACGCCATCAGAAGGAAGAAGCCAGAGGAAGGTAAGAGCACAAGTGCTATCAAAGGAAAGTTAGATCCTCTGTGTGTGTGTCCAGGGGGTTGAGCGTTAGTCTTTTTCATAGACATCTTGACGTATCCGATAAGATCATGATTGTCCGGTGAGTTCTTGACCAGAGACAAAGAACCAAACGAGTCGTTTACTAGATAACAAGACCGAGACGTGTTCTCGTAGAAAACACCGAGGCATGAGCAATTCTTACTGCAGAGATCAGAACAAGTCGATAGCTCAATACCGTGTTCCACAGGATCTGTGAACTGAGTAGAGAAGTAAGACACACCGAGACCTAGTTCCAGGTACGAAATGTTACTTGCTTCACAAGAAACAGGTAAACTCAACGATTGGCTAGCCGGAACACAAGTCCTCTTCTCTGCATCCAACCGCATCTCATCTGGACATGAACAGCTCCGGTTTTCCGAAGCGTTATCAAGATGACAGAGCCCGAGTTTACCGCACACGAACGGAACACTACAAGAATCCATCGGACCAGAGAATTCCGTCACCATGCTCTTACCGGAGAATCTACTGATGATGAATTTACCAGAAGAGTCCATCTTCGCTACTCGAAAATCAGACGACGGTGGTAACGCCACGCGGATTATCACCGTCGTCCCGTTCCGTCCCATAAGAGCCAATCCAGAAGTTGTGACCGTGAGAAACTCAACGGGGAAATTGGAATCTACGTTAGCTCCTGTGTGCATCCTTAGCTTCCAATAGTTCTGTCCTTTCCACTGCATCAAACAGTCGGATTCACCGACGACGAATTTATAATCTCCCGTCGACAAATCGTACCGCGAGACGGATCCCGACAAGAACATCCCGAGCGGGAGTCTTTGTCCGAGGACGATTGTGTCGGTGGGAAATCTAAAGCTTTCCCATAGAGTAGCGTTGAAGCGGTCGAGAAGAAGGAGATTGCCGGCGTCGGTTAACCGAAGGGAGTAAACCGGAGAGGGTAAAACCGGCGTTGACCAAACGGGTGTTTGACCTTTCCCATCTTCGATAACGGAGATTCCTTGAGGGGAAAGATTCATCTTCCCTGAGCTTGAAACAGGGGAATCGCGATTTGAAGTCCATATTGTTGAATCGGAATCGACGTGGATGACGGAGAAGTAGAAGTCGGAAGACGAATCGCCGCGGGGACTGAATAAACCGGCTTTGAAGATGGAACTACGGGAGAAGAGGAAAGCTCCTTTGGAACTGTCGACGAATCTGAGGTTAGAAGCTGTGAAATTCGGATAGACAAACTCTGTGGAAGGAGCAGAGGAGACAGAGACAAAGAGAATATAGAGACAAAGGAACAACAACGACAGAAACGCCGATCTCATGGAGGAGTTTTTGTTTTGGTTATATTGATTATTACATGAATCGGATCATCGGATTCGGAGATGAGTTTCTTGGTGTTTTCAGTTTTGAATCTCTTTTGTTTTTGTGTTCTCAAGAAATGGTGGGTTTGACCAGAAAGCTGTCTCTCTCTCGCTCTCGAGGCCAAAACATTATTGGTGCCGTGGCAATTATCACCTTTATTTGACTAAGATTCGAACATTACTTGTTTACACTTTAGTTTCGTTATCATTGACCTTTCCCTCTGTTGAGTTACTTTCTGTTTTGGTTTCATATGTGTTCATTTGTTCTTCAAAGAAAAAAACAAAATCGAAAATTGTATTAGACCTAGCATCGCATAGCATCTTTTAATACTGAAAGTGAAAACTAATTAAAATATTCTTACAACGTGTTAGGCATCTTTCTCCTATAATATAATTCCCACTTTTATTTTAAAAAAGGATGAACTTCTAAAAAGAATTAGATAATATCAATAGGAGAAATTAGGGTGGAAAACTCAAAATATAAACCGTTTTTTTTTTGTCTTTGCCGGTTATTTCCGGTTATCCGATTTTAGACGGTTTGAAGTTATGGTCCGGTCCGGTTTTGAAAATCCTAAGGAAAAGAAAAAGAAGAAAGGAAAGAATTTGACGGTCTCACAAGACGCTCAGTTTCTTCCACGGCGAGCCTAATCTCTTCCTCTCCGCCAGATAAAAGCCGAAAAAGCTTTCTCAAATCGATTCAGGCAACCATTAGTTGGATTATAGATAAGGGTTTTAACTCTTTTCATTTCCCCTCTCGAAAGATGTGCTCGTTATCGATGCAATTCTCACTCTTCCAATCACCATCTCGCTCCTCGTCGTCATTTTCAGCAATCCATGAACCTAAACTCTGCACTTCCTCTGTGAGCTTCCCGTTGAAAGTAAAGTCAAGGACTTTCAGTCGAAATTTGGTCTTAAGAGTTAAAGCCTATGGTTCCTCAAATAGTCAGCCTTCTGATTCCTCTGCAGAGTCCACACCTCCCAATGGCACTCGGGTAAATACTAGTCTTGTCAATGTCGTGTAATTGGAGTTTCTTAGTTGTTAATTAACCCTAATTTGGACTTTGAGCAGCCTAAAACTAGGAGGGATATACTACTGGACTATGTACAGAATGTGAAGCCAGAGTTTATGGAGATGTTTGTTAAACGTGCGCCTAAACATGTAAGTCTCTGCTTCATTTTGAAAGAAGATAGGAGAGGATGTTGGAGCTTAAGCTTATGATTCTTTGTTGTAATTGATGGGTTTAGGTTGTTGATGCAATGAGACAAACAGTGACGAATATGATAGGAACGCTGCCTCCGCAGTTTTTCGCGGTTACAGTCACCTCTGTGAGTGCTGCTTGTTGAATTCCAAGTGATATGTTTGGCAAGTTGTGTCTGGTGTTTGTAGTACTGATTGCAACTGTTTGGTTTTAGGTTGCTGAAAACCTTGCGCAGCTGATGATGAGCGTGTTGATGACTGGATATATGTTCAGAAACGCTCAGTACCGTCTTGAGCTGCAACAGAGTTTGGAGCAAGTTGCTCTTCCTGAACCTCGTGATAAAAAGGTGACATTTCCAGGTTTTAAGTTAGTTGCCTCAATCTTGACATTTCTTGATTGCTCTCCGTTTCTTGGTAATAAGCCTTTTGTTAGGACTTCGGAGTATTGGCAGCTCAGAAACTGTAGTTGAGTCTGGTTAGTTAGAGACTATGGTGTAGTTCTTTGGTGAACTGAATGAAAATCTAGTATACTGGTTTGAAACCTAGTGCGTGTGTTTGATTTGTGAAATGATATGTGACACTGGTTTTATATTTTTGATTAAGCCAGGAGGATGATGATCAAGACTATGCACCCGGAACACAAAAGAACGTTTCAGGGGAAGTGATACGGTGGAACAACGTTTCTGGTCCTGAGAAAATCGATGCGAAAAAGTATATCGAGCTTCTTGAAGCAGAGATCGAAGAGCTAAACCGTCAAGTGGGGAGAAAATCCGCGAATGAGCAGAACGAAATCTTGGAGTATCTCAAATCTCTCGAACCTCAAAACCTCAAGGCATGAGAAAATTTTCCAAAATATCTAAATTTTGTGTTGCTTCATCAAAATTTGTATTGGAATGGCGTTGAATTTTGTAGGAGCTAACAAGCACTGCAGGGGAAGATGTTGCGGTGGCGATGAATACATTTATCAAGCGGCTTCTAGCTGTGTCTGAGTCAGACCAAAAGCAAATGAAGGTTTTACTAATATTTTAGCTGAATCTTGTTTGCTTTTTTTGTGTGTTGTTGTTATCTAATGTGACTGATCTCTCTCAATGTTTTTTGGTGGATACACACAGACGAATGTGACGGAGACAAGCGCAACGGACCTTGCGAAATTGTTGTATTGGCTAATGGTGGTTGGATATAGCATTCGGAATATCGAGGTCCGGTTTGATATGGAACGTGTGCTTGGTACTCATGCCAAGCTCGCTGAGTTGCCTCCTGGAGAACTTATTTGAAAACCCTTGGAGCATTTTTCTTTGCCTCAAGAACTCTTATGTCGTGTCATTTGTAGAGAAATGGATCAAAATAAATTTGAGGAGAAGGCTCTATTTGTTCTTGAAAAAAGTTTGACAGATATTTTGTTTTTGAAAAGATTTTGTGTAATTCTAAATTTTAGTTTAAATAAATCTGTGATGACAAGAAATAAAAGAACTAATTTACAATTTCAACAGCAGTTTGTGATATTTCCAAAATTTCATGAGCTCCAAGCCTCCAACATTCTCTGATTTTTGAAATTAGTAATTAGTATATTTTCAAAAAAAGTTACTGAGAAAGAATATGAATACGATAGGATACGCTCATTTGCAGAAACACGTCCACACTTGCTCGCAACCACAAACGATAACAGCTCCAGAGAAGGAAAAAAAAAGACGATAAAATCAAAATTTTCTTCGCTCGCGACGCCATTAGAGAAGAAGAAGGAAGAGTATGCTTCTCTTGCAACCTCCACTCGTTTCATCTCGATTTCATTCACTCTACTTCACCACTCGTCCCCACCACTGCTTCTTCCAACCGCCGATTTCTGCTGCTTTCTCTGCAACCGCCTCTTGTTCGCCATCATCATCATCATCATCATCATCATCTTCTTCTTCTTACTTCTCTTCGTGGAATGGTTTGGACGCGAGTGAAGAAGACAACGAGCACGACGAATTCTCCTCCGAGGTTCGTCGTCGCTACGACTTCTCTCCGCTTCTGAAATTCCTCTCCAGATTCGGACCAGTGGAGTTGATTCTGGACTCGGAAGATTCGGAATCCTCGCCGGAATCCCTCGATCCGGTGGAATTCGAGCTCGCCGAGTCATACAAGGCGGTTCCGGCACCGTACTGGCACTCGTTACTAAAGTCCTTATGCTCATCGTCGTCTTCCCTCGGTTTAGCCTACGCCGTCGTCTCCTGGTTACAAAAGCATAACCTCTGCTTCTCTTACGAGCTTCTCTACTCGATTCTCATTCACGCGCTTGGTCGCTCCGAGAAGCTCTACGAAGCGTTCCTCCTCTCTCAGAAACAGACGTTAACGCCTCTGACTTACAACGCCTTGATTGGAGCCTGCGCTCGAAACAACGACATTGAGAAAGCTCTCAATCTGATTTCCAGGATGCGTCAAGATGGTTACCAATCCGATTTCGTCAACTACAGTTTGGTGATTCAGGCTTTGACTCGTAGCAACAAGATCGATTCGGCTCTTTTGCAGAGATTGTACAGAGAGATTGAGCGTGATAAGCTCGAGCTCGATGTGCAGCTGGTTAACGACATCATCACCGGTTTTGCTAAATCCGGTGACCCGTCTCGAGCTCTGCAGCTTCTCGGTATGGCTCAAGCGACGGGTTTGAGCGCGAGAACCGCGACTCTCGTCTCGATCATCTCGGCGCTTGCGAGCTCCGGGAGGACTTTGGAAGCTGAAGCTTTGTTTGAGGAGCTGAGACAAAGCGGGATTAAACCGAGAACGAAAGCTTACAACGCGTTGCTTAAAGGATATGTGAAGACAGGTCCTTTGAGAGACGCGGAGACGATGGTTTCGGAGATGGAGAAGAGAGGCGTCTCGCCTGATGAGCACACGTACAGTCTTCTCATCGATGCTTATGTGAATGCAGGGAGATGGGAGAGCGCGAGGATCGTGTTGAAAGAGATGGAAGCTGGCGATGTGCAGCCGAACTCTTTCGTTTTCAGCAGACTCTTGGCTGGTTATCGCGATAGAGGTGAGTGGCAGAAGACGTTTCAGGTCCTCAAGGAGATGAAGAGCATCGGAGTTAAACCGGATAGGCAGTTCTACAACGTGGTGATCGATACCTTTGGGAAGTTTAACTGTCTTGATCATGCGATGACGACTTTCGATAGGATGCTGAGCGAAGGGATTGAGCCTGATCGGGTGACTTGGAACACGCTTATTGATTGTCATTGTAAGCATGGCCGCCACATTGTAGCGGAGGAGATGTTTGAAGCCATGGAGAAGCGAGGGTGCTTGCCTTGTGCTACGACTTATAATATTATGATCAATAGTTATGGAGATCAAGAGAGATGGGATGACATGAAGAGACTGTTGGGGAAGATGAGTAGCCAGGGGATACTGCCTAATGTTGTGACGCACACGACGCTTGTTGATGTTTATGGGAAATCAGGTAGGTTTAACGAGGCGATTGATTGCTTGGAAGAGATGAAGTCTGTTGGGTTGAAACCATCGTCAACAATGTACAATGCTCTCATCAATGCCTATGCACAAAGGGTATTATCACTGTTCCTTCCATGAGATATCCTTAAGAGAATCATCATTTTGATTACTGATTTTTTTCCGTGGCAGGGTTTATCGGAACAAGCAGTGAATGCATTTAGAGTGATGACATCAGACGGACTAAAGCCAAGTTTACTGGCTCTCAATTCTCTCATCAATGCCTTTGGCGAGGATAGAAGAGACGCTGAAGCATTTGCCGTGTTGCAGTACATGAAAGAAAACGTAAATAAACTAACTTAAACCCTGAATCAATCTTTGATGAAACTATTCACTGACCAAACCATCTCACACGACAATTGCAGGGTGTAAATCCAGACGTGGTCACATACACAACACTCATGAAAGCTCTCATTCGTGTTGATAAGTTCCAAAAGGTAATGAATGTTTTCTCTTGGTTGATAAGAGAATACCCGAAAGTGACCGCATCAACCTTTTGGAGATGTGATGGTTTTACTTTTACAGGTACCGGGTGTGTACGAGGAAATGATCATGTCAGGCTGCAAACCAGATAGAAAAGCTAGATCCATGTTACGTTCTGCTCTAAGATACATGAAGCAAACACTAAGAGCCTCATAACATCATAGAAGAACAAAACAACACAGACGACACATCAGAAGAGGAAGGTTTTCAAACAAATCCTCACATTCTCTGTCTATGTAAAGATTCAAACTGTACAAATATATAACTGTTGTGTTGACCAAATTGGATAGGGATACGATGGAAATTCTAAAACCAGAAGCTCATTTACTTCAGAAATCAATCTCAAATACCAAAGAATTATCTATTTTCGTTCACGGGTCACAACAACATTCCTAAACTGTGCCAAATTAATGAGGAATACACAAACATAATATCAAAAAAATACTAACTTACAAGGGTTAAGTGAATGAGAGAGAGCTTGGCTCCAATAGTTTTCATGGCATTACAGGTATGGAGTTTCTACCATACTTGCTCTTAGCTATCCTTGAACAGAACATGAACATCAGAAGTACTGAAGACAACAAGAAGAGCCTGAAGTAAGTTTTGATCTCCTGCATTCCGACATCAATCACTTCCATGTTCTTCCCGTATCTGTTCTTCCTTTCCACCAAGTAGCCGTCCAAGTATTCGTCTATCGACACCCATTTCTCTGCAGCCTTGGTACTGTTTTCGTCTAACTGGAGTGGTCCCAGTTTGAAAATTGTGAAGAATGCAGCAGACCAGTCATTGAGAACTCTCTGAGAAAATGAACAACAAGAAGCAGAGTTGTGAGTTTTCACTTTATTTTGTTTACATGTTTCAATATTGGGAACAAAGAGAATCTTGCTACAATTGAAACCATAGTACCTTGAAACTAGGTAGATCAACAGGGTTGAACATTTTAAAGCAATCTCTTGCAGAAGTCTGGTTGTCCCCAAAGATCTGGTAGTGATAGTAAAAGTTATAAAATGATTCGACACATATTTCAATCAAAGTTATGAGAGAAGATAACTTCTGTCACACAAACCTCAAAGGTGAATGCCATTGGTGCCTTTACAACATCATACATATAATCCGTAGCTGTACCATGTGCCAAGTACCTAAAGTTGAGACAACCGGTTACAATCCTAACAATAACTTTCAAAACGAGCTAAGTACCTAAAGTTGAACAACACTTAATTTTTCTGATACTATTCAAAGAAATTTTAGAGAAGAGACAAACCCAACAGAGCCTCCGCCAGATCCAATCATGCAGCGGTTATGGCAATGGAATTTATTCACTTGTTCAAGTAAGGACCTCATCTTCTTTGAAGGCAATCCTTCTGGAGTTGTGTTTTTGTGGTCATATGGCATAAATAGAGCCTGAAACCATGAGAAATCACAATCAAACTTCTCAACTAGTACATAGCAAAATCACCTCAACTTATCAAGAGTGATTTTGTTATATAATTTACAGAATGTGAGCATTCATCATCTACAAGTTTGCTCCATATATTCCAACCAAACGTGTACATGAACATGATAACACTAAATCAGAAGAGAAACATCACCTCCATTCCAGAATGCACGTTGATCCATATGTGAGGATCAAATGATATAGCTAGCTTCCGCATTATTTGAGTTTCGGGTTCACTAAACGGAGCAGTTCCTGGATTCTCTTCAGATGGATCATAATCCTGGAACCAAGAACAGACTAAAGTTCCATGACGCTCTAACAAAGGATCATGAAGGAGACAGAATGTGGAGTTGAAATCAAGAAGTACCTTTTCTTTCTTGCCCCAGTCAACACCCCAATTTCGGTTCAGGTCCACTCCTCTTCCTGTGATTCACAAACATAAAACGCTAAACAAACGCATTAAAAACCATACACTGAAGAGAGACAAAAAGATGATTACCATTTCTGCGTTCACACAGATCTCCAGATTCAACACGTTTACGACCATTCGAGTTTTCTATAGGAACCACCTAACATAACAAAACAAAAAGTACCAAAATCATTTTTTGTGAGTAACTGAGATTCCATACATGAGACACACTTACATACCTTAACGACTAACTTTTCTAAGGTGCGGTTCAGTGATGGTCCGTTATTCTCAGGCAAGAACTGTTCTTCGCTCAAAATCGACAAAATCCTAAAGGCAAGCTCAGAGGTGATAAGCTCTCTCCCATGCTGCCCAAAAGTCTGGAAGAAAAGGGAATCATCTGTCAAGAAAAACAGCTACAGTATCACCAAAAATTATGAAGAAACTTTCACCTACAGAAAGTAGAAGAAAGAAGTAAAGTATCTCTAACAAGGGAACTTACAAGAAGGATCCTAAAGTTTGACCTATCATCATTACTCTCTCTTCTTCTTCCACTCCCAGAATAAGTAACCACATTGATCTCTGCACTGTACCCTTTGTTTCCAGATTTAATCGTCTCAATCTGTGAAAACCAACAATCATTTACTTCATTTTTTGCTAAGAAACTACAGAGAGGCCTAGAAATGAAAGCTAATGACGGCACTAACCGAGAGCTTATCTTGATGTCGATGTACCAATGAATGTATCTGCTCCATTAAATCATCACTGCAATTGACATATATAATGAATGAGTATAGTATCACCAAACACTTGACGAAGCAACCCTAAAACCTAAAAGCAGATATTTACTTTAATTTCCGAATCCGAAATTGATCATATCATCAATCTGTGATAAAACTGAAACTCGGATTTACCTGGAGTGGTAGAGATCCCAGTTGATGGGAGTAATGGTAGAGGAGGAGTCGGAGGGGTTACTTCCGGCGAGAGCGAGTAAGAAAAAAGGTGAGAGGAAGATGGCGTAACATAAGAGAGGTCGCGGACGCATGGCCGCTTTGAGAGAGAAACGACGGGAAGAAGAGACGACGAACCTCTTGTTCGAGTTTTGGTTCGTTCGGAGTTTTGGATGTCATCTCATATCTTTCTACAGAGGTGTGAACAGAGAGGAAGGAAGAGAGAAATTGGATCGGAAATGTCAGAGAGATGGCTAAGATCCGCTTCTGTCATCTGACTCATCTCTTTCCCTTTTTGCCTTTTTCTTTTTAAATCTATTTTTTCTTCGCCAATTAAAACGATCGTAGCAACTAGCAGGTTTGATTTTAAATGCGGATAAGTGTAAAAATTATACTAATGGCCAAATTTGATTTTATACAAATGCATACTCGGATTTGACAATATAAAACAAATTAGAGAATCGAGTAAACTATGCGATCTAAGTTATGAATAAATCTGTTGATGTGAAGTGTAATCTCGGATTCGGACATTCAAAGTTTGACATTAATAGTGTCCAGTGTACTAAATCGTAAACATAGGTATTAATTTACACTTTTTTGTTGTTTTTTTTGTGAAACAAAGATTTCCTGTTTTTTTTTTTCTTTCAATAATCCCCCAAAACATACACTATTTTTGACACTTGCTCAAAAGATTTTATAAAAATAAGAGACAAAAACCATAGAACAAAGTAAAAAAACCACATACATATACAGTAGTTAAGTGTACAACAATTTACAACAAAATAAATAATTCTACGAACCATTGTATATAATTATATATATATACAAAAAGGTAAAATCATACTGATTTAGAAAGATGAAACGAATGATTTAGGATATCCATAGGAGAAGCACTGATTTAGGATATCATGCCCCGTAAAAATCTGATTTGAGAAGGGTAGCAAAATCACATGCCAATTTTTCAAAAAAGAAAACCAAATTTTGGGTTTGAAAGAAAAAAAAACAATTCTTGTTTTCTTTCCCTAAAAATGAAACAAGCGAAAATTAAGCTTACAACTTCCTCCCCCTTCGCTTTCTCCTTCAACATCTTTGGAATCAATTTGAAGGCCATAGAGAGTCTCTAATGGTCATGATGGATGCAGATGAAGAAGCCACAAGAGATGCAGAAAACATTGATGAACTCGTCGTCACTGCACAAGAATCGACCAATGGTGAGGTGGAGATGGACGGATCAGAAACGGTACCGGTGGAGGTTCTTGATGAAGAAGAAGAACGAAGAGGTGATGTGAAAGATGATTTGGTTAGAGAGATCATATCCGGTATTGAGTTTTTGAATCAGATTAAAGATTATCGACGAACACAACAGAAAGAATGTTTTAACCTCGTTAGGAGATTGAAGATTCTTGTCCCATTTGTGGAAGAGATCAAAGGTTACGAATCTCCTTCGTTAGAAAGCTGCAGGCATTTTCTGTACCGTTTGAGGAAAGTGATTTTGTCTGCAAGAAAATTGTTGGACACTTGCAACAATGGCAGCAAAATCTTTCTGGTAAAAATCATGTTTTGAATGATACTTTCTTTTTAATATATTCTTCTCCTATGAATTTCTTGTAACTGTTTTAGTTATGTCACAGGCATTGGATAGCGAAACAATAATGACGAGATTTCATTCTATCTATGAAAAGTTGAATCGTGTTCTTGTTAAAACTCCTTATGATGAATTAAGGATTTCTGATGACGTAAAAGATGAGGTAAAATTCTTTATTTCTTGTTAAGTAATCCATTATAATTTCTAAAATGAACTATAGTAAAACATCCATAAATTAATCTTTGATGTAAACACGAACATTGTAAAAATTGAGTTACAAGCCTGGTAGTGTAAAAGTTAGAAAATTCCATATGATAGATAAAATAATATGTCAATACTTTCTTAAGAAAATTTTGTGTGGATATATTGTCTCAATCATATTACAAAATAATAATTATATAAAATTATGCTCTTTTTGTGGTAATATAAAAGGGGAATTTTCAAAAATACAACAAATTAAATGTTTTTTATGTGTGTGTAGATTGATTCATTGTGTAAACAACTGAAGAGAGCAAAGAGAAGGACAGACACACAAGACATAGAGCTAGCAGTAGACATGATGGTTGTCTTCTCAAAAACCGATCCTCGTAACTCCGACAGCGCCATAATAGAAAGGCTAGCGAAAAAGCTCGAGCTACAAACAGTGGAGGATCTCAAGACAGAAACCAAAACCATAACAAAACTAATCCAAGAAAAAGGAGTGTTGAGCTTAGAGACTAAACAACATGTCATTGAGCTTCTCAACAAGTTCAAAAAGCTTCAAGGCATTGAAGCCACCGACATTCTCTACGAACCCGTCACCAATAATAAATCATTCACCAAGTCCACATCTCTAATATTACCTCACGAGTTCTTGTGTCCCATCACACTCGAGATCATGCTTGAACCTGTTATCATCGCCACTGGACAGGTAAACTTATATCATACATCATATATGATTCTTGGTTTTGGTTTAAGTTTATATCATAACACAAAACAATATGTTTTTAATAGACATATGAGAAGGAGAGTATACAGAAATGGTTTGACGCTGGGCACAAGACATGTCCAAAAACCCAAACAACACTAGATCATCTCTCTCTTGCACCAAACTATGCACTAAAGAACTTAATCTTGCAATGGTGTGAGAAGAACAGTTTCAAGATTCCAGAGAAAGAAGTCTCTTCCCACTCGGAAAACGACTTGGAGGAGCAGAAAGATGAAGTGTCTTTGCTAGTGGAAGCATTATCTTCAACCCACTTAGAAGAACAGAGAAAGTCAGTCAAGCAAATGCGTCTCATGGCAAGAGAAAACCCCGAGAACCGAGTTTTGATAGCTAACGCAGGAGGCATTCCTCTCCTGGTGCAACTCCTCTCTTACCCTGATTCAGGGATCCAAGAAAATGCTGTAACGACTTTGTTGAACTTATCTATCGACGAGATCAACAAGAAACTCATCTCAAACGAAGGAGCCATTCCAAGCATCATCGAGATCCTTCAAAGCGGGAACAGAGAGGCGAGAGAGAACTCTGCCGCGGCTTTGTTTAGTTTGTCAATGCTCGACGAGAACAAAGTAACGATCGGTTTGTCTAATGGGATACCTCCACTGGTGGAGTTGCTTCAAAATGGGACGTCAAGAGGGAAGAAAGATGCACTCACTGCGCTCTTTAACTTATCTCTCAACTCAGCTAACAAAGGGAGAGCCATTGATGCTGGTATTGTTCAGCCTTTGCTACAGCTTCTGAAAGATAGAAACTTAGGGATGATCGATGAGGCGCTTTCGATACTTTTGCTTCTTGCTTCGCATCCTGAAGGACGTCAAGCTATTGGACAGCTCTCGTTCATTGAAACACTTGTGGAGTTTATCAGAGAAGGGACACCAAAGAATAAAGAGTGTGCTACTTCGGTACTGCTTGAGCTTGGTTCTAACAACTCGTCTTTTATACTTGCTGCGCTTCAGTTTGGTGTCTATGAGTATCTTGTAGAGATAACGACCTCTGGAACAAACAGAGCTCAAAGGAAAGCTAATGCACTTATACAACTTATAAGCAAATCTGAACAGATTTAGAGATTTACAAATCTCTTCTTGTATTGTAATTTCAGTTTCTTCCTCTTTTGTTCTTTTTTTAGGTTTGTAAATTGTTTGTATTTTTTTTTTTTAATTTCACTTGACTATGTATCAATCCTCTGTTGTATATTTGTACATGCACTTGAGTTTAGTCATATACTATTGATTTTTTTTTTTTCTTCTTTTGTGTTTAATCTTAAATGTTATCTTCTGTGTAACTTCGCGAGTTCTTGTATTGTGTGTTCACTGTATGTCCGAGAAGCTAGTCGATTCTTGTGCTTGACGAGACATATGTAAATAATTTAAGCCGACTCATAAATTCTCCAAAATGAGACGATTGTTATAGCTTATATAAGAGAACGGAAAGAAGAAAATCTGTTAAAGATAAACACATCACCACATTTCTTTTCAATACATGAATCAATCAATTGACAAGTCCTTAGAGAGTTATTACAAAGAATATAAAAAAGTTTCAGAGATGAAGCAAGGCAACGGTCTTGTTCATACAAGATAGATTAAGTTTCTGAGTCCTGTGGTTCCTCGAAACATGTCTCCAAGAGGCTTCCTCTGTTGATACATCGCAGACAGTGAAGAAGCCTAACGCCTGCCCAAAGATCTTGAACATCTCAACTCCCATTAGTATGTTCTGGTCCGAGACGTACGTGGCGTTCCAATCCATCGGTGCGTCAGGGTGTACAGAGACCTCGGTCCACGTGAGGTACACAAGATCCAGCTCCCACAGCTTCCTCACCGCTTTGTTTCTCCTCCCGATCTGTCCATCTCCATCGTCGCACCACGAGACTGAAAGCATGAACAACCGGTGGTTGCAGGAGATGAGCTGAGGGAAGAACTCATGAACCCGAGGCGGGACCGGAGATGTTTGAATCGCAATCCAGAAGCCTCTCTCTATGTCAAACCCTGACAGCTTATCATTCTCGGAGTAAGCGTAGAAGATCCCATTGCATATGATCCCACAGCATACAACTCCAAAATCCATCGGGAGTCTTTGGATTTCTGACCATGTGTTCGTCGCCGAGTCGTAGATCTCACCTGAATCCAGCGGCTCATCGTACAGTCCAGTGCCTCCGATGGCAATGAGCACAAACCTCTTGGAGCTGTTTCGGTTAAGCCGGTCAAGCTTTAGTCTTGCTGATCTGTGGGATTTAGTTCCGTTTAGATCAGCAGAGTTTCGGTGTTGGCGTCTTACGGATAGCCTGTGAGGGTCTTCGTAAACGTCTGACTCTCCGCTGATTCTTGACCGGTGAAAGCGTCTATCTTGGCGGTTCTGTTGGCTCTGTATGGTGGAGAAATCTGAAGTAACTTCAGAGGCACCAACAATGGGGAGTGATCTAGCATGTCTCATAGACCCAATCTTACGCCAGGATTTGGTTAAAGGGCTGAACACTAAGATCCCTCTGTGAGTCTTGAAAGAGCTTCTCTCCACAGAACGACCTCCAACTATATAAACCTCCTCGTGAATACTCGTCACTGAGTACATAAACCGCCCTTTAAGCACATCAGACTCAAGCCGATGCCACTTGTCTTGAGATACATCGTACCCGTGGATTTCACCGGAGGAGCAGCCGTCTTTCACAGCGGCAAACAGAAACAGCCATGGGGTCTGAAAGGAGCCGTCTCGTCTCAGCTGGAGAAACCGCTGCGTGGTGGCCATGCATCGCCACTTCTTGCAAACGAGGTGCGCGTTCAATAGGCTGGTCAAAGGAAGCCTCATCAAGCACATTTCCAGGATATCATCAGGGAGGAATATGTGCTTTCGGTTATTATCCTGCGCCGAGCTCTCTAGCTCAAGATACTTTCTGTTATTATTCTTCTTCCAGAACATCTCTCTTACACCGTGAGAGAAGCAATCTAACCGAGTTTCTTCGGTTCCACAAATGGTTGTCAGTCCTTTACCTTCCTCGCTAGCACTGGACCATCTCTTATGGCTCGGATCCTCAAAGTCCTCACCTGTGTCAGCAACTCTGCAACCAACACCTCTACCGCTTATGTTTAGACAATTCATCGCTCTTCTTGCATCCTCTTCATCTTCCGCCTCGGATTTATGAATCTTCTTCTTTAACTTCTGGCTGACACTTTTCACGAGCCGCTTCGAGACTGTTAAAACCTCTAGATCCTGCCGGATGGACTCCTCTCCCAATGGTTTCTCAGAAATCATCTTGCGTCATTTAGCAAATTCACAAGTCATACACATCCATCATGCGAAAACAGACCGTCTTTCCAACTAGATTGTAGGCAATCCAGTCAAAGAAGAGCAATCTGCAAAAATTATCCACAAAAATCAAATGATAGCACCAAGTGAAGAGTATGAGGATACATAACAAACAAATTATTTAATCATACACACTGAAGCGAGATCCACCTATTCTACTTCAATACACTCATTCATGAACCAGTCAATGAGAGATTAAACATGTAAAAGCAAACCCAAGCTCCAAACTCAGGGGTCAAAATTTCTAGTTACCACCATTTCAGCTAAAGAAACTACATAACAAGCCAAACACATCCATCATGCGAAAAAGATCGTCTTTTCCACCAGATTGTAAGCTAGAGTTTCTATAATCTAGTTAAAGGAAAGCAATCTGCAAAGATTATCCACAATAATCAAATGATAACCAAAAAAAATATATCTTTACAATACTCTCTCCAACCAAATGTAAATAATCTTCTTCTAGTCATATACAACAAAAAAGATCAGAAAAAAAAAAATCAAATATACAAAATTTACCGGGATCAAAAAGCATTCGAATGAGATCATAGGCATTGTAGTGAGATCTACCTATTTAGATACACGGTTCTGTAAGAGAAGTTGGCTTTGGGGATGGACAACGTTTATAGAGTTACCTAAATTACAGGACGGTTACTTAGATGATTCTGGCTCTCTTTTAATTACGTCTCAAGTTCAGGTGATCAGGCAAATGCAAAATCTAGTTATTTTACCTAAAGTCATGTGTCAAACATCACTCCCGTTGATATACGTCGACAAGTGTTTAAAGCTCTTTTTTTTTGCATGTGAATAATCTTCGTAAATACGTCAAAATATCAACGGGAGTGATGTTTGACACATGACTTTAGGTAAAATAACAAAATCACGTAATTAAAAGAGAGCCAGAATCATCTAAGTAACCGTACTATAATTTAGGTAACTCTATAAACGATGTCCATCCGCAAAGCCAACTTCTCTTACAGAACCCGTGTATTTCGATCTAAATAGATAGTGAGATCTACCTATTTAGTGACAGATTACACAAGTAAAAGTAAAATTCAAGCTCTAAATTCAGCATACGAGATAAAGCAACTACCGAACTAACTTTCAGATCGAAATCGCTTCTGAAATTTCTCATTTTCCGAGGGAAGTAACCATAAAAGCACGAAATACAGCTTCAAATCGAAGAACGATTTCCACGAAACTCACTTACATTGAGCAAACTCGGAAAATTGGAAACGAGATTCAGCCATCTAGAGTTCTTTGCCGCAATCCAAAGCACATCTTTTAAGCTTCCCGAGAAACGAAGAAGAAGAAGAAGAAGGACAATAGCTGAGACTCAAACGACCGATTTCTCTTTCCCTTTTCGCAGCAAAGAGGATGCGAGAAACAAAACAAAAAAAAACTGGAAACTGAGAGCAGGGTGAATTATTGCCTTTTTTCATAAATAAATAAAGAAAAAGGAACTTTATAATTAATTAATTTTTAATTAGATCATTAATTTGTTAATCAGTAGAGTGGTGTAAATGGAAGATAGAGTAGTAGTAGTAGATGGTGGTAATTTGGAGCACAAATTTACTAGTAACCCTTGTGTTTAAATCAGTACACAATTTTTCTCTTGTGTCCACATGTCATTCATTCATATGGAGAGAGTTGGCCTCAATTCATATATATGATTCAGAGATATGTTATGTTCTTGTGAAACTATTCTCTCAATCTGATAGATTCACACTTTTAGCCATTTGTTTGCTTTTTTTCCGGCCACATTTTCTTTTTTTGGCAAATAAGTTTTCTAGCTTTCTCAATGCAATAACTTCTTGGTATGTAACTTCAATTTTGTTGAAGCATTATGCAGAATGATTTCAGTGTGAATATGTGATACATGAGGTACAATTAAGAACAAAAAAACACACAATAGGTATTCTAGTATTGTGTCTTTTTATTCTTGGTTATACCTCATATATAGCACTGCAATATTTCTGTAAAATGCAATAACAAAACTGAAATTCCATACCAATAAGTTATTGCATGGAAAAGACAAGAAATACCTATTCGCGAAGAAGAGGAAATGTGGCAGGACAAAAGCAAACAGAAGGCTAAAGCAGCAAGAGAAAAAACAGAAGAAATTTTAATAAAAAAATAGGTCCTTACACTTGCTTCCAAAGTATAAAATACCCCAAAATAATGTGATTGGATTGGGATTTGGGATGGGTACCTAATTTAATATTAAGATATTAAAGGTTTAATTTTTGTTTCTCTTTCCTAGCTACCTAATTTAAAAACAGGCATTGGCATAAAATTAGTTTTGAAAGTTTTCATTGGTATTGAGCAATATGACCCTATTTTTAAAGCAACCTTTAAAACTTATTTTAAATTAAACTTTCATCTATTTTCAGTTTGGTGGTCTTTTAGCCATTTGTTGCTTTTTTTTCCGGCCACATTTTCTCTTTTTGGCGAATAAGTTTTCTAGCTTTCTCCATGTAATAACTTCTTGGTATGTAACTTCAACTTTGTTGAAGCATTTTGCAGAATGATTTCAGTGTGAATCTGTGATACATGAAGTACAACTAAGAACAAAAAAACACACAATAGGTATTCTAGTATTGTGTCTTTTTATTTTTGGTTGTACCTCATATATAACACTGCAATATTTCTGTAAAATGCAACAACAAAACTGAAATTCCATATCAATAAGTTATTGCATGGAAAAAACAAGAAGAATCTATTCGCAAAGAAGAGGAAACGTGGCACGAAGAAAGCAAACAGAAGTCTAAAGCAGCAAGAGAAAAAATAAAAGAAATTTTAATAAAAAATAGGTCCTTATACTTGTTTCCAAAGTATATAATACCCCAAAATAATTTGATTGGGTTGGGATTTGGGACGGATATTAATAAGAACCAAATTGGGTCGAGACAGAGAAATTTAGAAAATTAAATATATTACCCCAAATTGCTAAAGATTGTGCTTTACCTCTCACACATTCCTATATTTCAATATACTTAATAGTTCAAAATAATTAATAACAAAAAATTATAAAATTATATTTGTATTATACTTGCTCTTTATTTTTAAGTTCTTTATTTGTTTTAAAGTTATGATTAATATTATTTGTTGAAACTAAGTTTGACTTAAGAGAATTTTAGTCATTAGATATATATGTATTATTATGAAAATCTTAAATATATGTTTTTATTTTGTTTTACTTTGAAGAAAACAGTTTTATGACACAAAATATTACGATTTGATTTATGATGAAAGTGTAATATAGGATAACTAAAAGATTTATTGTATGGATTAACCTTTTTAATTATGGAAAATATCTTACGCTTTTATATATATATAAAAAGTATGCATAAAATAGACATCAATTACAAACATATATGCTTTAGTTTCGCACCTTGTTATAAAACTTGGCCGATTTGCTGATTTATCGGCTGTGAAAACTCTGCACGGCCACCAACAATGACGATTTAGTGCTAATAGATGAGATAACGCGGGGATCTGTGTCCACCGCACACGTAAAAATCGAAAACCGGAAAAATCGGCGCTTAAAATAAATTTGAACTACCACTAGAGAGCGTTTCAGTGTTAGCTCTCTATTTTCTTGGCCCTTTTCTTTGTCTTTGACTTCATCTTTGTCTCTCTCTTTATCGGCGGCACATTATAATAAAAAAAGAACGAAGATATATAGAGAGAAAAAATTAGGGTTATGCTTATGAAACTTAATGGGCCTTAAATATCTTACATTTATCTAATGGATCTTGAATATCTTACATTTTATCTAATGGACCATAATCATTGGACAAAAATTTATCATGAATCTTATTTGGATTTTTTATTTCTATTATATTCAAATTTCTTTCTACAAATAATTACATATATATAAATTAAACTTAGTCCTTTATCACTATCGAGTAAGTCATAGACACTCTCTCGATTAATACTGTAAGGACTAATGATGCAGCGTGATATTTGGAAGATTTCCAAATATCTTTATTATCTAGATTTTATGTATTTATATAAATAAGTATTATTTACATTTATTATTATTTATGGTTTTTAGGGTTTTGAAGTTTTCTTATATATAGCCGTCTAGTCTTCATATTGTAATTCAGACTTTGATTAATTAATAAAAAGAATATTTCCTGAAGAGGTTTTGACAAACCACTGTGAAGAGTATTCACAAATCAAGAGCTTTTGCGAAAGCCCTGAGAGGAGGACTCTCAAACCCTAGTTTTGGTTTATCAGTGATAAATCAATCCATATCCCTCTTGTTCTTGAGCTTCTCGGGAATCTCCTAGAACAAGCTATCTTTTCTAGCTTCCGCTACGTCAGTTGGTATCAGGGCCATGTTTCTTTGATTTCTTAATCAGAGATCGATTCTGGATGTCATGGTGAGTGTTAGCATCTACACTTTCGAGGACGAAAGTCCTTTTGTCTAGAGAGAAGAGAGTCATGAGATCTATCGAGAGATCTGTGGCGATCCGATCTATGATACATATGAAGATGATGTTGAAGTTATTGACTTCATTTTCAGAGAAGGTTTGTTTGAGGATCTGATGCGTGCAAAATCCGGGTGCAGTCGGATTGGTTTAGATTTCGGTTCCGTGCAAAATCCGGTTTGTGCGAAAATCGGACCAAGTCAAAGGAAGATGAAGATAATTCTGCCAAAAGTCCATGTGATGAAAACCCTACTGAAGATTCGAGGACGAATCTTTCTTGGTCGGCGAGACCTGATGCAGCGTGATATTTGGAAATCTTCCAAATATCTTTATTATCTAGATTTTATGTATTTATATAAATAAGTATTATTTACATTTATTATTATTTATGGTTTTTAGGGTTTTGAGGTTTTCTTATATATAACCGTCTAGTCTTCATATTGTAATTCAGACTTTGATTAATTAATAAAAAGGAGATTTCCTGAGGAGGTTTTGACAAACCACTGTGAAGAGTATTCACAAATCAAGAGCTTTTGCGAAAGCCCTGAGAGGTCAAACCCTAGTTTTGGTTTATCAGTGATAAATCAATCCATATCCCTCTTGTTCTTGAGCTTCTCGGGAATGTCCTAGATCGGGAGTTAACAATTGAGAGTTTGAGAGTTTGAGAGTTTGAATTGCTAAATGAGATTTGTTGAGTTTTATTTAGGTTGTTAAGCTTGAAGTTAGTACGTGAAAGCTTGTTTAAATGTTGGTTTTGATCCAAGTGAAAGCAGGAAGATGATGATGCATCCAAGGTCTAAAAGGTATGTGAGTTTTCTTGTTTCTAAAACCTATAACCGATTTGGATTGAATTTGCTTGACAACAATCAAAGATCTATATTGGTTGCTTAACACTTTACGTGAGACTATATTGCTTAGCGTCTTCCATCTATTGCTTTAACCGAAACCGGTTCTTTGTTTACTTTGCTTGCTTGATTGATTTGTTTCCTTGCTTTGAAATTGTGACATCAGTTTCCTTTTCTTGCTTTCCCAGCTCGATCTTTTTATATGGTGAATTTAACTTGTCTTCATGGACAATCTTTTTCAAAGAACTAAGCCAACCAATCCAATTATACGCAGCTTCACTAAATGAACAGCTCAAGCTTTAAAATTCCCATCTCAAGATCTAAAACCCAATGTGTTCATAACATCCCACAACTGTTTAGTAATCATCAAATAGCCTAAGCTAATACAAATTAGAAGTGTTAACAATGTAGACACTTTTGTTGTATAACAAAAAAAAAGCAAAGTCATTTACCAGAACAAAATCAAGAATCAGTCGAGCTTGCATTTGTGAACGCATGCTGTTATAGTCAGTACAGTTCCAACAATCAGTCCTAGTAACGCCATTGCCAAGACTGTCGAAACGCATATTATTAGTACTCTTCAACATGCTTTGACCCTAAACCAATCAACTAACATTACCAGTGAGGAAGAATAACATACCAGAAATGATGAAGTAGATGAGAACCGCCAATCGGTATCTAACTGTTCCCGGTAAATCAACTTCGAGGGTGCAATATCGTTGAGACTTTCCCTTTGTGGTTGAATCTTTCAAGCCTTGTGGTTGGAGTGTGGACAGTGAAACATTTGTTCCTAGTACTGTGACTCCGTTAACATCTCTCACCTCTAGCCTTATGGTAGCCGGATTTGCATTCCAATCTATCGATATTGCTCCAAAATTTTGTTGTCCTGCAAAATACAATTTCAGATTTTGTGATCGATGCAACATCTCTGCTCTATCCACAGTTTAGCAGGAAATGAAAACATAAAAACGAATCAAAGAGAGATAAACAGAGAGTTAATACCGTATGTGCACGATCTGTATCTGCAGTTTCCATTGATGACTCTCATTGTGGTTGGAGTATACCAAAAGAGAAGCCTAACGATGACACGCAACGGACGAGGGAACACTTTCTCAACAGATTGAACTAGACCACTAGAGGTAACATCATATAACGGGTACCCAACAGCACAATCATATCTCGTGATCTCTCCGAAATGAACATCTCCACTGATGAAAACAACTCCATTTCTCTGTAACGTCATAGCAGCCAAGAATTATGTTTATTCGTTTCCAAGTAATGTCTAACAACATCCTAATACCTTTGTAGCTTCTATCAGCTGGAAAAGACGTTTCCTTTCCTTGGGAAAACGTCCCCACGATTCCATATAAAAGAGTGGTCCTGTGGTAGCAGATAGATTTGATATCACCTGGACAAGTCAAGAAGACACTTAGCTGCTCCAAGATTAAGTCTATGGCCAAAAGTGCCAAGAAAGTGAGTGAAAAATAAGCAAGAAGATACCTGAACAGACGATCCTATGATTGTAATCTCGCTGCGAGGACCTCTTAACTCTTTCTCGAGCCATTCCCATTGTGTATCACCCAAAAAACTCCCGTCACTTCGCAGAGGGTCTCTGTGATATCTGGTATCTAACACTATCACCTGAACATACAACATTCCATTGCTTCAAAACAATCTCTTTACATTAAGAAACAACAACTGTATTGGTGATATTACCTTGACATTCTTGTTAGGTGGACCAAAAGTATAAGATGCATAAACTCCAGCTTGCTTTCTCCTGAGATATCATGAGCTCATAAACAAGGAAGACAGATTTATATGAATATTCGAAGAGAAAAAAGAGGTAACCTTGGGCTATCAAGAGGCTCATCTAAGAAATCAAGCATGAGTTTTTGGTTAATGACTTTACGATCAAACTCTTTTCCGGCGTCGTTCAATCCGTAATCATGATCGTCCCAAGTGCCGATTACTCTGGTTTTTCTCTGGAGACGAGAATAGCCAGGATTAGCCTTGGCTTTGGCGTATCTCGATTTCATTTCTTCCTCTGAAGAAGGCACAAACCTCGGCGAATTCCTCCATGGACCAATGGTTCTCTCTTTCCCAATCACTCTATTTGGTTTTCTGATATCTCCGTAGATGTTATCACCCAGCCAAACGAACACTTGCGGATCAAACTCGTTTATCGCATCCCAAATCGGCTAATTTTACCAGAAAACCCATTCAAATCAATATCAATCTCAATCTCGAAACAGATTCGCGTGCGAAATCGTCGAATTACCTGTGGAGCGCTTTGATTAGCGCATGATCCGAAGGCGATACGAGTGATTAGAGGCTCTTTTGGTGTCTCCGTCGCTATCGCCGTCGTGAAGAGAAACGAAAGCAACGAGAAAGAGAGAAGCTTCATCACGATCATTTGGGAATTGGTGATAGGAGAGGGAACCCTAGAATCAACCATGGAAAGAGGAGAGAATCTTCAAGCATTCATTGAGTGTCTCGTTTTACGTTGTTGAATGAGAAACGAATCGGCCGGTGCGATTTCCAGTTACCGTTGGGATTTTGGTTACAGATTTTACGCTCTCACAGAGTGTTTCACTATTTTTTCTGGTTTCTTCTGCTTACATTAAAATACCATTTCTTTTTCTTTTGAGATCTTTGATCCGTTAATAAAAAGTTTTATCTATGATATCTTCTGAGATTTATAGAACTTTCCAGTTTTAAGTATTTGATATTGGGCATATTGCTATGACTAATTCAATTTTCGTTTTTCTATAACTGTTTTTTTTTTTTAACAAAGCTTTACTATAACTGTTTTGTTAAATCAAATTTTAGTCGCAAACCATGAGCTTTTCTTCGAACTAACCGTTTTAACTAACAATTAACTGACCATTTCTTTCAGACATTGACTGCAAAAATTTATTAAACGGAAAACTCATATAGTTTTGTTATACTGTATGTGTTTTGGTATGGTTTTATGGCCTTTGAGGTAGATTTCTTACTATTTCCACTTTTTAGAGATTTAACATGTTAAAACTTAAAAATCATCAAAATGATGCAAAACGGAGAAAAATATCACCAAAACATAATCTAACCAAGTTCTCAAAGTCCCAATGGCCCAAGAAAGTTGATTTTCCCCCTAATAATTAAACAACTAAATTATATTACAAAACATGTTTTATTACACGAAGAAGTATCAAGAATGTTAAATACAAATGGATCAGACGAGGCACAAAGATACAAAAGAATAATTGAAAATGAATAGAATTTGAGGAAAGCAATTAAGAAATCATCTCAGCGCATCATCATAACAAACTCGTCGAAGCTGAGAACCCCATCATCGTTTTGATCAAATCCACGAATCATCACTTTACACGCATCAACCGTACACGACTCGCCGAGTCGACTCAGCGTCCTCCGCAAACTCGCCGCCGTGATAAACTCTTCCCCCTCCGTCACATACATCCCAAACGCCGCTCTCAGCTCCCTCCGCCTCTCCTCGCCACTACCGTCTTCTTCTCCTTCCATCAGCTTCAAAAACTCCGCAAAATCGATAAACCCGTCTCCGTCGACGTCTGAAATTTTCACGACCTCCTCCGCCTCGCGCGAAGACAACGCGCCGCCCAAGAGGCTAACGCAGCTCTGCAGCTCCGTTCCGGAGATTTTCCCGTCCGAGTTTGCATCTATATAGTCGAACACGGTTCTTAGCTCGTCGACGTTTAACGAGCTGCTTCCACTGCTGCTGCTGCTGCTGATTCTGGCGTCATCTTCTACGTCCTCGTGAAGTTTTACGGACGAATCTGATTTTCTCGAGGAAATTTTCTTGTAGAGTCTTGCCAGGGGAGATTTCTGGGTCTTAGCGAGACTCATTTCTTGATTTGAAATTTAAATTCAAGAAGCCTTGAAATTAATGGTTCTATGAAAATTCCTGCGAAGATGGTATGTTATATATATAAGCAAGTGAAGGCGTATGGGTGGGGAAAATCTTGATTGTTCGTCGGTTAAAACACGGGTTTGAAAAATTGGTGGATTATTTAAAGACAGAGGCGGTTGCGCGGTGGTGGCCGGGAAGTTTCCTCCGCAATGAAGTCAAGTTGACAACGACTAGGGGTATTTCCGTAATATCTGTTGATGGAGCTTCTGATACGTACGTACTATGATATCGTCATTATGATTGGGCGACATAAAAAACAAACATTTGTTCTTAATTTTGATGAAGTGTATAATACTGTATATACGCTGTGTCATCTCATACGCTGTGTGAATACTTGATTTCAAATTCTCAAATGTTTCGTTGTTTGGTTAGGTTACTGCCAACTAAAAGCCAACTAAAAGAAAAAAAAAATTGCTGTTGACAATGTTTTTAAAACCCGGTCGGTGACCAAACCAGAAATGTTTTTGGGTGGTGTGTTAATATGGTTAGATTGTAATCAACCGGATTTGATGATATTCTAGAAATAATACATCAATTTTCTATATTTTACTTCTTTATAACAATTTTCTTTTTTATATGAGAGATTCTGATTTAATAAAAAAAAAATTCTAAGGTCACCAGTTTCGGTTTTTAACCCTTGGATCTGGTTCTATAACTAGTCTAACTATACTTATAAGTTTTAGTAGTAACTCAATCGGAGATAATTCGGTTTATAGTTGAACTCCATCTGACCATCGGTCCAATTTGGGGTTTAAAAATACTACTTCATGTGTTGTTTTTGATGTTATGATAATATGTTTGAAAATATTTGACTCAAAAGGATATTAGCTGGTCCAAATTAACGCAACTCAAGATTGCAGTACGGATTGCAAAGTTTTAGGCTGTGGTCTATTGAGAAATGTCTCATCTAAGTGCCACTTCTAGCTCCCGGCTCATATAGTCTTCCTCGACTATCGTCTTGAGGCATACAGCAAAACATTTTTAAAATAATAATGTTAAAACTTTGAAAATATATTTATTTTATATAAAGATTATTTTATTGATAATATAATAATTATTATCTTATAGAAATATTTTATCAAAAAACAATAAACTTTATATATTTTTTCAGTTTTTTTATTCAAATTTTCCTCATACTTACGTAAAGACGTAATTGTGGTTTCGAGAACTTTTCACAACTTTTGGCTGCATGTTGAGAACACACCACTAGAAATTGTTGATGCAATAAGAAAAGTTCGAGATGAATTCCAATGAGAATCCAACTTTTAGGAAAGACAAACTACATTAGAGTTATATTTTACTAAATTGCCTTAAATATATATGCATATGTTTTATAATTATTATTTTAACTTATTGTTGGGACTATATTTTTTATATAAGAGTTTCAAAAATATTATTATCTTATCATCTTATCGTATTTTGCTATTTTTTACATAGATCCAAGTTGGGACGGAAAATATTTATTATCTTATAATATTTATTATCGAGTATTATTTTATAGAGATTCTACTGTAATGTTAAGACTGAACCTGAGGTACTACAAATCAATCAACGTGTATATATATTTCAAACCACAAAAATATATGGATATGTCAAACTCGTCCATAAAAAAACTTTGAAGCCAAAAAGATTTAGGTCTGAACAGGTTATCCATTTTGACACTCTAATTGTCAATTCACCAAATTTATTCTTGATCTAATCGTGTTTATCAGCCCAAATTCCATATCATTAAAAGAAGAATTAGGTTAGGGTTTTAAATTAGACTATAATTAAGAATTACCTCCCATTTACAAAACAAAAAGACAGAGATAATAATAAAAATAATGTGCGGGATAAACGTAGCAAACCTCATATCCCTTTAATTTTCTTTATTTTTTTTTCGGTCTGTTTTCTCCTCCACCTGTAGTCATCGATAGGCGATGGCTCCCTCCTCCGTTTTCGCCGGTGTTAAGTTTACTCCGATCCTAGCCCCTCCCTTCAACTCTCGAGATAGCCGCCGCTCTATACGTGCAAATAATAGCCGGGTTGCATTTAGGGTTAATCCAGCTTCGCGGCGCCTCACTGCTTCGCCGCTCCCCTCTCTGAATTGTGTTACCGTCGAAGCTAACTCGTTAATTCGAAATACTGGTCTTTGGTAGGTCTTCTCTAATCTTCAGTTTCGTGTTGTATCTTATGCAGAGCCTTGGATTTTGAGCTTCAGATGTTTCTGAGTGAATGAATTAACATCTTTGTTTATTTCTCTCTGAATTCGTGAATTAACATTTTTTATCAGTTGTTGGTTGAGTTTAGTTTATTTTTGCTCGTCTCCTGAAAATATATAGAATCAGTGTGATTCCGAAGAGGTTTTTTGGAAAAAGGTTGTTAATTTTTTTGGTTGAATTTTTATAGTGTTAAAAGGGTAACACCAACTACGAACAAGGGACGATGGGAGAGGAACATTGTTAAGGCACAGAGAATCACTGAGACGTCACTCTCTCAAGGACGCAGTTTCTGTCACACCTGGAAAGAGACTCAACCAGGGATTAGAAGATTATCATCACGTAGAGCCTTTGTGGACAAAACTTTATTTAGTTTGTCAAGGTCTCATTTTATCTCGTCTCAGGTTAGTAAGCTACACCGTTTTTTCCTTTATGTTCTCGTTGTCTTTCTCATTGTTGTGTGTTTAACAGACGCGAACATGTGTGAAATTTTCAGAGACAACATTCTCAGATTGCCAATGCAACAGTTGGACCAGATGAGCCACATGCTGCGGGTACAGCCTGGCCGGATGGCATTGTTGCAGAGAGGCAAGATGTAGATTTATTGCCCCCTGAGTTCGATAGGGCCGAGCTAGAAGCGTTTCTTGGTTGTGAACTTCCTTCTCATCCGAAGCTGCACCGTGGACAGTTGAAAAATGGGCTTCGCTATCTTATTTTGCCGAACAAAGTTCCACCAAACAGGTAAAGTGCTTGAAACTGGTCTATTCATTATACTCTTCATGGTTGCGTCATGCGTCAGAATGAGATAATCAACATGGTTTCCGTTACACAATATTGATATGTTATTCATTTTCTTAGAAAAAACAACAAAGATGGTGAATACTCTAAGGTCTTTCCTCTTACTTCTTATGTATGTCGTGAATGTTTATTAATGCTAGATTTGAGGCGCACATGGAAGTTCACGTTGGATCGATTGATGAGGAAGATGATGAGCAAGGGATTGCTCATATGATAGAACATGTTGCATTCCTTGGGAGCAAGAAACGTGAGAAACTTCTTGGTACGGGTGCCCGCTCTAATGCCTATACCGATTTCCACCATACAGTATTTCATATTCATTCACCAACCCACACAAAGGTTTGTTATCTTGTACGCTTATTTTAGAATTTAATGTTGTAGCTTTTTTTGTTATTTCAACTTCTCATGTTTTTGTTGTCTCTGTATTTTCTGTAACAAATATGGTGCTTATAGTAGTAGCAATGATTTCTGGTGCTTATAGTGATAGCTTTGATTTTACCCAAGTATAACATTCTTTCACTCTTTTTCTCCTCTTTTTATCAGCAAACATAGTGGGTTTGGTGTTGATCTTTATTTGTTTACGGACCTTGAAATTGCTTTCTTTGTTCGATTTACCTGTATATGTTATTGTTATCATTTGGAGAACGTATCCTTATTGGCTCGCTAATCATGTTAATAGATTTGGACTAAGGGGATGCTATTTTCATATTAATTGAATTGCTGAAACATTTCAGGACTCTGAGGAAGACCTCTTTCAATCTGTGCTCGATGCCTTGAATGAGGTAATTGATTTGCTACTCTAACATGATATCATGGGTTATGATTCATTTGGCGGACATAATCTTATTTCTCTAATGATTACAGATCGCTTTTCACCCAAAGTTTCTCTCTTCTCGAGTTGAGAAAGAAAGGAGGGCCATACTTTCAGAACTTCAGATGATGAATACAATTGAGTATCGTGTTGACTGCCAGGTATTCATGAAGAATAGTTTTCTATATGTCAGCATAACAGTTCTTTCCCTTGCCCAATTATTTTATGGATAATCAGTGACACGTTGTGTTTAATTTCATGAAACTAGTTGTTGCAACATCTTCATTCTGAGAACAAGCTTGGTAGAAGGTTCCCTATTGGATTGGAAGAGCAGATTAAGAAGTGGGATGTCGACAAAATTAGGAAATTTCATGAGCGTTGGTACTTCCCAGCGAATGCCACATTATATATGGTGGGAGACATCGACAACATACCTCGTATAGGCCACCATATTGAAGTAGGATGTTGTCTTATATTTCTTTTGCATTGCCTTATGTCTTTTGTAAATCACTGTTGAATTATGCTACGTAGTCTATCTTGACCGGATAATCGCTCTTGCACAGGCTGTGTTCGGAAAAACTGGTTTGGATAATGAGGCAGCGCCCACTTCTCCAACTCCTGGTGCCTTCGGTGCCATGGCTAATTTTCTTGTTCCGAAGCTGCCAGCTGGTCTTGGTGGAACCTTTTCCCAAGATAGAACAAATACTACTGATCAATCCAAGATTATTAAAAGAGAAAGGCATGCAATTCGCCCCCCAGTTGAGCATAATTGGTCGCTTCCTGGAACCAGTGTTGATCTAAAGCCTCCGCAGATATTTAAGCATGAGCTTCTTCAAAATTTCGCAATCAACATGTTTTGCAAGGTTTTTTTTATAATCTTTTGATTTCTCCGATTACTTTTTTCAGAAAGCGTAATATGATACAGCCAAGTTAGGGTGATAGTCTAATGAATTGTTCTCATTTTTTTTTGTCTTCCTGCAGATACCTGTTAACAAGGTTCAGACATTTGGAGACCTGCGAAATGTTTTGATGAAAAGAATATTCCTCTCTGCTCTACATTTTCGAATTAATACGAGATACAAGGTAAGGGCATGTTCTTTGTGAAGACTTACTTGAGAAGAGAATAACA